TGGATAATTTGGAATGCAGTTTCTTAAATATTTCAATTTTAAACGTTAAGAGGTATGTCACTTTGAAATCTGACTAAAATTGGCCAAGATACTGGGTGTGGACCTGCAGCGTTAGTCAAATTGAAATTCATATTTTATAAAGAAAATAATTTTTTCCCTGTGCATTCCTTCTCCCAACCACCCGCTGCGAACCACCCCACCCACCAAGCCGCCCCCTTTCTTGTGCCAGACATTGAAGTGTATAAGAATAAGTGTTGGGATTAGGCGCTTGACTTGAAAATTTTATAAAACAAAATTTTTGCATAAGCTCTGCTGGGGCTGCCTCCCAAAAAAGTGGAAGGAGAGGTTTTGTTGGTTAGCAGAGTTAAGCGCGTTAGCTGTTCAAGGATTTAATGGAAAATCGCGTTGGCGTTTGCCCGCTGAGGAAAAAGCAGAGAGCAGCCACTTTGGATGGAGTGGAAAATGGTAAGAAAAGCGAGCTGGGAAAGCGGATAGCCATGCGAAGCGGCAACGGGGTAAATCACGCATTTAATTCCAAAACATTTAACAGTTTATTTTTTGCTGGCTCTTATCTAATATTTTACAAACCATTTATATGATGATTAGCGCAAAGTGTTTTTGGTAGAGGGAATCTTTTACGGAAAATTAGCAACTTAGGAATTTATGCGGCAAATGAGTCTAAAAAAGTTTTGATTTTGTACATAACTAAAATAAATGTATTAAATAATTGTAATATATTTATTTATATTTTATCAAATAATACGAATATTAACCCATAGTAAATACATAACTTTCTTTTCTTTCGCCATTTTGAGGAGCATTAAAAATAATTGCACACTTTTTTCGCCGGCAGAAAACGGATGTCACGCCCCGGACCATGGAAATTAAGTGAAAAATTACAAGGCAACAAATAATTATACACTTTGCCCCTGCACTTGAGGCTGCCACACACTGCGAATGGCTGGCGAATGGGTGTTAAATGGAGGTGGCTGGTGGGTGTTCTAGGAGTGGGCGCGGAGGTCACACAATGGCATTTGTGCTTGCATAATTATGAAATTACTCTGCCACAGTCGAGTGGCGAAATTCTTGTGTGTGCACTTCCTCAGTCAGTTCCTCTTATACGGAGCTTTCTCTCTGCCATTCTTCGCTTTCTTTTGTCCAATTTTGTGAACAGCAGGAGGAGATTGCGTTGCATAGCATACATATATTTATTTGGTCATACGATGCATTATAATATTTTAGAGGTAAGAAAATAGAAATACGAACAGAGTTTTCTCTTAAAGTAGGTAATTAAATCTGCATTTAGGTGAGAGGTCAGAGCTAGAGATGTATTTATTTCTAAGACTGTAGTTTTGTATATTAATTTAACAAATCAGCTTGCAGTAATCATTTAACACTATAATTATTTTCCCCAACTTTCTTTCCAACTTTTCCTTTCCTCAGTTAATGCTCACTTTTAATTCCCCATTCCGGCTAGTATCGCTCGTTAGTCTTACAAACTATGCACACGACTTCTTCCCGCTCCCATTGTCCTGCCTTTTTGAGTCCTCAGCCTGCTGGAAAGTGCCATCCTGCTCCAACTGCCATCGTGATCGTCATGAATGGCCGGCACATCCTGTTGCCAGGAACCAGACGACTGCGACTACGTCGGCATTCAAGGACTGCTACGCTATGGAGAAATCCCTTTTTATGAATGAGTCGCGGTGCCATTTGCATATTAACGGCTTGTAGCCCTAATATGTGCACACTCCTGACCCTTGGCCCCCCCAGCCCACCCCCTCTCCACTGTATTTGCATAATAATTTTATGGTTGGCTGCAGTGGAATAGGAGTAGGAAAGGCCAACACACCAGTGTAAAGGCCATTGTTGCCGGCCAAGTAGCAGGCCATTAACGGAAGTAAAAGCCCCCTCATGCGCTTCCTGGTCCCCAAAATGTTTCAAACTGATTTTTAAGCTTTATTTTCGAACTTTAAAAATAAATTATTATAATTGTAATTCGTGATTAAGCTTAGAATGATAAACACGTTTGTTGAAAGCAATCTAACCTTTTATATTATTGGCAAATGCCCTTTGACAAGCCTATATTTATAACATTTTAATGTCAACCAAAATAATAACAAATATCAATTACCCAAAAATTCAAAATAAACAAAATGGAAACTCTATACTTTGATTGATCATTTTTAAATACACACAAACACAAACCAAAACTGGTGTTCCAGCCACCGAATAGAATTTGTTATTTAAAATTTATTGCAATTTAATCTAGTCGAGACCCATTCCAAGGGCCATTCCCAATTGGACGAACCCCGGAACATCATTAAATTTGACACTGGCCCGTTCCGCCAGCGGGAAAGCTCGTTCCCCCGTTCCGCCCACAGGCTTTTCATTTTATTTTCCCAAGGACTGGCCATAATTGTGCTAAGAGGAATTGCTGCGGAGGACAATGGATGGGGCGTTGGTCGCGAAGGAAACGGGGGACACTGGCCACAAAAGTGCCGCATCAAGTGACGGACATTTACATAATTATTAGAAACAGTTAAATGTCCACAAATTGTACACTGGCCGGCACACGGGGGAGTCATTACTTACATTACTTACAGCGGATGCGAGGCGGATGCCCACGCTATCTGGCAGCCAAATATCTTGGCTGTAATTTAGAGACTCCCAGGACTCTCAGGACACCCAGGACGAGGCCCATTCAGACAGCTCTCGCCCGTTGACGTGCGTGCCTTCGACTATTTAAAATTGTTTGCTTCTCACCAGGACGAAGGACGATTCGGCGGCGATGTTGGAGGGCGGGAAATAAAATAAAATGTAATTTTTATTAGGCTTGGTGGTTTTTATTGTCTGCTTTATCGTTCTTACAAGTCCTGGTCTCCGCTCCTCGCCTTCTCGTCTTGTCTGATATTTGTCTATGGCATGTCCTGGTCATGCCACAAGTCGCACGCTTACACAAACACAAACACACACACGCACGTACACAGATAAATAGACTTGGCCACAGGACATGGCCCTGACTGCCTCCTTTGGCCCTTTGAGATATTTTCGGTTTTGTTTCTTGTATTCTATTTTTTTATGACTTTTTTATTGACTTGATTATTATGTTGTTTGTTGTTCTCGGCCAGCCAAAAGTTTTCTTAGGCCCCACCGGAGGAAATTAAAAAATAATTTAGAGCCCGGGTTCAAGGGTTGCGCGGCATAAATTGTGGAGCACAGCCTGTGCTTGATTGCCTTCGACTGGTTTAATAAATAACACTGGGGATTTCAGCCCCAGGGAACGGTGTTCTAACATTGTTTAGATACCCTGGAAGATATGAGTTCAACTTCCGGTAACTTTGCATCCATGCACCTTTCCAGTTTTTATGCGCTTTGAACTTTAGAAGCCATACTTCTTCATATAGATAAGTTTTGAACATTTTTTTTAACCCACCCGAACACAAAGTTTGCTATGCAAAGACAAACTACTAATACATCCCTTGATACCCATTGCCTGCTTTTTGCCTCTGTTAATGGCAAAACAAAAACAGGCATAAGCCATATCGTATATGAAAGTATCTAGCTGTATGCGAATGTTATTAAAGCACCTATCATATTTCACAGCACCCAGACACGAGTGCCAGCTAAATCAGTTGGAGTTGAAAATATGCTATGAGTGTAATTGAAACCTGTGCGCACTCAATAAATTGCCAAACACAAAAAAAAATAAACAAGCAGTACCGAAAAAAGTGAAATTTGAAGTTTTGCCAATTAATTGAAAAAAGTGTCCAAGACACCTTGACAACGTGCGTTAAAAATTTATGGGGCACATGGCAAATGAAATGCTAGACGAAAATTCCTCGAGTAACTTTCCGCAAGCGAATTCGGGGGAAAACTAATAACAAAATGGGTATCGAATGTACACGGGAGGGTACAAAAAAGTCAAGTTCAATGGTTCCACGAAATCTACTTTATGCACCGAGGGATTTAAAGTTACTGTTGTCTAAAATCCCATTTGAATAAGCCATTTAACTGCTGGCGGCTTAAATTAAGTGCCATCAAAATGTCAAGGGCGACGGGGAGCCACAAAAAAGTGGAAAGAAAATCAAAACAAGATGAACCCCAAAACACAAAGACACAAACGGAGGCAAAAGAAAAGAAGCCACAAAAGAAGAGCAAGTCTCATAATTAAAAATTAAGCCATTCGCCTATTAGTTTTAACCCTCATTAACTTTAGATAAACTAATCTCCAAAGTAAACCACTGGCATTCAGGGCCCGAGTTAAACTGACACGACCCTTGCCAAAGGGGGAATCCCCTCAAAGCCAACCAAAAGGCCACCCACTTTTCCGCCCAACCCATCAGAGTCTCAGTTCTTTTTTTTTATTCCGCGCGCGCCTACAATGCGTGAAAAGCTCATCAACTCGGGGCAACTGCTTCACAGAGGCAGCGAAATGATGTAGAAACTGAGAAAAAAAACCGAACCTAATATGCTAAAAAAAAAATGAAGAAGGAACCCATCACATCGAGAGCAGCCAGAGAAAGGAAAGATAATTAAAAACGCAACCTTGATGGAAAATGAAATGTTTACAAAGACACAGCCTCAGTCTCAGCCTCCAAAAAACAAAAAAAAAATCCAGTGACAAGCGAAAGAAACCGGTGAAAGACGCCGAGAAAGTCGAGGAAAACATTTGCACTGCTCAGCCAGCGGGACAAAACGAAAAAATAAACGGATACGCGCTACGGATGCAAAGTTTACTCGGGCAAAACAAAGAAAAAATCATACAAAAAGGCAAGTGGGAGGCCTAGAAAAGTCAAAGGGAATCCAGCCAAGGCTAAAAAGAGGCGGAGGAGCACAAAAAGTCGGACCAAAATTAACCGGAACATTTACTTTTTCACTCACAGAAGAAACAAGGAACCCGGCAACAATCCCATCTTCAAGAAGTTTCCAAAAGAATCCGGTCTTTATATTAATAACTCAATCTTATCTAACCATATTGAAATCATGGTCTGCAATTAATATTTCTGGTACGCATTTCGGAAAGTTTATTCACTTTACTTATTGATAGACTTACACGTTTTTATGTTGTATATTCAATTAGGGCTACTTATAGTTTAAACACAATTGCTTTGCTCATTGTTGCATAGTAAATCCTAGAATAACAAAACCATGTAATAATGATAGTTACAAAGCGCCAAAATTGAGCAAATTACACGAAGCACTTGACTTTACATCTATAAAAAAAGAGAGTATACAGATACGCCTAAAAAGTATGGGAAACGAGAGCAAACCATTTACATTTGATAAGAAGCTGCCTTACTGGCCAAATAATACCGCGAGTTTCAACTTTAAAGCATGCTAGGTCAACCAGGGTAATAAATAATTAAAAACTTTACACGGGGTGAAAAATCTATACATCGCTACTACTTAAACTAAACCGAACGACTTTGGGTAAGTGTCAATTGTCATAGATGTTTCTCTGCCATGGCTGCTAATTCGTTGGTGGTCGATGGTTCTGCTGTTGCTGTTTCTGTTGCTGCTTGCCACTTCCGCTGGCTCCGCCATCCCTTTCCACTTTGTTCTCGCGCACCATCAGCAGCAGTTGCAGCATCATCATTGCTTGCACCTTGTCCAGCGGATCCATAAATCCGCGCTGCAGCCACTTCGGTATGGTGGTGCGTGCGTGGCTGAAGCCCAGTTTATTCAGGATGTAGTCCACGCCGTAAGGCTCAATGGACTTGCCCGCCCAGGATAAAAGGCGCACAGTGGGCTCCAAATGCCAGGTCTGACACTCAAAGTGCCGCCAGTCGCGCACAAACGATTCGAGATCAAAGGCGGGCGCCGAGCCCTCCTGCTGCGGCTGCTTGCCATCGGTGGCGTCGTTCGAGGCGCTTGTCGATGGTCCACCAGCTGTCGCTCCGGGCGACAAGGTTGTTGCTGATGTTGTGGCGGTCGACGTCGTCGTCGTGTTTGTTTGCGCTGCTCCCGCAATATTGGCAGCAGCCGTTGCGTTCGCTAGGCTCGTGTGGCTGCCCTGCAGCGGGTCCAGGCTGCTCTTGCTGGCACTCATCTGCTTGCCATGGGCAGTCAGATTCGTACTGGAGGCGCCCTTCTTCTCCTTGAGTATCTCGTCGGTCAGATATGGCTTCAGGTTGGCCTTCTGCGAGAGATTTGGCGAGGCTGCCCGCGCCGACTGAGCTCCAATCTGTTCGAGCAAATACAAATATTAATTAAAATTCACAAAGATAAATTAATTGAGTACTTACCACCTTCTCCTTTTCAGTCACGTAGGAGGTGATGAGATCGTGCAGGAAAAAGAAGGCGTCCGCATCGACGGTCACAAAGATGTGGTCATCGAATTCGGTAATGAAGCTGCACAAAACTTCTGGCTTGGTTTCTGTAATTGATATTAAAAGATTATCAACATGTTTATAATTTATATATTCAATTAATATTTTAGGTACTGACCACTTGGCTCTGGTGTGGTTGGTCCCTGTTTGTGCTCAGTCTTGAAATGCAGCTGCAGACTGGGCAGAGCGAAGATGACTTCTCGGTTATGATTGTGCTCCTGCGCCTTTGCCGCACTGCTGCTGCCGGAGGCTCGCGTTCGCTCTATGGAGTTGGAGGCAATCTCTCGCTCGCACTCCAGCATGGGGAAGCGATCGACAGCTGTATAAAATAACAAATAATATTTATTTCACATAAAACAAATAAAAGTAGTTATCAACTCACCATCAATCTCGCTGTTGGCAAAGGCATAGTGGAACCACTCGTTTAGAGTCTTGAACTGTGGCGGAAAGATGATGTTCCTGGTGATTCGGCTCACAATCGCCATCGAGTGATTCTGTTGCTGCTGCACCTCTGTAGTCTGCCCCAAAGAAGAGGTAAGTGTCTGGGTGACCAGCACTTCATCCTCGGTCTGCCGCGCTTCCGTGGCAAAGTTAATGGAAGGGGATCTCAAGCTAAACAGCGCCCACGACTTTGACTTAAAGTTTATGCCGTGGAAGCAGGCTAGCGAGATGTTCTGTCCTCGGAGCTCAACGGTGCCTCCTAGAACATTGCCATGTCGCGGCAGACGGGTCACCAGTGAGGGCACCACCAGACCCACAACCTGAGCCAATGGTTTCTGCCAATGTCGATGATGTCGAGCGTCCGTATTTTCGCCAATCAAACCGTGAATTTGAACAGGAGCTACGAGCTCTCCGTTGGCCGGCTTCTTCTTGAGCTGCTGACGCCTCTTGATGCTGGCAGTGCGATCTTGGAGACGTGGTTCCAGGCTGGAGAACACCCTCTTCGAGGACTTAAACTGCTGCGTGAAGAACTCTTCCAGTTTGAAGTACATCTTCAGCAGATCTGCGGTGGTGGACTTGCTAATCATGATCTGCAATTGGTCCCAGCTAAGATCGCCGTGGATAAAGATCAAAGCTCTGGGTTGATCCTTGCCATGTGAGGGAGCTGCTGCCGCTTGGGAGGCAGTGCGCCACTCATCTTTCATGGCGGCAGAGAAGCTGCTAATCCGGGTCATCAGCACCGAAGTTCCCATGTAGTCAAGCCTTAGTTCCAGAGCCATAAAACTCAGTCCCATGGTGTGGTAGGGTTCCATGCCCGCTTCCTCCTTGATATGGAATCGTTTGTTGATCTTGTTCACCTCGAAGCTGCCACCCACTATGCCACCCTTGGCATCGAGGGCTGATCCTCCTAAATAGATCCCAGCATACATGTTCTTGTAGCCAGTGCTGCCGATGGAGAGTCGTCCATCCGATTGGAAATCCTTCGTGAGCCACACAACGTTGCCACACACATTACCAATGTTCATTTGCACGTTCAGCTTGGTGAAGTTTACTGCAAATATGACGAGGGTTTCCCAGGCAGTGATTTGGTTCTTCTCCGAGGGAGGGGTTCCCGAGGATTCAGCGCTGGAGGATTTGCCCAGGTTCTTCAGCTGTCTCACAGCTCCAAAGTGTCCCAATTGCTGTTGTTGCGATGGCTGAGCATCGAAGTCCAGGCGCATTTTATCCTTGGCTCTACTAGAATCCTCACCTGGGGTTGGAGTGGCAGGTGGACAGCCAGTGGGTGTTTCAGCTCCATTTCCCTGCTGTTGCTGCTGCTGTTGTTGCTGTTGCACGCTAAGATCGCCGAGGAAGAGTCGCCTTACAATCCTGCGGCGATACCAAGCCTTGGGAAAGGCTAAGATCTCCGTTAGCCTCCTCATATCGTATTTAAAACTGGCACTTCCAATATCCACAATGGTAGAGAATCGTATCACAGCTCTCGACTGATCGAGGGATCTCTTCGAGCTGGGAAGCGGTTCAATGTAAACCTTTCTGCAGCGCGTAATGTGGAACTTGACAAACTCAACGTTGATGCTCAACGAATCCTTTCGTTCACTGTCGCTCAGCGGGGAGAACTGCGTCTCCTTGGAAGTCTTTTTGCCACCATACGGATGGAAGATGAACACATTGAAGTCGGCCAGGCAACCGGTGACACTCAGTCCGCCAGTGGGCAGCTGCTGCTCCGGATGGGCGTGAATTCCTGGCTGCGTTGAGTTCTCCTCATCGCTGCTCCTCTTCGAACTGAACACAATATCCAAGCTGGGAAGCTGAAGCATGCATTCCACTCGAGAAACTGGCAGACAGCTAAATCTGAAGGTAGAGGGTTGCATGTGGAAGTAAACTATAACATCGACGGGGAAAGATGCATAAGTCACATAGTTGGCAGGCAGTATGTCCAGATTAACGGCTGTGTTATGGGATGGCGTCGGCGGAACACTGTTCGATTGTCGTGCTGGAATGGGCTCCAGAGTCTGCTCCAGGAATTCCAGAATATGTGGTGATATGATAGTTTCCTCTGGGATACTCTGCAGGGTCATCCAGGCGCACAGAGTGGCTCTCTTGCTGCCCAAACGGCGACCATGCGGCACCTGATCTCCAGTCAATTGCTCCGCCAGCGTTTTAGATTGATAGTGAAGCTTAACATCCAAACCGGGGATGTGGAATATGGTGAGATCTGCCAGCAGAGCGTTGGCATTATAGCGCAGCTTGCTCTTATCCCTTTGTCTTCTCGAGGGAGTCGGACTTCCCCAATCGTTGCCTATGCTCCGTTCCCTCTTATGGGATTTTACGCTCGAAGCTGGCACTCCGCCAGCAGCTGCTCCTGATCCTCCAGCGTAGCCCTGAGCTCGCTCCTCGCCAGTGTCCTTGGTGTGTAGCACACATTTTCCAGAGTTAACGAGCACCTTGATGTCTAGTTCAAAGTCGATGTTGGGTTCCGGTTGTTTCTGACCATGACCGTGTTTGCGTCGCATCTCCACGGAGGTGCCATCAACATCTATTTCGCTGGGAGTAGTGTCACCTCGCCAATCGAGCTCATTGTCCGCCGTCTCCGTATCCGTGTCCGCATTGGGTAGTGAAGTCTGGCGCATAGCTTCCGTGAAAGTCACTCTACCGAGCGCATTTATTCCTCCTCCAACGACTCCACCACCACCAGTATGTTTCAGGGAAGCGCTTCGCGAATGGCAAGAAGCCGGAGTGCTCTGCAAGCTGGAAATCTCATCGTTGGAGGCAATTGTATCCAATCTCCTGCCAGCATAGCTTCCATTGTCAAGGGTTTGGGGAACTCCAACGCCACTTGCCGAAGATCCCGCTCCGATGTATGATTGCGAGCGACCGTAGTTCTTCAGAGATCTTCTCAGCGAGGGTCTCTTCCACTTCTGGATCATATCTCTGCGGAAGTACTTGTAGCAGATAGCTTGGAGCTCCTGCAGTCGCCGCTCCTCATGGGCCACTGTATTGTGCGATGCTCCCAGGGTGCGCAAATCATTGATGATCTTTAGCTGCTCGGCCATCTCCTTCTCCATCATAAACGAGCGCTTCTTGGAGTCGATTGTGGGATCGAAGACAAACGCTGGCAAGTTGTCAAAGTCGCCTCTCCTTCGCACAAACGTATCCCTGCAGCTCTGATCTCCTTCATCGCTGTCAGGTGACTCCATTTGGGTCTCATCCTCTTCAAAACCTGTGAGCATAGTAAGCGTATGGCCAAGGGAACTCAATTGCTTGCCAATATTCACATCCAGATGAATGTCCACGCCCTCCATTTGCCATTTGACGTTTAGCAGCCACTTGGCATTTTCACCCTTTTTGGCGGCTGTTGTGCGAGAGCACACTTCAAAGGTTCCCTCGGACACTACGCAAACGTTCATGATGGGCTCGGCACTGTTGGGCTTCCAGTCATCCAGATTGGTTTCAAAGTCATCTGCAAATCGCAGACACAAGCCCTGGAACTTGCCCTTAGACACCAAGGCACCTGAATTGCAGGCTGAAATGATCGTGTTTTCAAGTGTGATCACAACAGCACCCTTGGCGTCAAAATCTTGGTACGAACGAGAGCCAAATGTCTGCGGAAAACATATATATTATTTTAAGCACAATAAATCATAATCTAAATAGGGACTTACCGTGGTGTTAACCTGTTTGAGGGGCAGGCAGATGCCCATGTCCTCCACTGTGAGTTGCAGGAATAGCGTGGATAGATTTGAGCTGGCTATCTGACCAAAAGCCACTCGGTCGAACACCTGAGGATTCTGGTTCTGATGCTGTGCCGTATACTGACTGAATTGGCTGTGCTGGGTATGCTCATTGCAGAGATTAGCCCTCTTTTCCGCCCAGTACTCGTAGGCGTTCTTGTAGTTGAGCCACACCAGGATGGCCTTGTCCACGGCAATTGGTTGAACGTAAACCAGCGGTCTCTTGAGGGTTAGCAGAATCAACTCCTTATCTTCGTTGAGCAGCTCGTCTTGGAAAGCATTTCTCAAATTAATCGTTGTGTGGAAGAAGGCGTACTGCTGGAACTCCGGCTCCGCCTCATCGAAAATTACATTGCGAATAATCTGACCCAGGGACAGATTGAAATCGATGTGAGCCTTGAAGAACAGCTTTCGATTACTAAGATCCCCCAAGTTCTTCACGCGGTTTGATAGCTGCAACTCCAGGGTCCCAGTTTCAAAACGAACGGCAGAGGAACAGGGAGTTGTGGCCGTAAGCTGGATGCGTTTCATCGAAATGTTGATGGAGAAGAGGATTCGCTTGAGCGAGGACTCCTGCACTGCTCCGGAATTGTCTCCGCTCTCCTCTGTCCACAGGGGTACCGGCTTCTCGCCTCCGTAAACCTTCTGCAGAACCTCGTTTATTTCTCGCATGAAGACCTTTTGCACAAAGACCAAATGGTTGAGGAGATCGGTTGTCAGGCAGCGCTCGAACTCTCCAATCTCGGCACTGGCATTTACGTAGCCACCTTGGCGCAAAACAATGCCCTCAACGTTTTCCGTGTGGTCCTGGCGGTGATCTGGAATATATTCCGCCAGGACGTGAACTGGCGGAAGACCAATACACGCCTCCGATGGCAGATTCATTTCGTTCTGAAAATTAATAAAAAAAAAAAATGTATTAAGTTAAATATTTTTAAACAAGAAAGATTATGAATTCATTATACAAAAAAATGAGTAACAATATTATTAAAAATAAACAAATCATTTTAAATTTTCCGCCAAACATGCAAGCCCAGCTGTTAGTGTTACCTTTTCCAATGAAAAGCTTAAAAATACTAAAAGCGAAAAGGCGATATGATATAATTATTTTGATGGCGCAGTATTTTCGCCCTGTGATAAATTGCAAATTTTAATGTGTCATTGCAAAAAAATAATTACTAACTGCGGTCTAAAAAATTTACACCCTGTAATTTAAACTATAGTTTGACAGTCCCTGTGAGTATGACAGCTATATGTGTCAGATTATTTATGTGTTTATGGGAGAACGGACACGATTACGTTTGATTATCTTATCGACTTAAGCTGATTTCAGTTTCTGTGTGCCATTTTCCCCATCAGTTAGTCTGCTGCAATTGAGGAAAGGAACCGAATATGAAGAGGAGCACCACCCAGATTCTAGCCAAGCTGAGGGAGCTGATGCAGCGCGCCCAGGTGGGCGACTCCACCAGCATATCGGCGTACATTGTGCCCTCGGACGACGCCCACCAGTCGGAGTACCAGTGCCAACATGACGAGCGACGCGCGTTCGTGAGCGGATTCGATGGTTCCGCTGGCACGGCGGTGATTACCACCGATACCGCCTTGCTCTGGACTGACGGGCGGTACTATCAGCAGGCAGAGAAACAGCTGGACTCTAATTGGACGCTGATGAAGGATGGCCTGACCACTACGCCATCGATTGGCGCCTGGTTGGCCAAGAATTTACCCAAGGGCAGCTCTGTGGGCGTGGACCCCCGCCTTTTGTCGTTCCGTGTCTGGAAACCCATCGAAACGGAGCTTAACGCCGCGGAATGCCAATTGGTTCCCATTGAGAATAACCTTATCGATGAGGTTTGGGGTCAGGATCAGCCACCGCAAACATCCAACACGATTATACCCCTTAAACTTGAATACTCCGGCGTCACTATCGCCAAAAAGTGGGAACTGGTGCGCAAACAATTGAAAGATAAGAATGTGGATGCATTGGTGGTCAGTGCCCTCGATGAAATCGCTTGGTTCTTGAACCTTCGGGGCTCTGATATTGACTTCAACCCCGTCTTCTTTTCTTATTTGATTGTAACTAACGAGGATCTACTTCTTTTTGTGGATTCCGGAAAGTTACCTGCTGATTTTGCTCAGCATCAAACCGAGAACAATGTAAAAATCAGCGTATTGCCATACTCCTCCATTGGCTTGGAAATCAGCAAAATTGTCTCAACCAAGGAGTCGAAGATCTGGATTGCACCCACAAGCAGTTACTATTTGACTGCCTTGATACCCAAGTCACGTAGAATTCAGGAGGTGACGCCCGTCTGTGTGCTTAAGTCCATTAAAAACGATGTGGAGATCGAGGGCTTTGTCAACAGTCACATTCGCGATGGAGTTGCTTTGTGTCAGTATTTCGCCTGGCTTGAAGACCAAGTTAAGAAAGGTGCGGAAGTCGATGAAATATCTGGTTCCGATAAGCTGGAATCGTTCCGCTCCTCGAAGGACAGATACATGGGCCTGAGCTTTACCACAATCAGTGCTTCTGGTCCCAATGGCTCAGTTATTCACTATCACCCGAGGGAAGAAACTAACAGGAAGATAACCGACAAGGAGGTCTACTTGTGTGACTCGGGCGCACAGTATTTGGATGGCACCACGGATGTGACAAGAACCCTTCACTTTGGCGAACCCACTGAATTCCAGAAGGAAGCCTACACTCGAGTCTTGAAGGGCCAACTGAGCTTTGGTTCCACCGTATTCCCGGCCAAGGTCAAGGGCCAGGTTTTGGACACTCTGGCGAGGAAGGCGCTTTGGGACGTTGGATTGGATTACGGTCATGGCACCGGTCATGGAGTAGGTCACTTCTTAAACGTTCACGAAGGTCCCATGGGCGTGGGAATTCGTCTGATGCCCGACGATCCTGGTCTACAGGCGAACATGATCATCTCCAACGAGCCTGGCTTTTATCAGGACGGAGAGTTCGGCATCCGTGTTGAGGACCTTGTTCAGATTGTGCCTGCTCAGGTGGCCAACAATTTTGCCAACCGTGGCGCCCTGACTTTCAAAACAATCACCATGTGCCCTAAGCAAACTAAAATGATCAAAAAAGAGCTCTTATCCGATGTGGAAGTGAAGCTGCTCAATACCTATCATCAGCAAGTTTGGGATACCCTATCGCCAATATTGTCACGCGAGGGAGACCAATTCACTTTGTCCTGGCTCAAAAAAGAGGTTCAGCCAATTTAATTGTTTCTTAAACTTGATCTTTTTCGTCATTCATATCTATTATACTCTCATATAATCTTTACTCGAGACTAAAACTGCTTTTATGTATCTTATTAATAGATAAATATTAAATTTTCACTTTGATCAACAAAAACTTTTTAAATAAATAAGTTGAAAAATAACGTTAAACTCACCTGAATCTTGGTGTTGAAGCTAAGCGTGTGCGTGGGCAGATCTATCACGAACTTGGCCCTTTGGCCGGTCACTCCCATTGAACTGACGTGGTTCATGCGATACTGGGCCTGTAGTGAAGGAAGCAAAGCCGCATTAATGGACAAACTTTGCAGCAGCACATTGAACTGCATGACAAGTGGCTGAAGCAATCCATTTTGGTGCTGGGCCGTTGCTGTCTTCGATTGCGCCATGTGAGCAGCCCGGCGAGCCGCCTGCTGCGGTTGCTGTTGCGCTCCTGCTCCACCGGAAACTGTGCGCTCGCGCATCTCGCTGGCCACTCCAGTTCCGCTGCTAGCTCCTCCTGAGTTGCGGGCATGGAATGGAGACTCCGGCTCTTCGGCAGTATGCGAACGCAGGGTAGATCGACCCGAATTACGCTTGACTCGCAGCTCCTGTAACGTGGATGACAATTGCTTCGAGCTACGAGTCATCATTCCGTGCAGAGCAACTGGATGTTGTGGGATGTCTATGTTGACAGCACCGATTGAGAGCAGTCCGCTGTTCTTATCCTTTCCTCGCTTCGAAAGGCTCGAATATAGAGTCTGGCTTTTACCAACGGTCACCTTTACAACGGTTCTGGAATTTAAGAAACATTTTATCATACAAAATTGGGCAAACAAAAAAAAAAAAAAAACTTACTGCTGGCTGGGAGCCACTCCCTCAAGCAGCACAATCATGGCTCGTCCCACTTGGCCAGTAAGCGAGCACTCTAAGGAGACAGGACGTGCTTTCTTTCTCCAAGTTGCTGTGCTGTTTAACGTGGTAATCTCCGACTCCAGCTTAAGACCGGAGAGCGTGGCCAGCAGGCGAGTTTTGTGGATCTTGGCCACGCCAAAGACAATCAGACGCGTTCGCTCGTGCGAGGGTGCATCCACCAAAAGCATCTCGCGGTGCTGAGGCAGGGGTGTTGGAGCACTGGCCAAATCATCCTCATCGTGACCGAAGCCCGCTGGTTTGCTCTTGTGCTCATTCAAGGAACTCCTTTGAACCACCGTCTTGGTTTCTGGCATGGTGCCGTACAATTCCAACAGGTGGTAGATGGTCTTCCAGCAGTTTGGAGTCTCCAACATTGGAGCCATTGTTGGCATACCCGCCTTGGTCAGAGTGTTTTGGTAATCCCCACTGACGCTGGTGGCACAAGCTCCATTAAGCGAAGCCTTCGACTCGGTGGTCATCTTAAGTATGCTCTGTTCGTGGAGTGACATGGTAGGACTATCCCTTAACGGCGATGAACTGGACTCATTCAGATTCGTGTAGCCCAGTTTGCCCTTCACTGATTTCCCCGTGGATCGAAGCTTCTGGGCAAAACTCTGCGGTCTGTTCTTGGCATTTGGAGAGGGTGTCAACTGGATGATGGGGGCCAAGCCTCCAGGACGCGGTCTAGCCAGCATTGTGGGCATGGTTTCGTTAAATTTGTCGTATCGTTCATCCGAGTAGTTCTCCGCATGAGCAAAACGCTCTGAGACTGAATTAAAAGCTAGGATGTCTGTTGGCTCAGAAGCTGGTCGAGAGAAATATTAAATTAAAAGGCGTTTTATGATTTCAAAATGAAAGATACATACCCAAACTGCACTCATCTTTGGTCTGACTCTTTTTACTCAGCTCAGGTTGTTCGTGGAACTCGTTCTGGGCATCCTTTACATTCTGGTACATATTGCAGATCTGATGAAGCAACCTCAACAGCGGCATATTAACCTTAATTTAAAGTAAAAAGATTGAGTTAGTTTTATTTAGTTTCTTTTAAGTTATTCCACCCACCTGCTGCGAGATAAATCTCACATTAAGGCTGAAATTAATCACAGTGCTGGTGTGCTTCTTCAACTGGCGACGCGACATATAGATGACATTCTGGCGAGCCTGATCCACCATGCCATCGGACATTTTGAGGACTTCCAACTCCACCCCCACTCGTTCGCATAAGAACAGTGGGGTATCCATCATTATGGAGGCCCTGCCGCCATTTGATTTTTTGTTCAGCTTGGCTGGTTTCTGCGCTGAGTTCTTTTTGTCACCAGCCTCGCTGACCACAATATCCACTCGTATGGAATCGAATGTACCGATAAGGGACAGGTTTGTGCCAAAGTTTTCCAGTGAAGAGATGTCAGCATTGGAGAACTTGTTGATCATCTGTTGAGGCATCACTCCTAAGCAAGTGAGCAGTGGTTCAAAGATCAAATGGGCATCCAGCAGCTTGATGGAATCCTGCATAATGCCACTGCGAGTTTGTCCTGCTTGACCATGCATTTTGGGAGGAGCGGGGCGAGTGTGTTCTTTTTCAGCAAAATGTTTCTTCTTGTTATCCTGCTGCTTTGCCATCCAGAAGTATAAATCTTCCTTGTGGTTCTCAGCTCCCAACCAGAACTTATTCACCGAGTTGGTGGAACTCAAGGAGCCCTCTTGCAAGGCTCCATATTCTATGGACAAAGCATAAATATGAAATCACTTTCTTAAGGATATATGTAAAAAAAAATACATACCGAATTCCGGAACCTGCTTTTCAACTAGCCCAGAAATAATGGGCAGCATCTGAATGCTGGAACGAGATGAATTGCCATGTGAATAATTCGAGGCTTTGCTGTGCACTTTATTGAGGCTGATGCACACGGATGTTTTTGGGGGAGAAGAACAGATCACAAGCATGACATTAATGAGATGGAAAATGGATATAAGCAGGCAAACATGTACAACTTACCCTCGACGAGGATGGTGTATATTTGGCGACGTAGAAGTAGATCGCTGAGAGGCTGTCCCATGGTTTCCAGCCTCGTGGCCATAAGGAACACCTCCGTACTGATTGTTTTCTGTATAGAAAAGTTAGGAAAAAACCGTAAATAAAGGATGGTTACTTATTTTATTACAGCACTCTTCAAGAAAGCACTCTTCTTGGGATGTTGTACACTGAACGAAAAAGTGTTTGGGTAGTTACAGAACCATAGAAGAAATAAAGCTTGAAAGAAGAGTAGGTTAAGAAAAATTTACAGGCTTCTCATCCGATATTGTTCGCTTAATGTACAACATACTCAAAATAAAATTTAGGTCCATAGGTATAGATATAGTAATAGCCAGAAAGGATAGAAGAGTTGTATTGTTCTGTAGAGTAATGCAAACGCAAAGCATCAACAATATGAAGTGGTGAACACTCAAAGCGGTGGATAACATTTGTGTAGTAGGAGTGTAAAGAGATAGAATAGGAAATTGAAGGAAAAGGAGGATAGATCAAAGCAACATACACACGCAGACACAATCTTGAACTTGGTTAACAAACAATCAAAACGTGCATCAAACAGGAAGGAGGAAAATATAGAAATAGTCTATAACTATACATATATCTAGGTTAAAAGGAGATAACCACCCGCCACAGACGGCGGGCAGGAGAGCGTTAATCAAAAAAATACCAATGTGAGTTCGATGATGCTGTGTTTGCCCAAGTAATAAAGCATTCTCACTCTCTTCCGGATTCTCGCCGACGCCCGAAAAGGCGCCCATTTCAACATCACCTTCGCACTCATCGTTCTCCGCCTCCTCCTCGTTTTGGGGGAACGAAAAGGTCACGTTGATGGGTCGGGCCAGCTTGTTCTTGTACTGGTGCTCGAACAGGATGGGATTGTACAGGGTATTCTTCCACTGCCGACTCAACACAATGATTCCCTGTAGAATAATGATAATTAAATTAGTTTCGGAAAGATGTGTGTATGGGAATTACGCACCTGTCGCAAAGTGTTTAAATGTGGCACATCGTGTTGCTTGAAAATCGGCTCAATCCTCTGAACACCCTCGTCCAGGACCAACTTCTGCATGATGTAGCACAGCTGGCAACTGGGATCCTCCTGCAGGGTCTTGGAAAGCAGGGTGTAGTTGTTGGCATAGCGACTCTGCAAAAAGAATAATTATATTACAATGTGAACATAAAACTGGTAAATGGTGTGATATTTAACAGGTGAAGCATATGTTTATATTTAAACCAGTATACCTCTTTTGTTACCTTCTTGATCTTCGGGTTTCTCTGGATCTTTTCATTGTCCATGGCCTCCGCCATGAGACAAGCAGCCACAGCCGTTTGCCTTGTGTGGAGAGCCTTCATCAGGGATACGATCTTGATAGCCAGGCGATTGCTGGGATTCATCCATGCCGTGATTGCCGGCGAAGCAGTGCTCAAAAGATTCCAATCCAAGCGCGTCAGATCAATCTTGCGGGTAATTGGCACGCAAGGTGGAGCAGCAAAGTTGAACCAAACCGCTTTTAGTTCGATCACGCAAGAGGAAGTCTTATCCGTTTCCTTGACATTGGACAAAACCTTGTCGTATGCATCCTTGGAGTTGGTTCCTGCCCCGGCAGCGGGTTTCTGAGCTCCTGGTGGAATATTCGCAGTGCTGGTTCCCTTTTCCACATCTTCATCTGGAGGTTTGGGTGTAGATTTTCTTTGTTCAGCTGCAGAGGAGCTATCTCCCGCAATATTGCTATCCGAGGCGGGCTGAAACTTTTCCTTGGGCGTTTTGGGAGTTGGAGGTTTCTTGGTAATCAATCGCCAGGCGGCCTCGGCCTTTGATGTGGCTCCAGAATCTCCGCTAGCTGTTGCTCCGTCGCCTTGGCCAACCAAATCGTTGAGATTAAAGCCACCGGCGGTATTCGCACCTCCTGCACCCGCTCCGGCCATTTCGGCCAGCTCCTCTTTGCTGTTCTCTGACTTTTCAAAGTGCGATCGCTTCACTATCTTTACACCCACGCCCTCCAAGCCACACTCGAACATAATGTAGCCAATGCTTTCGATACCCGTGCTCTCCGGCATTTTCAGGCACTCAAACAGCACTTTGCTCTTGTGTTCTGGAATGGCGGTGACGATGATGGGTGAGTCCTGGGCACAGGATTGCCCCTCGGTCTTCAGCCGGCGAAGCTGGGCATGCGCCCTTCCGATATCCAACGTGATTACCAGCTCCTCCAGCTGCTTTTCCGATGTCTCGATAAGGATGGGCTCTCCCTGGACATTGTCGGGTCGCGTTTGAGATGAAAGATGTGCCAAGAGGGCGCGAGTGCCCTTCATGATGCCACCCTTCTTGTTACTGCTGCCCGATTGGACCGTCTGCTGGATATACACGTTGTGCATGGAGGCGCGCGTCGTTTTGCCAAGGTGGAACTTCGTGGAGATGCCCTCCATGTAGAAGGTAAGCAGGGAGACGCAGCTTAGATCCTTTAAAAATAGATGATTATTAAATTATAACTTTGTCTAAAAGATTTCTTGTCTGATATGCTTACCTGCACATTATCCAACGCTGCCACCGAGATAATCTCCTCTACAATGGAGGACTGCAGCATGGTGATGCTGACCTTGGGCAGCACAATCAACCCCTGGGTCTTGGTCGATATACTCTCCTCGTAAACATCGCTAAGGAACGAGTCACCGGGTCCCTGAAGGTGTCGTTCTGTTGTGGATCGCTTCGAGTTGGAGTGCACCTGCGACCAGTAACTCAAACTCTGGTCCCGTTTCAGGATGTTGTCGTTGTTAACCTTTGCGATGCAGGAGGTATGGATGAAGTTCACCACCGAGAGCAGGTGCATCGATTGGATGGTTGGTACCGCAGCTTCCACCATTCTTAAATTAAAAATCACAACATTTTGGTAAAACATTTTGGAATACTGGATAACTTAAAAGTAAAATTTTATAAATATATAATATATTCTTTAAATAAGAAAATGTAATATTGAGTATGTTAGGGTTTTAGGAACGTTTTTTTTAATAATCGTAACTGTTTAAAAACTGTTTAAAAGTATTTATGTAAAAAAAATTTTTTTAATGTAGAAACATAATTTTTGGTATATTTTTGATTCGCATATTATAGTATTTTCATGGGATGGGATTATAATGGTCATAGTGCGGTCACACTTGAACCACACGTGTAGGTAAAAAACAGAAGTTAAAATGAAAACACCGAAAGCCAAAGAATCGACAAAAGCTGAGTTAAAGCCGGTAAAGCAAGAGCCTGGCGTTGCGGAGGAGGGTAAAGTGGTCAAAAAGGCGAAAAACAAGCCCCAAAAAAAGGCTGTCAAACTGCCAAAAGAGGAGGTAACTGCCGCGGTTCAGGAGAGTCCCAAGAAGCTATCAGCTAAAGACCTGGCCAAAATCGAGAAAAAGAAGGCCAAGAAGCAGGCACAAAAGCTGAAAAAGCAGCAGAACAAACTGTCAGCCAAGGATAAGAAGGAACCTGAAACCACAAGTAAAGTCGAGGAAAAGGCCATCAAAAAAGAGAAAAAACAAGAGGAAACTAAACCGGCCTCCAAAGAAAAACCCAAGAGTAAAGCAAAGGCCAACAACAAAAAAGAAGGTAAGTTTATACACAAAATAAACAAGACCGTTATTATTAATAAACCTATAATTTTTCCAATAGATGGAGTCAAGCGGGAACGCAATCCCGCTGACGAAGCAGCCACCGTATTTGTGGGTAACTTGCCCATAAACACCAAGCGCGTCCAGCTCGTCAAGCTATTCCAGCAATACGGAGTAGTGCAATCCATTCGGTTGCGAACCGCCGGTGGCAAGCAGCTCTTTAAGCACAAACAGCGCAAGGGAGCCGGCTCCCTTAACGCCTATGTAGTGCTCCAAAACTCGGAGATTGCCCAACAGGCACTGGCTCTAAATGGCACCGAGTTTAAGGAACATCACTTGCGAGTGACACCCGCTGCCAAGGCAGAAGCGTATGCCAAGGGACAGGATCAACAGCCCAATGATGCGGATGCCAAGCGAACCATTTTCGTAGGCAGCCTCAAATACTGTAAGTTAAGAGATCTGAACATTTTATATGAATGCTAATAACGAACCTCTTTCCCTCAAGCGGCCAACGAGGAGAAACTGCGCGAGATATTCTCCAGCTGCGGTGAGATTGACTACATTCGCTGCCTCCAGGATGGTGACAAAGGATGCAAGGGCGTGGCCTATGTGTGCTTCCAAAAACCCGATGCCGTAGGCCTAGCTTTGGAGCTGAATCAAACCCTTCTCGACGACAGACCCATCAACGTGGAACGCTATCAGGTTAAAAAGCTGGGCGCGAAGCAAATACGAGACGCTGCCGCCGCCTCTGCTGCATCAAGCGTTTCTTCAAAGGCTAAGGCCAAAAAACAGAACTCAACGGGTGCCAAAAAGCGACTGGACAAGAAGAAGGGCAAGGAGAACGGTACACCGGCAAAGCAAGCAGCAACTGGAGGTCAGAAGAAGAAGTCCGAGTACCGTGGCGTAAAAGTCGATGGTATCAAGAAGGCCAAAAAGCCAAAAAAGAAGAGCAACGACCAACAAACTGCTTTGGCCAAGAAAATAGCCCCCAAGCCGAAGAGTTAATTTAAATGTAGTTTAGTTCTAGGGCTTAAAATAAGTTGCAATCAAATCGAAAAAGATTCATTTGATTTTGTTTTACGAAGTTGACCACCGGCTTTGTTTCCGTAAAGCATATAATCATTGGATGTTGACGGAGTAATCGCTTAATCTTTAAAGATTACTAGATAACTTTTTTAAGATTAAAATAAAAGTGAATTTTTTAAAATTGTTGTGTTGTATTAATAGAAGCTAGGGAAATATTTTCAGCCGATAATATCAAAGAAGGTTTTGCAATTATGATCAAATCCACTTCAAACGTAACTTATTTGTTATGAAAATAAAATGTTTCTGCTTGGGGTCTGCTTACTTTTCATAGTGAATCCCTTATTGCTGAAAGCTTATCCTGTGGTAAGTTTAGTAAAGAACACTTTTCAGTGCATACCGAAATTATTTAGCAGCAATCCAAGGCTAAGTCGGATGAACCCGGTATCCTACCCGCTCCCTTATCCGAGCCAGCTGATTATCCCGATCTTACAAATGGCCTTAGCGACGACGAGGTTCAGGAAAGTCTTCAGGACTTAACCCTAGATGATCTAAACTCATTGGATAAACTCCTCGATGAGCACAGCAGTCAAGACGAAGACGCCGACACAGACGGTAAGTAATCAAAGCATTGTATCTTCCATTATCAACGGCTGAAAACTTTCAAAGCAAGCGAGTCTAAGAACTCAAAGTAGAAGGGCGAAGGCCAATAAGCAGAAGCAGGGCTTTGACTCTTGGGATTCAGAATTTGATGATGGCTGCCGGGATGATGAGGATTCCGATGATCCGAGGCCCAATCAATGCACCAAACGACCCAATTGCCAGACTACCAAGCGGTACTGCAAGAAGCCCACTTGCCCACCAAAAACTACTCGAGCGTGCAACAGTAGGCCGTCAAATGATAATTGCAAGCAAAAATCAAATGGCTACATGGATGACGACATGACGCCAGAGACCACCAAGTGTCCCAAGCCGAAGCCAAAAAAATGCAAGAAGCCAAAGGACGACTTGGAGTGCGATGCAGATGATTTCCTGTGCCACGCCATGAAGCGGGAAAGATTGAAAGCGGGTAGAAGAAACCACCAAGAGGATAAAGTAGCTCCTGATGCTTTGGCGGAATATGTTCCGGGGAGAGAACTAGCTGGAATAGAGCAGCTGGGAGAGCAGATATTACCCGCATTCAATGATCAAGGGGAACCGATAGATGAGAGTTTTGATTTTGAGTCAGTTAAATTGGAACAATCTGGACAACCAGACATACAGTTTAAGGGTAAGTTCGATTTAGAGCTTAAAGACCCATTTAATGCTGAACAAGAACAAGAATCCAAGTTGGACAAGAGAAACCAGGAATATTTAGATCAGGAACACCAGTCGAGTAGAAATAATCGTTATGCGGCTAACCTTAATGTAAAGCAAAAACATAGAGAAAACTTTATGAACGCATATGCGTCAAATATAAAACAAGATAATCTCAAGAACTTGGATCAGGAAAACGTTGTAAATTTAAAAGACGAAAATGGTGCTAATGGGGATTATAGTCAAGAAAATTTGAAGCAGGAAAACCAAGAACTAAATAATCTAGAAAATGTAAATCACGAATACTGGTCCAACATGAAGCTAGATAGTCAGAAAAACTTAGATCAGGAACGTCAAGTAAACGTGAAGAATGAGTATAGTCCCAACGTTGAACTTGATAAGCTCGACAATTTTGACCAAAATAACGAAAACCTAAAGCAATATTACAGTTCTAACGCGAAACTAGACAATCATGAAATGTCGCTGCAAAAAAATCAAGAAAGCTTGAAACACGAATATAACTTGGAACCAGAAAATCATCAAAATTTTGAGCAAGAAAATGTAGTAAAACTTAAACATGAAGATCAAGCGAACTTTGGAACTGATTTTGAGTCACATCATGGTGCTAACTTAGAGCAAGGTCAGGTCAATTTTGATCATGAATCCCAATCAAATTTTGACGAGGAAAACCAGTCAAATAATCATCAGGCAAATTTTGTTCAGGAGCACCAGTCTAATTTGGAAAGGGAAAGAAATTTAGAGCAGGATAATCAGGCCAACTTGGAAATGGGAAACCAGTATAATTTTGAAAGGAAACAACAGTTTAACATTGACCAAGAACATCAGGAATCCTTTAATAATGAAAATCTGGCTAATTTGCATCCTAATGAACAGCAAATATTTCCCGATCAGAAGGATTCCAGTATGGAGGGAGTGAAACAAGTAGTAGAAGTCCCAGCACCACTTAATTCCTACGACCGCAATCAGTACTCCAGGATTGCCTCTCGAAAAAGAAAGCAATCTGAAGCACTTAAGGAGTCCTCACATAATGAAGATGAAAAAAAGGAGGCATTTGGCAATGATGAACATATACCATTGAACCCATCACTAAAAAAACAGGAACCTCTTTTCGATAGCGACAGGTAATCTTCTCTGTTTAATAAATCTTTGAATTCTTTCAAAATTTACATTTATCCGTTTTAGTTTTATTGCCAACAATGCCCGTGACCCACCTCGGTATCTAATTCAAATGCAAAACGACTACATTAAAAGTGAAAACGATAATGGCGAACGTCGATTGCGAGAGGATCGAAGTCAGAGCGAAGCGTTAAACCTGGACCATCTTACCGACGAGGAATCCAGTCCAATAGGGGATTTGAATTTAAAATCCAACTATAAGAGGAGCAAGCGAGAGAATAAAGAAAGTGATGATGCCCCGGAGGTGAGTGGATAACCGCAAAACTCCTAAACGAATATAGATTTCTATGCAGTAGAATTCCAAAGAAACATATATAAAGAAGCTGATGGACTCATTTCCGCGGGATCAGGGTGGCCAGATAAACGCCAATGCCGCTCTGAGGGGATCCAATCTCGCCCATTTGCGCATTAAGCGAAGTTGAGTTTTATTTTGTTATTTTCACACTGATTAATTAATGTCTGACCTTGTATATTTTTTATAAACAGTCATAAACTGATAAACCGATTGTTTTCGCTAGAGTTCATGTTTGTTGTTTTGCGCATTAAAAAATAAGCAATATTAATCCTATATCTTTGCAAGTGATTTTAAAGCAATTCTTTCTAAATTATTATTACAGTTCGTAATTATTATCACTTACCGCTGTAATCCTTCCAGCAAAAGCGGTGTAAGGAAAATGTTCAGTTGTCCTTTTAGCCTGGCCACCACCGAAGTGCATGCCGCTCCTCCTTCCGCCTGCAGACTCATGAACTCGCCATCATCGAAACCGTTCGTGGTCTTGTCCGATTCCTCCTCCTTCAGCAGCACACTCGGATCCCAGGGATGCGACTTGGGTCCCCCCATAAATGTGGCCGAGCTGTTGCTGCCAGTGGCATTCTCGTATCGGGGAACCACCTTAATCTCCCGCCAGCACGAGTAGAGATCAAAGTGGGGCAGCATTTTACTGCCAATATAGGTCAACCCGCCGTCTTCGTTCTCGGAGAAGAGGGGCGTGGAAAATACATCTGGACCCAGAGGAAAGGAGCAACCATTCCAGTTGAAGCACTTCACCTGCGACAAGTGGTTTAGGTAGCTGGCCATCAGCAATGGCGAGTCGATGATCGGCCTGTTGACCTGCTGGTGCAGATTGACCAGCGCCACATCCTCCTGCGACGACATGGCCGATATGAAGGAGTTGGAAGACAGTGACGGAGTGCCAGAGGAAGAGCCGCGAGAATCAGCCTGTGAAATGGAGAAGAATTTAAAAGATTAGAATTTGGTTTCAATGCAGCTTTGGTTTACTTTTCAGCTGCTACAACTAAAATAGCCAGATCAAAGGGCACAAGCAGAAAAATCGTGAGAAACATTTATCTTGAAGTGCAGCGAAGATTAAGGTCTGTTTTGGGCCTCAGAACTTTTAAAACTCCAAATCAAAATTATTTAAAAATTTGTTAAAATATTCCTATTAAAAACAACTTAAAGCACAGTTTTTAACTTTAATCAAAACCAAAATAGACCGAAAAATGGAAACGAATAAATTCTGTTATCATGAAACCCAAACTTCTGGCTTAGAAGTGCGCAATCTTAACTTAAAAGTAGTTTTGTACCCGGTTGGATCCAATAAACTCCACATGCACTAATTTCCAACATCCATGCAATTTTTGATAGCCGAACCAGTTTTTAATATTATCAAGAATTTCGGAATTAAAGGAATAAAAATCTACGGATACATTGAGATTGGTCAGAATAGACTAGCATAATAATTTCGGTTTAGTTGCGCTACTTGTTAGTTAGAAGAGGTTGGTTGGTTGTTGGTTGTTGGTACTAAAAACTACTCACATCATGAACAAAATGTCGGTACTCAGGTCGTGATGAGATATTTGTTATTTTTCTTATTGGTGTGGCAAGACCGTGAATGCGTCTCGCGTCTTCGTTCTGGATGAGTTTTGATTTAGGTTTCGGTTTTTATATCGATTTGGTTAGTTCATTGATTGATTTTTGTTTTCGATTTAAGATGAGTCGAGTTTGAGGAGAGGAATAGATTTTAGGTGTGGTTTACAGAATTATTAACGGTCTCTAAACGTCTTTGTATTTTCACTTCGTTCGAAGTAATTCTTTTAACCAGACATTTAGAAATCGTTGCTTAAGACTTATTTATAATTGATATATGTATAGTAATGGATAGACAGAATTATGTTATAAGAGCGAAGCATGCACTGAAAGAGACTCGAATCGAATAAGTTTTCGAAATCGGTTCTTATTGCCGCCTTGATTAATACTTGGGTGATATTGGATTTAGTGAGAAACAGAGTGAAATATAAACTTGGCTTCAAAGCAGCAAAGCTAAACGCGCTTGGTGTACATAAATCACTGTATAGTTCGACCTAACATGGTAGTATACATAAAGTATTGGCGTAATTGATTGTTCAGCTTTACCAGTTCGGTGGTGCTCTGCGGGCGCTTTGGAAGTGTTTTGTTGCCATCGGGAGCGTGGATCTCCAGATCGCTGCGATACGTCGGCAACGTGTGGCTTCCGTTTTCCGCACCAATACTATGAATAAAAATATATTGTTGATTAATGAAACAATATATATAATCGGGATTTATTTACCTTAAGTCCGATGAGAATCGCTTCTTTCCAGACAGCACCACTGATCCGCTGTTTGCACTATTCCGTTGCTTCATGGATCCTCGCTGGGACATCACATTCGATATGTCCTCCTCGGCGGAGAAGAACATCTCCGAGGGGTTCTCCGATGTCAGCGATATCGTGCGCTGCACCTCGCGAGGCAGCTGGTCTCCTCCAAGTCCCTGAACATGGAGCGCTATATCCGCTATCTCAAATTCCAAGGGATGGGAGTGAGGTGCCGAGTGTGACATTTCATCTGGTATCTGAAGAGTAACAGCGAGAGGATATTAATAATGCTGAAAATCAAATAAAGAATTGTGCACCCCACCTCATGTTCATCATCGAGAACATCGCCTGTTAGTCTGGAATCGGATATGCTCGTTTTGGGCGGCGAAACTCGCAGCCTGTTTGAATCCGATCCACGACGATGGCCACTTCCTACGTCGCCAGTCGACGCTTCATGTTGCATCTGGAGCTTCTTGGAGGGACTATCCAGCAGGCGAGCGTAGGGCACCTCCACGGAAGTCTGCCGAGTGCAGGGATACCGCTTGCTTCTCCTTTCCAAAGTGTTTGGTGAACCGATGCTCTCCCGGGATTTGTTTCGACAACTGATGTCCGGCTTCTCCACTCCAGCGGTTCCAGAGGCTCCAATCTTAAACTTGGTGCCATCGGGCAGAGAACAGAGATCCGTCTTCTTGAGACTTCCGTTTCGCAGATCTCCGGCCGGCCTGTACAGACGGCCCTTACCATTGAAGTCTGCAGAGTCGTAGAGCGAAACGCAGTGGAGACTGTAGGGCGGGGTGTGGAAGACGAGTTGACCCTGGTGGAGAATGCTCTCGCCGAAACCAAAGTCCTTGTTGTTGTTGATTATGCTGCAATCGGAAACAAATTTTTAATAGATTGATTTATCATCACAATTAAAAATCATTTTCGGTAGCAATTATTTCAATTTGATAAGTTTTTTGCTGATCACAAATGACAAGCGAAACTGATACCATTCCGATATGACAAGTGTATCAATTACTGCAATTACAAGCAATTTGACTTTGAACTGCTATCGCTGTTGATAATACAAATAACACACGCTTGTGCTTCTTTAAATTTAATGAAAAAAAAAACGAAAAATGAATAAAAGTTTCTGACTCACAAGTAACGCGCTATGTTGTAGTTATCGTGAACATCCTGAGCCGTGGGCTTGAAGAACTTCTGACCATTCCTGTTGCTGCCAAAGAAGACACAACCACCGATGCAGCCACAGCGCGAGATCTCGCTTCCGGAGGACAGGGCGCTTCCATTATGAGACCACAAGAACCAAAGTCGCTTGAATTTGGCGTCGTGCTCACGAAGGAAACTGAAAATAAAAAGAATTATATTTTAATTGGTATAGAATTGAAATGTATAATAATTTATATCTTACTTGTGCTGCACGAGGTGGAGTTCGTGATCTGGAATGGGCAGGGCGGAAGCTCCTTCTAACAGAATGGGTCCCAGCGAGGTGCAGCCCACCTCCACCCAGTTCTCACAAAGTTCCGCGGTGTCCGGCGTTCGTTTGGCATGTGCTTCCGAGAAACTATCCCTCAACTTGCGGGTGGCCTCCTCCCGCGAATCCCGCCGTGAAAAGGAGTTTGAGCTGCGCTTTCCCGTCCTTCCATGCGTGTTATAATGTGATCCTCCAGCATCTTGGGATTTCAGAGAGTCTTGATCCGCTCGCCTTAGTTTGCCCGACCGATTGCTGCCCGTGGTGTTGGTGTTAAAATTTGAATTTGTCGTGTGCAGCATAAACAAACGCAGTAGAATGGAGGGCAGCAAGCCGGAGATCCCAGATTTGACACGCTGGCCGTGAAGATTACAGTTGGCCAGGCGGATGGGCGAGATCCAAGCATGCAAGGCAGTGCCACTCTCTATCAGATAGACGTCCACAGCGTCCACCGAAACTCGCGTCATTTTGTATTTTATGTCCTCGGAGGAGGGACACTTGTACTTCTTCTCCTCCTTGGTTTGAGGGCACAAATTGCTGGGCACTCCGTGATGGCAGTTCCTTACGGTCTTCGGTGACTTCAAACAGTTTTCCGGGTCAATGGCAAGGAGGATGAGTGTCTCCAGTCCGGTGACCACATTTACCAGTTGCGGCAGGGTTAGTTTCCCAGTAAGTTTTCCCAACTGCACCTCCACTAGCCAAGAGTACTCCAGGGTATCCTCGTCCAAAGCGCAGCCTTCGTTGCTGAACATGGCATGGCCTCTCACCTGGACTGCTGAGAGCATCAGATGACCCTGGTTGATGTGCTGCTCCCGCTGCGAACGCTGCAGGCAATCCGAGGTCAGTAAATACGACGGACTCACCAGCACCTGCAGTGTGGTTTCATGGTATTTCTTGTTCATCTCGAAGCCGAATCGCTCAATCAACACCACCGGACACGGGGGATCGTCTTCATTGCAGTTCTTCATCACGTGCGCCTGAATGTCATGAACAATCACAGAAACCATCACTTCCAGAGGTCGATATAATCGGGGATCGAATGGTTTGCGCTTTTCCTCAGGCGCCTGGGTTTCCGAAATGGATTTGTTGGCCAGTTCCTTTTCCTTGGCTAGTAGTTGGTCTTTGGGATTTAGCTGCGCTGCTCCGGGCTCCTTCATATTTACATTCGACTGCTCCATGTCCGTAAAGTTCTGATCTTCGCCGAAGATATTCTCCTTGAGGTTGATGAAGTTGCGCAGCACATTGCCATAGGCCATAAGCACCGAACTACCAATCTCCAGTTCCACGGTAACATGATCTGCAGCCAGCGTACCAGGATCAAATTTACTATACTGCTCAGGTGGCTGCTGCCAGGTGCTCACTGGTGATTTCCTCACTTTAGGTATCCGCATGGGACTCAGCAGGATCTCCTCTTTTTCCGGCGTTGTAATATCCGCTTGAGGATCTGGTCCCAACGGCGGGACCGGATGATAAACATACTGAATGGACAGCGCCAGAATAGGAACTGCCCAGCAGTCGATCCAACCGGCAGAGCGCTGGCAAATCTTGCGCCACTTTTTCGAGTACAACTCCGGGCGCCGGATGAGCTTGCCCTCCCTGGTCAGCAGTCTTGCGTTCTCATCTATGGCTAAAACAATAGGTCGCACCGAAGACACCTCAGGTACGTACAAGCTCAAGTCCAAGCCCTCGCCGTGGATCCAGAACTTCAAAGTCACCGTCTTGGGCAGGAAATCGTCGAAGGGCAGGGCGAAACTCATCTCGAAAACGTCTCCGCAGAAGGCCAAGTGGTTGTTCTCCTGGTTGGCACTACTGCAATCGATCCAGTTGTACTCGTTGCACAGCATCAGAATCTCAAACTCGTGCAGTCGGATGCTAAAGTTGCAGGTGTATGGAACGAAGCTAAGAATATCCGGCCTGGCCTTATTCGCCCAATCCTCGATGAGATCCTGGAAGAAGCACTTGTGCTTGTACACAATGAAAGCACTCGTCTTGCAGCCGGAAAGGGAGATGCTCCAATCCTGCGGTGCATTCCACTTGGTGGGATAGTGAATTCGCACCTTGTACTCCAGGGATTCAAACTCCGCCAGGCTGCGATACTGCAGCGATGTGGTGGCTTCCACGTGGAAGAGCTGTCCCTGGATCTTGGAAGTATACCCATCCGGTTGGGTGACCCACGGAATCGTAACCTCTACATAAGAAGCCGGTCCCACAGTTATGTGCATGGCGTTTGTCTCTTTCTCCTTCGAAAAGAGTATGTCAATGGTGGCTTCGTTCAGCACGCACAAGGTCACATCGAAGGATTGATAGCTGCGCAGTTCCCCAGGCTGAGGAGTGGGTGTCACTTCCGCTTCCTTCCAATCCGATGGGTAAAAGTACTTGTACAGATGATCTCTTTGACGATCTGCCCAGGGTCCATAGCTGAAGTCCGTGCCTTTGAGGCACCTCGCATTGATTCCCCAAACCGGAGGCGAAGGCTCCACCACATCGCCGTTGGGCAGGACGATTTGTACAGGTTGCTCCGGCACAACTCCCGGTTCATCCATGTAGAAGTACAGATCCATTTGGTTGGACATCATCACCACAAAGCCTTCGCCCATATATCGAGGTGGTTCATCAATCAAACCCGTATACTTCGGACTCGGACAGAACAGCACTTTGGCGTTCTCCACTTTTGCTTTCACAAAGTGCATAAAGTGATCCAATCTGCAGACAGCTGGTTTTGTGCTGTAGGTGCAATGGGCTTCCTCCACCGAAATCGAGAGAGTAGTCGGCGTCAAACGGTTTCCGAAGACAAAGCGGCCGGAGCAGACGTCAATCTTGATGACCGGAATCAAATCCCGCCAAGTGGTGGCCTGCATGGCCTCCGAGTTCTTCACGTTCTGGATCCTCTGGCTCTGACGCGCATTCTCCAGATTCATGTGGTGCTCCTTCAACTTGTTCCTCTCCTCATTGCTCACCACATCAGTTGGTATGAGCAGCGATGGCTCCAGTCCAAAGGTCTTCTCCAGCGTGTCGTACAAATCGGATCTGTTGTATATGTGCAGCTCGTAGCCATTTAGTTGGACCGATAAACGGGTGTCCGAGTGGGAAAGATCTACGCAAAATGAATTAAAATGTTTTATTGAAATCATAAGAAGCTCATAGATCAAGCTTACCCTCAGAGACATCCTTTGGCACGTAGGAGCGCCACCAGCGAAATATAAAGTATCCGTCCTGCGCTCGCACCGTGTAGTCATAGGTTATATACACAAAGTCCCGGAACATGATCTTCCCAGCCAGCGGATTAAGGGCCACCGAACCGATCTTAAAGTACGCACCCTTGATGAACCAGCGATTGGCGATCTTCGTGATCAGCATTCCAATCACTCGTGAATTGTAGAACGTGATGTACGTCACCCAAGTAATCGTGGTCAGCAACGAGGCGAGCAGCCATATCTAAAAAGGGCGGAGATCGATTAGGTGTTGAGAATATTGTAGAAAGAAAAGTAAGAGTTTTTGAAAATTATTTAACAACAACTTCATTTCGTTCTTCCCTTACGACCTCAAATTCTCTGTCCACTTTTTATGTCAACCATATTAAAACATATTCATTTTGTCTATGGGTTTTTTATCTGCTTTAAATTTTTAGGCTTAAAAGGGATTAAAGATCAAATGCCATTAGGCAATTGTACTTAAATAAAAATCCAAAGGGCAGAATAAATCTTAAAATGATAAACACAAATGCATTTTCTGGACTAAATATATTTTCAAAATGTATAAAATATATAATACAAATTTACAAACATTTCCGACTATTTTCTATCCGTTCATTACTCTTAATAAACGATTGAGAAGCAGATCCATAATTTAATTATCTTAATTGCGTCAAGAATGGGTAAGAACATCTTTTTGTAAAATTTAATATGTTGATCCTTAGAATCGTCACAAGCTTTATCGAAATGACCAAAATGTGCTACGTATAATTTTAAGCTATTTTCCTTCGAAAGTTGAAATTCTGATTTCTCAACTGGACTTTAATTCGCGCACAATCAGAGACATGGAAATGAGCAGCTGGGCGGCGATCTAATAATCCTCTAAGAGCACCACGTCTCCAGGACCTTGAAGGGTGTGTCCGTAAAAATGCAACCGGTGAACTGATCGCTTTCCTCCTCCTGGATAACAATGCATCCATTCGCATTGGTAAAGGCCAAATTACGAGCCAGAAACTGCGCCTCCCGGTGCTTCTTTCGACTGGCGTGGGCGGACCGGAAGTGGGCGCGGCCAGTCAGAGGATTGACAAAGTCCGCCCAATATCCGTTATGCATGATCTCGCGGGAATTGTGGCTCGCGATGAGGACAAAAGAGCGGAGGGCACTGTCGGCATCCGTGTCCTTGAAACGCAGTCCAATCATGCTAAAATTCATCGAGCTGTCGAAGCTGGCGTACGGATGTTGGAACAGGCGGCGCATGTAGATCACCAGCAGCTTGGGGCAGGCCAAAACAAACATGTCGGAGGGCGAGACCATAGACCCTGAAACACTGTCGCTCTCCTTGACCAGCGATTGTGCATCCGCCGGATAGTAGGCGGAGCCACACGGATCCATCGATGAAATTAGACCCTGGTACGCCGGACCCACACAGTGCGGCATGTAGAACAGATCGGTGTGGCGACTATGAAGGATCGGAAATTGTGGATCCAGGGCTTCCTGCTCGTCCTCCGGCTCCATGTCCTGGTCGTCGGGAAAGACCAGTTCCGGAAAGCTGCTGCTACCGCTGGACCGTCGCACATGGGTCATCATCTGGGACTGGCGCGTCACTAGGCGCTGTATTAATAATCGCAAGGGCTGCATCTTTTCTTTTAAGTCAAGAACTTCTATGCGGAATTAAAAGGTTCAGAGTAACGTTTCGCTAGGTGCCCGAATTTCTGCTGCAAACCACGAAAACTAAGGTTATCTTATGTTCTTATGAATAATGAAAATTTTGATGTTTTATGTAAATTGGGGAGGAAAACACTATGACTGATTTGGAGCTCTGAGTGTTTGACAGCTTTTCTATGTGCTGTGCGATTCTGGTACTTTTATGAACGTTGCTATTCCAGTAGCCTAGATCTTTATTCTAAATCACTAGATTATCGCTTTCGACAGTTTGCAATTGACAATAAACGTTAAACCTCAAAGATCGAATAAGTAGATATTTTATAACCGAAGAAAGTCTAAAAGGTGTGAGTTTTTGAAAGAACCTAAAGAGCTTCATAGAATAATTTTGAATTTAGGGACTAGGCTTACTAAACTATTATTTCTTTATCAAAAGGAAACTTTTACTTCATTAAATGGGTATTTATTTTATACAGAATCTATAAGTCAACCAAAATTAGTAAACAAGCTTTCTGTAATCAATGTCAGCTGTGTGATGCAGGAAAACCAACAACAGTATATTAACATTTCATTCATCTTAACTACATATACATATGTACTTTAGAACAAGTACATAAAATACTTGAATGAAACTAGCAATGTTAAAATTAACTCTACAGCATTGAAAAGATTATTTTAAAGAGATGATCTTGAAGGTCTTATCAGCAGAGAAAAATGATCAAGTCTTTATTCTTTCCATTTGTATGTATTTGTATTAAAAAATTTAAAACGTTTATGAGTTCATATAAGCTGAATTTAATAATTCCCAACCGGGTTTGATTTTATATTTTTTTTACAAAAATATCACTATAGGTAATTTTTAAAATGACTTTAAGCAAATAAATTTTTTCAATTTTAAAAATGGATTTTTTTGATCGACCCTAAGAAACGGATTAAAACCAATATACGCTGATAAGATTCTTTATCAAAGCCATTAAGATTTTTTTTTTTTTTATAACCAAGGAAAGTATTTTCTGTTCTGCCACTATATGCAGTGCACAAGCAACAACGCAAGCACAAATCATGGAAGAAATGGTGACAGCTGAATAAAAAGTTTGTTTTGAGCGATAGAACTTATAGATCAGCCTAGAATCCAGTCTTATCAGAGTGATCGAGGGGAACAAGTAGTACGGAATGGAATGGGAGGGCAGTGTATGTCAATGACCAAATGCCGCTGATTGATAAGCTTCCCGCTTCTCCCGTCGACCATTAACGTGGAGATAAAGCCGTTTGTCGGTTGATTCACTGGCATACCAGACGTATTAATCAAATTATATGCCCTCATGATGGGTATTCAGTTTCACATTCAAATGGAAGCTACATTAATGCGTATTATTACCATGCGCGCATCCAGATTCATGTCGTTTAGGGAGACATTGTGGGTGCTGTTCCAGGTGCCCACTTCTGGGAATCCCATTGGAAGGCTGTCGTCGCTGGTGTCCTCCACTTCCAACGCCTCCATCGCTGCTATGTGTGTGTGTTTGTAGGCGGGGCGGATTAGGTGTGCTGCTGCTTTTGTGTTATTGCTGCTGCTGCTACTCAAATTTCGCACCTGCGATTATCGATTACTCATCGCCGCACTCATTATCACCGATCGCAGGCTATATATAATGGCATTATTCGATTATGGATTGCTCAATCCTTAAAACTTAAATTTAATTTACTATTCTACACACACACACTACGGGTAAACACACACGCACACAGATTCGATTTTTCCCACTTTGTATCGGAGGTCGCGGGTGTCTCAATTTTCGTTTCGAATTTTCACGCTTTTATCTCGGGGCAGCGCGTTGCCGTTATTATCACAGCAAGAGTTGCAACTACTCGAACGCGTTTTAGCTAAATTTGCTCGATATCTGCTTGCTATTTACCGCGAAAATAATAAAAATAATTTCGCTGCGAACGCAAACACTCCCATTGTTTCTTTTTTCCTTCCTCTTCTTCTTCTTCGCGAACAGCTGACTGACAAGCGATGCTCAACTAGCTTAAAGTCGCAGTATGGCAGAGGTATGCCACTGCACACTGGTTGATCTTGTATGGCAAAGGCGGCCAAAAATACTTCCAGTTGGAATATGGAGCTCAAAATTTCTGTACTGCTATATAGACCCAATATTATCAAGAATATTAAAAAAAAATGCAAAAACCATTCGTTAAAGCCCTAAAAAATTAAAAAAACATCATTTTGAAACATTAATTCAATTGCATACTTTCAGGCTACGGAAATCCCTTATTAATTAAATTAATAAATTATTAATAATATAAAAATAAAATACAAAGGTTGTTTAAATATATAGTAGGCTTTTAATATGTACTAAATAAAATATTCTAAATTAAATAAAACAAAGCAAACAAAATCAAAAATAATATAAAACACAAAATATGCACGAAAACAACAAAACACAAAATTTGCTCGAACACAAAAAAGGGAATAAGTCTGAAGGTTGCAAAAAGTTGCAGCTCAAATTTAAAACATAGTCTAAGAAAACACTCACTAGTATTAATAAACAAGTTTCATTATTGGGTGAGACTGGGATCACAACTTTTTCTTTATCTAAATTCTATGTACACATAAAAACTCGCCACTCGAAAGGTCACTAATGAAACACTAATTTTAAAACAATAACACAACACATAATGACATAAAAATTAATTAGTTTTATAGTACATGCCTTTATTTTCGTAATTCATTTTATTTGATGATGATCGGACTCGATTTAATATTTAAATAAAATTTTTTTGTAAGAGCTAATTTTCAAGCTGCGTTCACTGCAACGATCAAGTGTTTTCTTTGTCTCTCTTCTCTCGCTATTCGTAAAGCGAGGGAAAGAAATAGATCGAAAATAAAAATACTGTTCGTTTTATTGATCTGTTAAGAAATATTTTTAAGACAAAAAGTGACCAATTTCGAACTTTTGTTTTTTTATTTTTGGCCTATGGAATCAACCACTGTGCACTGGTAGAAAAATATAGGCGAATACCCCCTTCAATTCTTTAGTCCACTGCTAATGAAAAGAGTGTCTTAATTATTTTTTTGTTGTTTTTATTAAAAATTACAAAACAGTGGCGGTTTGTTTTGCACTTATTGGCTGACCGATTATATTTCGACATATCGATATGTAATCGATAGCTAATCGTATATCGTGAAATATTAATTATTTTATTAAAAACAAATTTGATCGAAACGTGAAAGAACCCAGACGTGCGGACGGTACTATGCGAAGTGCATATTAAAAATTAATTTGAAACTGAGCAAAACAATTAACCAATCAAGGTAGTGCAATCAGAAATTAGTGTTTTCAAATTTTCCGACTCCCCTTAACGTTCAGACCAACTTTTTTCTTATATCACGTCGGTAGGAATAAATTCCTCGAAGCCAAGAAAAGCAGCTGCAAATTAATTGATTACTTGCATTTAACAAACAAAAAAACTCCGCTGACCACTGGTGATGTCACAACTGCGTTCGAAAGTCATTAGCCTCTACAAGCACGTAAGTTCTGGAAGTTCCGGGTTGCACGTGCCACCGCACCCCCACCCAAAAAAAAAAGTTATGCCAACCCCACTTGACATTGCGTAAACACTTGCAGTTGCAGTATTTGGGCCGCGAATATCCCGGCCTGAACGGGCCGCAAAAGTTCAGGAAGCAGATCCACGATGCCTTCATGAATAACAAGGATGAGCAGGATCCCAAGAAGATCGTGGCCCTTCTGGCCCAAGGACGCTATTTGGCCAAGGAGGTGGAGGCCCTGTACTCCCTAAAAAAGTATAGGAGCGTTAAGCAGCGCTATAGCTACAATGACTAAGCGGGCGAAGCGGAATGAAGGCGTGGCAGCGATGCGGAAATCGTCCGAAAATTCAAGGACTGATGACGGGAGTACGAAGGAGGGAGGGATCGTGAGAATATGATACGTATGCCTTGCTTGTCGCACACAAAAAGATACAAGATATATATACACCCATAAATGCTTATTGTTCGGCCAAAGCAAAGTCAACCCAAAACACACGCAAAAAATACATATTAATAATTTCGAATGTCTTGTCAATGTCTAACTTAAAGTTTGTTATTGAGGCAGCCAAAAACAAAAAAAAAAAAAGCGAAAAAAACGGACGTAGCGAATAAACGAAGCAGTCATTGAATAAACCAAAATACCCAAAACGAAGTTAATTGAAAACACTGAACGAAAATAAATCTGATAGGTTTGTATAAATATGTACTTCTCAATTTAAACTATCTTTTAGATCGATTTTTTAAGTGCCCTTTTTGAGAATCTTAGGATTGATTTCAGTAAATGGATCTTTACTTTCTTTCTGCGCTGTGACCTTGGATCGATTTCGCCGGAAGGGGCCTGGCAGGTGTATGTTTATCTACGTTTATTTCGGATATGTCGCTGAGATAAAAGTATCTATCAGATATTCGCTTCGTCTGCCAACTTTCCCCAATTGCGTTGGGCGCCGTCTCCTTTTCGCTTATTGACAATATTGCGTATTTAAATTCATCTGACCGCTGATCGCGGGTCGCCCCCATATATATAAATAAATATATATGTATATAGATCACGCTTGCCTCTAATTGTTCATGTATTGGTGATAAACAACCTCCGACGCCGTCGATTTGATTGAGCTTTTTATTTCGCGCTGACGAAAACATGAAAGCTTCATTGCAATTAAAGGGAGATTAGATAAACTATTCCCTATACAGTTTTATCAGCGAGCTTTTCATTGATAAGAGCGTTTAGGAATTTTGAAAAGCGCTTGTGCGGTTTTCTAATTTTTTACATGATAAGCTGAATGTTATTTTTAGAGTGGCGTTCGATTTTTCTGATATAAAACGTTTAAAAAAAAATTTCAAAAATAGTGGTATAACTTTGATTTACACGAATTTATTATTTAACCAAACAAGATAACATATTTTCGTAAACAAAAAACACATTCATCAATTAAGCACAAGTTGTTTCTTTAAAATTAACCTGCTGACACAAACTGGTAACAAAAAATCTATGAAAATAAAACAAGTATGTACTGCGTATACAGATTTATACGCATACTTAATGCGTTCACAAATGTCAGCCCCTTCAACATCAAAATTTGGAATTTACCGGACGAGAATTTTACATTACTATATGAAAGTTGTTTAACCGTGACTGTTCGGATATGAGGGTTCTCCTTGACAAATAAACGAAGGAGTAAACCCGGGTTTTGTATTGGGTTTTGCATGTAGTTTTGGCAGTGATACAATAATTACAATATGCCTTACCTATTTTATGATATACCAGTAACAAACCAATGAATGACATCTGTTTATCATTTTATGGCTGTATTAAATTGTACACTTAGAGTTTCTTAAAACTAATTAAAATAAAAAAAACAAACGTTGCTTTGGAGGACCTAAAATCAAAACCCTGGAAAATATTTGTGCGCGGGGAGGTATGCATAATTAAATTAATATTCGCATGGGAGTGCACTTCTACAATTCTACGAATCCTATCCTAAAATCACAATCTTTTCCAGTGGAAAGCGTTATGGTGGTGACTTGTAAATATAAAGAGACAGCAAGCGATCGCAATCAACCAAACTCGAAGCCAAGGACTTCATCTAATCCGTAGTTGAAGAGACGGAAGTCCTCCTCATAGATATCGTACAACTCTCGAATGACACCAATGGGCAGGGGATCGAAATATTTGCGCAGATTGGACCTTGTGGTCGATGGTTTGTGGCCAGTGGGGAATGTAAGATTGCTTGCTCCAGCCAAGTAAAGTGCCAGTGCGGAATCGTCCAAAAGAGTATCGTATTTGCCTAAAAGGAAAATAGTTCGTTAATCAGCAGCTTTTTCACAAAATGCAATTTAAGACTCACCCACTACGTTGTATTTCATCACACATGGATTGCATAGCTTGGCTATAACTTCCCAATGCTCGTTGTAATCCGACTGATTGGCTCGACTTAGCTCGGGAGTAACCAGATATTGGACAAACTCTTGAAAGCTTACATCGTCACCATGCTCTAGGGAATCGTTACTGGCTCCTTGCCGAAGCTCCTTCACGATCTGGCGACCCACCCGTGACTGGAAGTACTTGGCACTCGGGGAATCCCCCTCCAACTTATTCCGATAAGCGGACAGCAGTCGTTCAAACGGATGTCGCACAAGAATAAATCGCGTATACTCCTCGCTGAGAACCTGTTGCTGTTCCGCTTCACTTAAGTCGTACAGTTTGGTAAACATTCCCACCGAATGGGCCAAAGATCCCGGAATCTGGAGAGGATCCGTACCATTGTGCCACTTGTCCGAGAGCATCATCAGTACCCGCTTCCAGTTCGTGCAGGCAACCTGGAAAACAAAGAAACGATTTCAAATTGTTTAGTTGAACACTATTCTTCTGCCAATTGGGCTAAATAAACAAGAACAATAATTCAGTTTCGTTTATATTATGAAATATTTCGAAGAAAATGTACGACTTTGGTTGTTTCGAAGTGAATCACCTATTTGTGGCGTGTTTCACAGGTAAACATAATTATTGTAAACCACCGATAAGAAGGAACACATCAACCCTTTTTCCAAAAAAAAAGTCTACATGAGTGGTTCGAGTAGATAGTTCTCTGATTAATCTATGCGCAGGTGTCATTCTGTACACTCATTTGAAAACTATTCACTGCTTATTAATAGACATTAGTACTGTTTATGATTCGGTCAACCATTATCAATAATTGTTAAATCGGTCAACCATTATCATATTTTCAGGTGTCGAATAAGAATAAGTACCTTTAAAATTCGAAAGTAAATGGAAAAAGAAGCAAAAGTCAAGTGACCCGATTTTAAAATCGTTTTCTTATTGGATTTTTTTACGACTCAACAAAGGTTTACCGTTAAATGAAACCTCAAAAATTTCAGTGCTTTAAGATGATAAGCTTAATTAATGTTTTAATTGCCCAGTGCAATAAATTATAAATTTCGCCAAGAGAGATGTCCGGATGTTTGGGTTTCCCTACTCAGACGCATTGGGCAATAAGTCAAGTTGTTGAAGTCAACTAACGAAAACTAGAGACAAAAACAACTGCAGAGTTAAACTATGTACATAAATACGTGCCAGAGTGTATATAAACATTTAGTTGGCCGGGCAATGTCGAGACCAATTAAACACCGCAAAAACATTTCACATTACAAAAACAAACATTTCCATATACAGTGGATTTACGTTTAGGAGTGGAGAAGGTAAAAATGTGAGGCAATATACAGAAATACAGAAAAAGATCGGCGGCAAGGTTAAGATATGTCAAAATGTCGGTCTGAGGCGAAATTAATGGATTAATGGTTTGTAAACAATTAATAGACATTTTCCAACAGGCAATCCTGAAGATTCAAGTTTCTATCTACTTGAAGTCACTTTTCCCTTTCTTTTTTTTCTCTACTTTTCAGCAAGTCAACTTAGAGAGTGAGCGTTTACTTTTAAATGTTTAGACAACTTTCAATACTTAAGGATGTGTCAATATGCCAGATAAAGTAAAATGTTGAATAAAATGTTAGACGTAGTTTGTTATTTTTCAGCAATTCATCAGCTACAACATTTTTCTTCAAAAATCCTAAAAGATTGTGTTAAATCCTTAGTAAAGTTTGAAGACTTTCATGAGTTCTTTTACCAATCCTATATGAATTACATGATTAGTTCAAAGGTCAGCGTAATGATGAAAATCCTCTCGACACGTAAGCTACAATAAAACGCATCATGTTAAACCTAACGCAATTTCTTTACGGCCATTAAAGTAACACGCGATGGTCGCATAAAATTCCCGACCAAAGTGGCGAGCCCCCATTTCGAGGGGCGAAAACGGGTTGGGGAACTATTGGCCAAGGGCAAACATAAACAATTTACGACTTCACGGAAGAACGAGCTGGGAACATGTAAAGCTAAACTCACTAGCCACTCAACAAGTGGCGAATGAGAATGCGGAGCCGGCAATTGAAATTTCTAATCGCTCCAATGACCCCTCTTATGTGGTGAAATCAAAACTAGTCGCGCTAATGTTCGATGATAGTAATTGAAGAAATGCCAAGATAACAGGTGTACGTTCAGGTGGCATGTTCCACAGACACGCCCCCTGGCAAGTGGAATACTTCAATGACATCGTGCGACTTACATACAATCTCCGTGTGTTCAGTTCAGTTTAACTAAGTGGATTCTAGAAAACTGGATAATGTCTATTGAAGCTCAGTCTAGTAAAAAGTGTGATTATCTAAGCCATTGAATTGTAAGTTGAATTTGCCTTTGATAAATTTATGCATACGTAAGGTTTTTAATAAAGAAAACTCATTTTTTACATTTCCTATTCAAAAGTCATTCCAGTAATTACCTACAGACTAGTCTACGAGTATAACTTGCTGATATTCATTTTCTAAAGTAAGGGTTCAAAGGTTCGACATGAAGCATTGAGCTATTTTGGTTCCACGCGTGTCACAAACTTAGCGAACTTCAAACACCTGAAAACCGGCACCCCGCAATCTAATCGCATAGTTTTGGTTTGATGTTTTTCAATAACGCATTGATTGATAAGGAAAAACTGTGAAGGCAATTTCCGAAAGCTGTTTCCCAAAACTTATTTTCCTAATCCAATTAGGTAAATCTTAGTCCCCGGATGGAAACCAAATTAATTAAGTAAAGAAATAATCTCTATCTATTGTTTCGGACGTCATTCGATGCCTTCAAAAGGCCTTAATCAACATTGTTCTATTTCAGAAATATTTATTTAAATTACGCTTATCAAATAGACTGACACGAATCAAAAACTTTAAAGAACAATGGCCTTTGAATTGAGCTCGAAAGATTTTCGCATTGAGATGATTTGCAAATGAACAAGCAACAAGTTACAGACTTGCTCGACTATAATTGCTGCCTGTTTCGCAGAGGTCACTGTTGCGACTTCAAGTGGAATTCTTGCTGCTGTAATTGATCATTAAATCGCGTGAAATCAGCACTATATTGTATGCACATATATGAATAAAGCTGACACGAGCATTGACTCCCCTTTTCGATAAGCCAGAAGTGGCGCGCGGGCTTAGCAATCAAATGCACTGGTAATGCAACCCTCTATAAATCCACTTAAGTAAGTCACACTATTGGGATTTTATGGCTTGAAATCTGATTATTTGGAGCACTGTCTGCGGCGATATCGCCTAAAGTTTGCGACAAATTGTAGGGCAAATAAACATACCATCAAAGTCAATCGAGCTGATGCCACAAGCCACAAGATCGGCAGAAGCTCAACATGTGCTTTAAATTGAAAAAGAAGGCGTGCTGTAGAAGAAAAACAAGTTTCTATAAACAAAGCGAAGTCAAATCAAATCACAGATGCCGATTTTGAGTTATGTATGTATGTTGATCTGATTTTTGGTTCGACACAAGGGATCTAACCTTTTATTTTTATTCAGATTAAGTTAATAAAGATTTTATGGAAACGATGTTGAAAAAAAACTAAAGTGAAAATTCTATATTAACTAATTTTAATTTTTTTTTTAATAAGTAATTGAGTTCTTCAGGTAATAACTTAACCAAATTTAACGCTGAATCGCTGAAGCACACTCCCTTTTCGAAATTCAATTTGCTGAGGCAGCAACTAAATACTTTTTCCCTTTCTTCTTTTTACACCCGTACCTTTGGCACATAGCAGTAGAGCAGCTTGTGCTCCCTGTCCACGATCATGTGATCCATCTGGAGCTCGCTGAGATCCTCCAGGGTTTGGCTGTGCTCCCCGAGCAGCTCGCATTGCCGCTGCATGTACTCCTGACGCTGGATGTTGATGGTTTGGGTCAGCTCCAAACTCTGGCGGGTGATCTTGACGTTGTTATTGTTGCCATCCTCGAACGGCAGGCCGGCGGAGAAATTGCCCAGGAGCAAGAGACCGAGTGAAATGCAAAACGAAAGCCAAACCAGTTGATCCATATTGACCGCGATTTAGTGTCCGACTTTCGAATCGGATGGTTGACAATCGTTAGAGGCTCTATCATTGATTTTCGATTTCATTAACTCTGTCGCTGGCGCCCGAAATACTTGACGCGATGGACAAACTTCAGGGTGGCGGCGTTCTCAATGCCCAGCTCTTTCAAAGTGGCCCTGCCACCGGAGCGTCGGTCGTCAATCGGCTGATTGGTGTCCACGTTGAGAAGTCCGAAACAGCGCCATAGAAATCGCCACGAGACGAACGCGCGATGATCATGCCCGTTGCGCTGAGCGGAGTGAACTAACTCGCCGGTGGAGCAGGCCACCGCAACTGGTTGCTTCTGCCGACGATCGTCGGAGTCGTCGTCGCCGATTCCCCGACGCCGAAGACGCTCTTCGTAGCGTTCGCGTTGCCTGCGCTTGTGCTGGGCGCGCGAGATCAAAGCAATTGCCCTCTTCAGCTGTGCAATCGTCGGCTCGCGCTGGTGGAGCTGCAAGAAACCGGCCGCAATTAAGTTAGAAAAGAGTCAAAGCTGGGCAGTAAAGAGAGTGTGGTCGCTAAAGAGAAGTTTAAGCTTAATTTTAAGGTAGAAACCAGGATACGCTAATACTTTTGGTTTAGCAGGTGCACACATCGATTATGGTAAATTATACGATACGAATTCGCGTTAGAAAATATATTACCCTATAATAGCTGACCTACTTTTACTTGCTATTTATTAAATTACTTTCCGTCCATTATTGTGAGAGGCTAATTGAAAAACGGCTAACAAGCGAGTGCAAGCAGCTGCGAAATAAATCAATTCAAGGGAATACTGACCACTACGGTGAGGGTGCTGAGTCCATCCCGCTGCACGTGGATCGTTGTGGCATTTCCCTCGGCGATGGCTATCTGGAATTATGAAATGTGTTCTATAATACAACCAGTGCAATAAAAACCCGTAACGGGAACGGAGATCTTCATAATAAATTTCCTCCAATTAGCACATTGAGTGTTCGGCAGTAGGTCAGTAGTCAATGGCCAATATCGGTGACGAAAGCATTGCAAGAACGAACGCCTCGATGTGTTAATTGCAACCGGTACTGGTGGGCTGGAAGGAGTAAGTGGCTATATGTCTGTTCATATGACTGTTAATTGTATTTGCTTTTCGTTGGAATTATGGGCGATCTAGTTTTGTCAATCATTATTAGCACTAAGAGCTTTGGGGCTCTATGAATGTATATTAAAATTTTGCAGTCTTTTATTATGCAGATAATGAGTTTGATACGTCATTTGTGGGAAAATTTTAAACATCTAATCAAAACAATGTTAAATTATGGTCAATAATTGGTCAAAACTGTTTGCTTAATTTTTAATATGGTGCTTATCTTTTGCATGATAAGTAGTATAGATTCTGTAAAAAAATTGTATTATTTAATCACAAAGCAATGGGTGATTATACCTCCCCCTGAAGCTCTATGGGTGTAATATCATGGGGAATGTCCGAGAGGGTCTCGAACTCCTGGAGGATGCGTCGCAGTTCCTTTGAAGTGCTGGCCAACATTGCATTGTGTTCGGAACGATCGAAGTTGTTGCGAACGCGGCGGGCTGAGGTCACATTATCAGGCTTCTTTCGGCGCTCCCTCCGCTTTCCCTGGATTTTCTCATTCCGGTTCCGGGCTTCTCGAACAGCCTGCTTTCGAAGATTTACCGGCATTTTCTGCAGCTTCTTGTAGGTCAGAACATTTCTCTGTTCCCTTCTTTTATCTCTGTGAGGAGAGCGTTCCCTTCTTCTTTCTCTATAGGACGAATGATCCCTTCGCCTTTCCCTGTGAGGCGAACGTTCTCTTCTGTAGCGTTCCATCGTATTTTTTTTACTTCGATTTAAAATATCTTGAATTTTCTTTTTGTTTTGTTTTGATAATTTTGTGCGGAAACAGCTGTTTTTCTATTAAGGTGACCACACTTGTCGAAATACGCAATCGCGACTATCGATATATCGATACCTAGCTTGTAAACCTGATGGAGCGCTCTAATTTTAAATTATACTTTTAGGAATTATCATTTTTTGTTTCGCTTCCAAAACATAAATTTAAAAGAATTTTTTAACAAAAAACATTCTTTAGCAAATAACGTACAACCATATAAGCCTTATAGTGGAGTCACACATTTCATCTACACATATTGATTAAGAAATAAAGAAAAATTTTCCAATATAGCTTACTTAGCTTTTTCTTTCTTTTTTTCAATTTGCTCCTTTTCGGTTTTTAAAAATTTTTAGTTATCCATAAAAATGTCAAAAGGTACGGGACCATTGTCGAAGCTCTATAATGTCGTAATTCATTCTGTAGAAAAGGTTGTGCCAAAAGCAGCGCAACCATTTTGGCAATCGCCAGCAGGTGAGTTAGTCCCCCCTTTATTATATAAAAACTACTCGAAATCCTTTTAATTTAGGTCCTCGTACTGTTTTCTTTTGGGCGCCGATGTTTAAATGGGTGAGAGTTTAATAAGCTAAGGCATCCATAATATAATACATAAATTATTTCATTAATTTATATTTTCAGTCCTTGGTTTTGGCGGGGCTGAGTGATACTTTAAACCGTCCTGCTCCAAATATTTCGCTTAACCAGTGTGGTGCCTTGGCTGCTACGGGATTAATTTGGTCCCGCTACTCAGTGGTTATAACACCCAAGAACTACAGTCTCCTAGCTGTCAACATAGCCGTATTTTTCATCCAGAGTTATCTTATAATTAAACACTTGAGATGGCGCAATCAAAATGCCAAGAATGCAGTGTACAGTCATACTAACTTTCCCTTCCACTCGGAGGATGAATGGTGAAATTCTACAAAGGATACAAGAGCTAAAACTATTGGTTTTAATATTTATAGAAAACGGGAATATAAAAGAAGATCGTTTAAGAAGTTGATAATCTTTGAAGAACCTTGTAAAGTTGGAATGAAAATAGAAGTCCGAAAATATAAAAAGGATCGCCAATACAAAGAGTAATTATTGCTATGCAGTGCATGGAAATATTCTTTTGAAATTGACAATCCATATTTTTAAATAAAAACAACCATAATGTTTGTTGTGCCGCTCTGAAGCTTTACAAATTTTATTCCTTTTTCTCTTATGCATTCTTGAAATCATCTTCGTATAGCTTCTGCTTGAAACTAAGAACTCTATCGATAAACTAGTGTGACACGCCCCCGTTCGGATGTTGTTCCGGGGGCGTCGGCTTGGGCATGTGGCTTACTGCTAGAGAACTAAAATATAGGAGACTGTTGGCATAATATCTAAGTATGGCTATCGGCCCGGGAGTCTCCGGCTGAGGTCCTGGATGCCGTGCCTTCCGTCCTTCGTACGGCCGGGATAGTGCGCACAAGCCCCGATGTGATTGGTGATTGGTCGTCCTGTCGCCGGTCGTCCTGCAGCCAATGCGCTGCTTGCAAAGGACTCGTCGTTTGGCCTCCTGTTTGGGAGGAGTGCGATGTCCTCGGGAACGTTGGCTGAAGTCGTTGGCAGCCCCGCAATGCAGTTCGCAACACTCGTTTTTGCCCATTTGCACACACGCACACAAACTGTGAACTGGCCGGCCAACAGGCGTATACTTGATATATTACGTATACCACTCGATGCGCATGTGAGCGGGGCAGAGTGTCCTTGTTGTTTGTGTGTGTGTGTGTGTGGGGAGGCCGCTTGTCGCGTTGCCAAAATAAATGCACTGCAGGGCTGCTAGTTTCCTTCGGATTCCTGGGACTCCGCCGTTTTCGTCGAGCTTCGTCGCCGCCGTTCGTTGCCATTGGTTGGTCAGGCCTTCGGCGGTTGCAGCGGAAAGTCGGCTCGATTTTCTGGCTCTCCTCCTCAATTGGCCAACAAGGCTTCCTTTGGGCCTTCAGCAGCTGCAACGAGGGAGGAAAAGGGGGTTTACGTTACTTTTGGATGCCAAATGACTGCTTTGTTTTAAGTTTCGGATGGAAAGAGACTTAGCTTTAATCTCGCAAATTTTTTGGCAATTGCCAAAAATGCAAGTTATTTTCTGGGTTCAGTTCTTTTAATATGATTATAAAACCTGATCCGAAACTCTATTTTTTTATGCAATTTGCTGAATTTAAAGTAGTTAGTAGTTGTGTAGTCTTAAAATGCTCTAAAAATTGCAAAATTTGAATAATTTTGAAAACAAAAAAGGTTAATAAAAGAAAGATATTTTTTGTTAAAAAATAGCTCTTTTCCAAATTAATATATCTAAAATTTATATATTATCACTCATTATGCCATCGAACTCATTTTCGGGACCGGCTTCCCCAAACTTGATTCATCCCGCCCATCTATTCTTATCTCTAATTTATAAAGACCTGGGCCACTGTGCCACCGTGGTGGTGGTGGAATGGGTAATGGGCCTCTGCCAAGATGGTAGCTTGCCAAAATCTTGCCTAGAATTTTTCTCACGCTCGGTTCCAAAAAATAAAAAAAAAAAATTTAGAAAAAATGATGTGAGAGAAAGAAAGCAACTGAAAGACGGGCGGGATGGCAATGAACTTTATTGCGTAATGCTGAATCTTGGCAAGCGACTCGATGAGATTCTGCGGGGGAATCCCCATGCTGTCATGTAATTAAAGCGCCACCTGCCGGCCGATGCGTAAACAAATGAAGCCGACATAATTTATGATCATGGAGTTTTGCCAATAAGTTTCCGAGGCGCGCAGCAGACATGCCGTCTGCTCCGATCGTTTGCCGGAACGCGTCTCTATCTCAGCCCCCTCATTATTTTTCCGCCGACTGAATGACTTCGGGAGAGTTTTCCCATTGAGTCAGGTCAGGAACTGTGTTATTGAACAGCTGCCAATTGCGGCTAGCCCGAAATTATATTCATTCCAGACTATTTACCACTCTGTCACCCCTCTACCCGCCAATTTCACACGCACGTGTTTAACTTACGTGAATTATGGCCAAGGCAAGTGGTCCAGAAATATCCCAGAAGGAAAAGTGATTGCAAAGGCTGAAAGGCTACAGCATTTGCTGTTAATTGCCTGCGACACAGCTGGCTGTCTTATTTATGAGCTTAGTACGACAATCATTGGCAAATTATGATAAATAATCTTTGTGGTTTTTATTTTTGCCTATATGCCCTCCCCATCCATTATTCACTATTGGACATGGGCGGAAATTCTTAAAATGTCAAGTGAGTGATGGCTTTGAAGTGGTCTTATGTAAGCAAAACAGTTAGGGATTTTCGAAAAAGAAAGCAAGTGTATATACCATAAGACCAAATAAAATTCCAATTTCCTAGTTCAGAAAACTCAACAATATAACCATTTGTAAGTTAAAGCACTTGACAAGTTACGCAAAGAATAGATCATAAACTTAAATCCTCTTCTACATTATTCAGTCATAAATATTCCAATGATCTCATCACATATGTATGTTCTAATACCGTCAGCTCTAATAACCGATTTTAAAACTTAAAATTAAGTTTATGTTTTTAATTTAAATTTGCAACGCTCAAAAGCCTGACCAAAAGAATGACCATAAAATTCTGTGAAATCCACAAGAAGAATATATGATTTACCCCCTACAGAAAAGTCTTCATTATAGAAAGCATACGGAACGAATTAATATAGAAAATTTTTGTACAGTTTTTGGGATTATATATGCTACAGATAGAAAAAAGTGCAAAAAGTCTTTGACGTTTTAAGCAAATTACGCTGTCTTATATTTTTCTAATATATGATGTTGTTGTTTCTGATCTCTATATGTAGTCGAATATTTTCAATGATTTTCCGAGGGAGAAAATTGCTTTTATTTATTTTCTCTAGAAGCGAACATTCGAAATTCGGCATTTTGGGTTGCTTAAAAGTTGATTTTTTATTTTTTGTTGTTTGAATTTTCTCTCGTTTGGTCGCTGATTTTGCCTCGTTTTGCCGTGTTGAATTTTTCATTTACCTTGCTATTTTCGGACACACTTGACGGGCGGACGGCCGAAGATCGAAGCCGAAGGCGAAAGGCGCAGAAAAGCGATAAAAACGTCAAGACCGAAAAAGAAAAGCCCGAGAAAACTGCGCAGAATTGTCGCCTGCCCTTATGTACCGAAAAAAAATAAAATAAAATAAATAAAAGGGGCGGAAGGGGCGGGTGTCCACCGACTGTGTTATATACCACATATAAATAGTATTCAGACTGGCTCTCTATGTGTTCTTGGATCTTTGAGTTGCGATGACGCGCAATTGACGCGGGCAAAGACGCGTTGAAAGCGTCGCCGCTGCTTCTATTTTCGTGGACACAACTAATACTTTCGCACTGGCTGAGATACAGATTCAGATTCGGGTACGGATACAGATACAGATGCATCTGGTTGTATATTTCGTTTTAATCTATTTCAGTTGCTTCATCGAAAATGAATTTTTGTGTGGCTCGTTTTTTCCATCCGTCTGTGTTTTTGCCTCTGTCTTTAGGGCGACGGCACAAATTGTAATTAGTGTTAGTTTTTCTTAGCTTTAATTAGAATTTGCTTAATTTGCACGTCGGCGTGTGTGTTTTATGGTAAACAAATGAACCTTGAGATGCAGTTAGCCTGCAGTTTATTTATCGAATGAGCAAGCTTTTAATTGGGTTAAATTGGGGGTTCGGAAGGAAGGCTGTTGTGCAATCATCCTTGTTTTCTTCAAGCTGTACCCTTTGAGTATTACATCACTGAACCTTATTTGCACCGCTATTTCTTTCATGATTTTCTACACTACCAAAATATATGCATATAGTTATCAACGTATAAATTTACATAATATTTTGAAAAAAAAAATCAAATTTTTCAACTGCTAGCACGCATAATTTGTTTGCATTTTTTTGTATATTTTTTTTTCAAAATGTACGAAAAAATATTGTGCTCTGTGTTTATGTCGACAAGCACATGTTTTGTTTATTTTTATTAACTGCAGTGAAAATTTATAGAGGGGGCTATTTACTTATAGAGAAGCGTTGTCATCGCTCTAAAATCTGACGAAAACTAAAAGTCAATCAAAACAGAAGAAAGAAGACAAAATCAAGCACCCCAAAATGCAAAAAAAAAAAAAACAGAAAATCGTAATCGGGAAATTGGCAGGCTGCAAATATTAACTGGCTGCCAAAAAGCAAAAAAGCGGGGAACTCAAAAAAAATTGCTTGAATATTGGCCAATAAATTTTACAAGACGTTGACATTTGGCCAACGACAAACGGCCTTGCCGAAGGCCAATCAAACGTCATTATTTGGTTTTATTCATGTGTGTGTTGGTGGGTGATAAACACAATCATAATGATAATTGGACACCTGTTGGCAACTGCTGGCTGGTTTCTGGCCAAGAATTCTTTGGCCAATTCAACAACAATCGGTGACGTAGCAGCCGAACTGGGCAGCTCGTCAAAAATGTGCGTCAGCAATTAAAATCATAATGAGAGTGCCAAGTTAGAGGCGCCACCCCGTCGAAGGAAAAGCGTTGCCAACACCCCAATCCACGCGACAGACACGCGATTCGCATTCCACAGGATGCGTTGCCAACGATGATGCCAAAAATCTTGGCAGCACCCGGCCAAGAAGCCATCGACTGCTGGCTGCGTTTTTGTTTATGTTTATGTTTGTGCGTTTTGGGCTCCAGGGAATGTGGGAAACACTCTCAAAAGAGGGCGAAAAAGGCTGAAACAATTGGAGAAAAGAGTTGAAAAAACCATGGTGGAAAGGTTTGAATAGGTCAAAAGATATACATTATATTAATCATATTTTTCGTACTTAAAAAAATGTATTAAGGAAGAAGTCTCAAAAAATAAATAAGTTTTTTTTTTCTTCTTTTTTTTCTTGGTAAAGCCAATTTTTTTGAAATACAGAATAAAACGCCTTGTAAGATGCAACATTTGTTATGTGTTGGCCATAAGCAGCAGAAGAATCTCTACCGCAGACTTGTAGTCGCTGCCAATTGCAGACTGCGACAATGCGGCGTATACGTAATGAAGAAGGAGTCCCCACCCCGACCCTCACACGTAACGTATACGCAGTGCAGGACAAAGTTGCGGGCCAAATGCATAACAAATAAATAACAAAGGCCTGACCATCATTATAAAAAAAGGCAAAGGAAAGCCGAAGTTGCCAAAAAAAAATAGGAGCGGACAGTTCAAAGGCTGGCGAGGCGCACTAATAAGTTTTAAGAAAAATGAAAATGAAAAATCGTTTGTGCATTTTTATAAGTGCAAAAATATGCAAATAGAGTAAATCATTACTGGACTGGACCAAAGGCAGACAAAGTTCTTCTTGTGCGATTTTTTTTGTTTTTTTTTTTTGTTTGTTATTCCACTGCTGATGACTGCAGGAGGAGCAGAAGGAAGCGCTAGCCAAAATCATAATTTGGCGATTTATTTGTTTGTTTGTTTTATTTGGCCCGTCTAGGCCATTGAGAATTATGGTTTGTCTGATGCCGACACACAAAGCAGCAGAGGGGAGAGGAAATGAATGTTCAACTTAAATCGCCGTCGATATGCATTTAAAGTTCGCTTTGACAATTTCTCACTGGCAATTCAATTAGTTTTAATTGCTCGACTTGGCGGACGTTTAAAAATGTTTCTTCGGCCCGTGGCCATCAATAAAATCAATGCAGGACATAAATCTTCAAGCCTTTCGCTGCAATGAATCGGAATTTGAATACCGAATCGAATATTTGGCGGAAACAGAGATAAAGCGCAATGACCAACGGCGGAGGAAAGGACCTTTTGTTGGACATATGCAGCCAGTCAAGAGGAAAGGACACAATGCCTTGGAACTTAACTTGGCGTAGTTGCCAATTTCCTGGCGGGAAAAAAGAGAATTATTTGCCCGGATGTCCGAAACATTGTTGGTGTCAACAAATTCCTTTTCAACGGCTGCAAAAAAATGTTCGACCATTGCCAGCATACAAAAAAAAAAAAGAAAAAAACGAAGCGAAGACAAAATTAATGTGGAGACATTAGGGAATGCGCTCCCAGAATGTCCTGCTCCAAGTCCTTGGCAATTAAATTTCGTGTTAATTTTTGGCTCTCCTGCTGCCCTCTTCTTTCTGGCCAATTAACTACTTAGAAAGCTTTGGGTATATTTTTAATTGTTTTAATGGATCGTAAATCTTTGTACAACTTTTTGATTGCTGCAGCTTGTTGTTGTTCTTCATCAGTGCAGACGCTCATAAATTTTCCCATTTAAAATTTCTAAAATCCAACATAAAACTATCCAATTTTATGGCTTCAATCGGAAACTACAAAAGCCCAAAATTTAATTGTCTAAAGTACAATGTACTTGGGCATGTTTTTTTTAGTTCCCGACGCGTGTGTGAGCTCAGTCAAAAAAGAATAAATCTGTCTATGAGATTAATTTCTGATATATGAATTTCGTTTCATCTTGTAGGATTCTGGGATGAGGATGGATGGGTTTTTGGTCTGGCTAACAGTCTGGTTGGGAATCTCCTTCTAACACAGACAACTCATCCTTGGTGGCTGTTCATTGAACCATAAGCAGTCAACGACAGGAATCGGAGAAGGCGAATCTCCAGTTGTGGGTGAGCTCTTTAACAGTTTTGGCCAGGCCTATAAATTCGTTTTTGGTCCCCGAGAAAATGTTGGATGGTCCTTCACCGGGCACGCCCTCCTGTGGCGCATTTAGCATTCTCGTTGTCATTTCTGTGTTGCATTTGGGCTTATTTATGTGGCGCCAGGCTGTTACCAATGACATCCCTTTCTTAACTCTATTGGGGGTTAGGGTTTTTCACTCTTTTGGTGGACGATTATCGTCATAATACAAGAACTTATATTTTCGTATGCACGAATATTCTTAATGTCTGATTAAATGTATTTTTTTAGGTTAATCATTTTAAAATCGATAATAGTAAAGGGGTTTGATTACATTTTCTATAGAAGTAAAATAACACTTCTATCAAAATTCTTTTAAATTAATTAATATTTTAAATACTTAATAAAAAGGTAGCTTGATTGTCTACTTACCATTTTTCAGCACTTATCCGCACTCAGATGTTTCCACTCCATAATCTTCAATCGATGTATTTATTTCCCACCATTTGAGCTGTGTTTTACATCTTATTCTTTTACCACACCGAAGATTTCCCGCGCTGATACAATTTTAATATAATTGTTTGAAAGTGCTTTTTATAAACAAAATTTCTTTGCGTTATAAAACTTTTGACATTGAATTATATACGTATTGTATTGCAACATTGTTTATGCTTGGTACTATTGTATATTAATAATTGTTTTTATGTATTATATATATAACGACTGCTGGGGGTTATATAATTATTGCTCATTTTATTGCTTGTTGAGTAGTTTATGTTTATATTGTATGCGATTATGGTTCATATGGGGATTAAGCACTATTTTAACTATTTGAATAATAGTTATTGGTTGGATAATTTGAATATATTTTTTTTTTATTTTCAAAGTTTTTTTTTTGTCAACTAAATTATTGGTATTATTTTTGTAAAGTCTTATGTTGAATTTTATTATAAAGAGTCAATGGTTGACACTTTGATTTATTATTATCTATAAGGGTTTTTTGTCATTCAAAGTTGCAGTTTTATTTAATTTTTTGTATATATAGATTTTTGGAGTTGATGTTAAGGCTTCCTTTGGGGATCTTAGTCCATTGAGTAGTATTTAGTTTAATTTACATGGTTAAATATTGTTTTGGAGCATCCTCCGCTGGAGATACCGATGTTGTGGCGATGCTTATCCTTTGGGGCTCCGCTGGCGTTTGCCCGACTTGACGGCTTGTGGCCAGGAAGAGTCCTTTCATTAAGCCTGGCCAGATGAAACAATCAGCTCCTGCCAAATGGCAGTTGTTCTTGCCGCTTGGGTCCGAGCCAGAGGGCCCGCCACCTCCTCCATCCTTTCGCTTTTGGCACGTTGCTGGTCAGTTCACGAGCCACACACTGTTACACACTCACTTTTGGGCCACAGAGCAACTGGTTGTTGTCGCTGTCATTGGCAGTTGCGGAGCAGATACTCCATGTTTTATTTTTTTTAATTGTTTATTTACTGTTTCTTATTTGCTGTATCATCGAGACGGACGTGGGTATCCGGGCGGGCAGCGTCAGGTGTTGCATACTGCCCAGGCTCCACTGTGGTCCATCCGTGACCGTTGAACACTGTGTGCTTGTGACGGTGCCAAACGCAGGGAGAGCAGCTGTCAATTGCCCTGATCTTGGCCCTGATGTTTGAGTTGGCTAATCAAACGCGGACCGTGGCCAAAAAAGAAGTGCGCTGCGTTTCCTCCATCTCCTCGCCGAGGGTCTCGCCATTGGCCGCATCCTGCGTCACCTGTTTTTGTTGTTGGCCGGTGGCCACTCTTCTTGGCTCTTCTGGCTACGCGTCAAATTGAGACCCAAACTCCGCTCAATTGGCAGCCGTGCAGCCGCGGAGCGGTGGATCCAACGACCCGGACCCGGACCCGGACTTCTGGGCCGGGTCCGGTGTTGGCCGCCCTGCCAGCCTTTTGTTGGCTCGCCACACCAGACGCTACCAGTTTGTTGGCCAACTGACTGACGACTGGCCGCGCGGCCTGCCAAAAAGCGAGCCAGAGGCCCTCGAACGATTGCAACGTTCACGTTCACGTTTATGTTACGTTCCGTTCCGGCGTTCTCTTTGTCGCAGTCCTCTCGCTCTGTCTCTGTCTCTTTCTCCCTCTCTCTGTCTCTGACTCTGTCTCTGGTTTGTGTGTCGTCATTGTCACAGTCGTCGTCGGGGTCTCCTTCTTGCAGTCTCTCTTGCCCCCTGATGCAGTCAAAGAAAAAAGGTTTCAGTTATTTGGAAGTGTACAAAAATTTTTTCAGTTTTCTACAATTCAAAATTAAGCATATTAAGTTCCATTGTAAATTATAGGTGAAGTGATCATTAATTATTTAAAGCAAAGAAAAATCTATTTATCTGCAAAAAGAGACTTATGACTTTTTTAGTCAAGAAAAAAAATTTAATATCACAAATTTAAATTATTTCCTTCCTGAGGACTTATATCTTATGCAAATAAAAAAAATGTTTTATTTTTATAACACTCCAAATAAAAGTTTGAAACCATTTTTTCAAGTGTAAAAGGGCTACGCCTCTCCTTGCATTGGCACAGGCCAAAACTGCCACTGCTCTCCGAACCCCTGAACCCCGACCTCCCGCCCAACTGGCGGAGCTCCAAGCGAACGATCCTCCCTCCCCCTTGGAAAACAATCGTGGAACTTCGGGTGCCACTCGGCAATTCTTCGTTTCAGTGGCAGAGCTCGTTTTCCTCTGCTGCTGCGGTCTCTCTGCTCTGCCCGCTGTTGTTCAAAAGTTTTTGAGTAATTTCGAATATTTTTAAGTCTTTAAATATTCTAATATTCTTTAGCTTTCACTGTTCCGGTATTGAGCACAAAAAACATTACAATAAGATGATTTATGACTAGCACGTGGTTTTTGGTAGGGCGTACATATATAAGTTCAATAATATATAAATGTTACTTTTTTTATTATGCTTCCAAAATGGTTCAGTTTTTTCAGTTAATGTTAATTTTATTTACTACAAATAAATTTTTGCACTTAACCTAACATTTTATCTGAAAAGGAATAAAAATGGTGACTTATAAAATCCCCAAAATATTAAGCATTGAATCTGTTTTCCATCTCTTGTCATGACTAATCAAGCTTTTATCTTACCAAATTGTTCTTGGGGAAGAAAACCAAAAGCAAGGTAATCTGCCGAGAAACAATCAATTTTTCACCCCAATTATGAATGCAGTTGCAGTTCGAATAGCAAGGAGCAGATCTGCCAGAAATATATAACTACATGGCTGCTTTTCGACAAAAGCATAAACGCTGCAATAAAATTAGAATTTAAATGAGGCACTAAAAAGTGCAAAAACTACAAAGGAAACTCAGAGACTCAAGGGCCAAAGCAAAGGCCCTTCGAGAACTCCTTGAGCTAAATGAATGCAAATGGTCAACAGGTTTTAGCACATGCAAGGACACATCTCCGTTTGGATTCGATGCCAATCAGAATAAGTGGACTTAGGAGTGTCCCCAAACCTACAGGATCGAAAAGCCAGCCATACGCTCCCGTCCTGAGTGGTTACTTTGTCTGAGTTATGAAACGATTGGCGCCAGTGTAAAAATTTTATGCAGGCGAAAAGCAAAAATCTCGATGTTAAGTTGTAACCAGTGCTAATAAATTTCTAATAAATGCATGTTAAATAAAGGCCACAATGTTCTAACTGCACTGAAAGAAGTCGTACTATGGAATACTATTTTCAATACAATATTTTAAAAGTTTCAAATATCTTCAAGTTATGGCCAAAAAAAAATCAATGGATTATTCAGTAACGTATATTTTAAAATTTTATTAAAAGTATAATTTTTTTCACACATAGTTTTTTTTCCAGTGCATCCAGTGGAGCCGACGCCCGTGTGTGTTAATTGAGCACCGATTACGCGGCCATTAATGGTCACCGCCCGGCGGAGAGCGAAGGTCGAAGGACGGGAGTCAGTTAACCACCGGCAGCAAAAAGTGTGACAACAATGCGAGCCACACGTTGACCGCAGCAGCACGTGCTGCCAGAGGCCAAAACAAGTTTTCTCCTCCGGATTCCACCACCTCACCACCCCACCACCCCACCTGCACCCGCCATCTAATGCCATTTCCTCGTGGGCCACACCCCCAAGCGAATCGGTGGAACTGCTGTTGCTGTCGCCCTGTTTCCGCTACCAACTAAACGTTTATTTATTGCCCAAACAGCGCCAAAGGACAACAACGCCGGCCTCGATACCCAAACCACTTTCCCTGCGAATTCCTGCACCACTTCAGCGAGACAAAGGGCAGGCCAAAGATAAACATACGAGTGCATGGTAGGGTACACCCAATATTTATTTGGTTTTTAAAATATATAAAAAAAATAAGAGCAAAAAAACAGTTTTAAAATCATATGAGATGTCATAAGACTTATAATATAGTAAATATAATATAATACAAATTGTATTAATAATGTTAAAAAAAATTTTACCATTAACAAATAACAACATTTTTTTGTATGTTTTTATTCATATATTGCAATACTATTGATAAATAAAATGTATAAATATGTTAAATTATATAACGCAGATCTCAAAGCTTTTCAAGAACACCCTATTAAACACATATCCCCCTTTACCAAGAATCTCTTCACTGTTGCCAACAGTTCTTCTAACTGGGCAGTAAAAGCCCAAGGAAAAGTGGTCAGGGGATCAGGCTGAGAGCAAAAAGCGAGAGGACGCCACACATCTTGATTTTTGCCAAACAAAACATTTTTCGAGCACTTGCTCACCGAGACGGCGATGGCTATAACTGTATTTGGTTATGTTAGTCACGTGGCCTTTACTTGGTTTTTGCCAAATTGCTGGACACCAAAGGAGGAGGCGGATGGAAAGGGTTCACTTGCCTTGGCAGAAAAACCGCAGTGTTTTTTTATTGGTAACTAAAGGACTTTGTGAGTGAATGGGCAAACTTGCGGAAATTCGGGTAAAATAAAGTAAATCTGTTTTTTTAAAATTTGGGATTTTGAATTTACTCTTAAAGTATTTAATGCTTCACCCAGGCAATCTTTACCATTACAGACTTAGCCTAAAATGTTAGTCTGTTGGCCTTATCTATCACTCCTTTTTGTAAGCCCTTTAAACCCCGAAAACCGTTTGGTTTCCCTTTTTATGCACTACCAACAAGAATTTCTAATCGTTTTCCTGGAAATTACCTTCCATCCGTTTTTCGCTTTTTGCTGAAGGCGTTGAGTTGATAATTTCCTAAGCCCGCACAAACTGGCGAGCGGAGACAATGAAGAGTCACCCACATTATCGAAATGTTTTCAGGTCATTAAGTTTGTCCACAGACGATGAGGAGGAACATCCAGAACAGAGCAGCCGAGGAAGGTGCAAGTTAAGCGAATAGAAAAACAATTGAAAACTGAAGTGGCAATTAAAGTATGTTTTTGGGGAAATACTTTAGCCGATCCGGGATGGCAATTTAATGCACATATGCCGAGATTTATGTGTTTTGTACGAAGGGTAAGACACAAGCGACATTTCGCTTTAGACAATATTTTTCTTTTAGCAAAAATCTGTGCGAGTATGAGGATGCCATAAAGAAGGAATCATCCCGTTCCATGTTCCATGTGCTGGCATTTAAATGTACGAAATTGTTTTTGCCCCTTGCTGGCATCCTCTGACAGGATGCGAAAACGTTTGAATATTCCTTCCTCCGAACCAGAACACTGTATCCTTTTTCTGTCTCCACATACACATATATATATATTTATTCTGTTTTGTCGCTGTCGGCGATTTTTTGCCTGGCCGCGTATTTGGCATCGCGATAGCGCCAGGAATTGTCTGCCCAGCACCAGAAAATGCAGTTCAAATATCGGCCATTGAGTCGACGGGGGGTGGTGGCTATGGTGGAGAAACCCCCCTTCGAAATTGGAGAGCCTCAGCTTAGGCGAGCACCATCCGCATATTAATTTCATTTGCCATGTTGACTCTGTCGGTCAGCCGTCTCGTCTGCATTCAAAATGCGTTCTTATGCAGTGCAGAATGGCAGTGGAAAATCACTGAAAAACGCGAAAACATTCGTCATTTGCATTCAACGGGGCCTACATGGGCTTTTCTTTTGATTTTTCGTTGGGGCCTGATCTGCAAACTTGGATACTTCTACTTCGGTTGCCTGTTCTGCGAAACCAGGGCAAATTTGCGGACTTGTCGCTGTGAAAGTTTCACCGTTTGTCAAAGCTGTGATTTGTGCCCCACCTGGCAAGCGGCACCAAAAACAATGTGATTAATGCAAATCCTGGTCGAATGATAGAGAATGTGACTTCGAAGAGTGTAACAGTTACATCAAGAGGTGTTTTATTGTGAAAAGGTTTTAATAACTAGTATTTTCTTTAAGAATTAGAAATCTCTTTCATTTTGAATTGGCTTAAGTTTCTCAGTTAAAAGATACATAGACATTTTCTTACTTCAAGAAGCTAAATTTCTACCTTTCTATGTTGTTTTCTGCTCCCATTTAATTGCCATCTTGTTTGGCTAAAAAAACAACAACTTAAAGTACATGCAAATCAACTGCACTTTCTCGTACAACTTAATAATGACAAAAGACTGCGCCAGTCAACATTTGCCGAGCCGACATATTCCCAACAGGTGTAGACGCCACATCCAATTGCAGAGCTATTTTCGGTCATGGGAACGATGACACCGCTTCTATATTGCCCTCTCCACCAACTTGGCTATAAATATGTACATATTTGTGGCAATGTGCAGCTGGAAAGGCGAACTGAATGCATCCGCAGAACTCCGCAGATCAACTTTAACCCGAAAGAATCGCATCTGAATGGTTATGGCCACCCGCAACAACATTGCGACACAAAACACTTGAACGAGCAGCATCAGCACGGGTCTTCCACCCACTTTTTTGTTTGAGTTATTTTACGAGTTTTATTGGCTTTTATTGGCAACGAGATTTGAATTTTTCAAAACGACACTTGCTGCCTGTCCCGGGGTCCTGTGCTCCGTTTTGGCTTAATCGTTAGTCATTTTTTATGGCCAGTATTTCGCCTGCAGGTGCCGTCCGGACATATGAACCCACATCCTGGACATAACTTAACCACTGATTGCACTTTTATGGCCAAAAGTTGCTCCTTCGGCAAACAAAGCCACATTTTTTGCGATAACCACAAACTGCTAATTAACTGTTGACTGTATGAAACCGTTTAATCCTTTAGCCTTAAATGGCTAACCATCAAAAAAAAAGGAGTACAAATTTGTAGTAAAGCCATTCAAAGTGTGCCGCATAATGGCAGGCGACAGACAACTCGCTAATTTTCATGCGCCATTTAAGGGGCGAATTCTTTTGATGGGGGAGCAAAAAGAGAAAGCTCTCCTCCAACTTGTCACGAATTCACTTGACAACTCTTTTTTGCGGCCATTGTTTTTTTCACGATGCGCCAAGCCAGGCCTCCTTTGGAGCTACTTAAAATTCAGTGCCTGACATAAACATCCTTAAGCATCCTGCTAGTCAACAGTCGGCAGTCAAAAGTGCCAGCAATGCGCTTTAACGATATGTCAGAGATTAGAGAGCGTTACAAGCGATTGCCAAGGCAATTAATTGGGGGAATTTGGGGAGATTTCGGGTGAAGAAAGGATATTGCTGCTTAGTTACTTTTTATGTTTTCTAGAAACGTAGTTTTTAAACACCATCTTAAAAACTGTAATCATTTTTTATTAAGAGTAAAATCTGTAAAGAAATTTACCTAAAAAAATATTCCATAATATTTTTAATCTATAAAAGTAAATAGAGATGAGATTAATTTACTACATTCCATAAATCTTTTACTTTGTTCGTCGTTATTATCTTCAGCTAAAGTTAGTCTTACCCTTACCAACATATCTTTGCTCACTCCCTTTGCCAAAATAAATGCAATAATAACCACAATAAAAATCTGTAAAAATGAGCATTACATGAGCTGAAACCATAGTCATATGAATGAAAATAGAATAACCGCCAGCGGCAAGCGCGAAACAAAGCAAACAATAATTTCCCTCATATATAAAAAGGCGAGTCGAGGACAAAACTTTCAGAAGGAGTGGGCGAAGGACTCGATGTGTTTTGGGACAAGTCAGAACGGATGTACAAATTGCAGGGCATAATTCAAATTGCTTGACTTTTTGACAATGACTGCGCCAGTTTGGACTCCCACTACCAATGCCACTTTCTTTTTGGACAGCCTCTTATCTTGGCATATGTACCATGAACTGAAAACTGGCGCCATTTGCCTGCATTATTTTTGTATGGCCGGGCTATATATTTAAGTTCTTGACTGCACTCTCTCGAAATTTAAGGTTTCGGCGAGCGTGTGAGTCACATTAATTAGCTAAACTGCCAGAAAGTGCGCTTAAAAAGCAATTAAATGTGATTAGCATAAGTTAACCCCTCAACTCGCAAACGGAACAAACCACATATATTTTCGAAAAATTGTTAAATACTTTTTGGCATTGGTGGTGCAGGAAAATCGCTGCATGCTTCCAGGCGCTGCCATTAGGTTCAAATGAGTTCTGGCGGCTTTCTGTGGCATGGCCTTTAAAACCATTCGACTTAATTAGTTGGCCGACGCCAACAGTCGACGCCCCCGTCTTGCCTTTTTCCTATTTTTTGGAACCAAAAACTATGAATTTATTTGACACTTGAATAAATGCGGTTTTTGCGGCAGCCAAAAACGAGGAAAAATGGTAGGAAATATATTTCTCAAAATGGATTTGCCAGCAGCCAAAAAGGCTCATCCTTTTTCCCCGGGTGTCGACACACATGGTTGATATATAACCCATGTCGTGCTCTCGTTCCGCAGTTCGATTCACAGCGCTTCCTGATCTCCTTGCCCCCGAAATTGGGGGATTCCCCCCGCTGTTGGTTGGGGGGCGTGTGTGTACTTAGCGTTCTGTAAAATGCCATTTCTGGGCCCTCCTTAATTTATGAATGCCGCTCCAAGGCGGTAATTGTGATGTGCGAGTGTGTGGTGTAAAGTGTTCAGTGCATTTTTGGCGAACAAAGGACCAACGGGCAATGATGTCATCTGCGGATGGAGTTGCGGATTAGAAGGTGACTGTCTCTAAGGATGCGTGATGATGAAATACACAGCTTTATTATTTTGAAAGTTAAATATAGTTAACTCGGTTCTGTAAATATTTGGCTAAGCTCAACACTTAATAACCTATAAATATGAATTCATTAACACTTGACTTAAAAGCGTATCATCTCCCCTCGTCATTTTATTTCTAATGACTTAGCTACTTTCACTTGTTCTATTAGGCGGCTTGATCTTTCAGGCCAATTGGCTAATTAAGCCGATGCCTCGAAAGCACGACCTTGCCCGCAAAATTTCCAGTGCAGTGCACCCAAAGAAATAGATGGGTAATTTTAATTTAAGCATTTCTAGGCAAAGAGACACACAAACCATAAAACAAACCCCAATTATGGTTTGGTAAAACGAATTAATAGCGAATCGCACACATTATGATAACAATATAATCTGTAGGCACACTTTTAACGGCAAGTCGAACACCTTTGGTTTGCTCGAACTTCTATAAATAAAATACAAATTTATATTCAGCGCCCTGTGCGACAAAAAGTGTTGGAATTGAACCGTGACCACAGTCCGTTTGAGGGAGTCGACCGGATCGCACACGATTTCGCTGCATTCTCCACATTATAGCACAGAAATAACAAATAGTCATGTTTTGTGCCTTATCAACATTTCTAGTTTCTATTGGACTCTATGCCCTGGGTTCTTATCTCTACGAGCAGCTAAGAACGCCGTACAAATTGATGAAACTTCGATACTTTAGCGATACGAGACCCACTCTCAAGGAGCGTTATGGAGATTGGGCGGCTGTCACGGGAGCCAGCGATGGAATTGGCAAGGAGTACGCCAAGGCTTTGGCCCGCCAAAATATCAATGTTGTGCTGATCGCCAGAAACGAGGAGAAACTTCAGGCGGTGGCCAAGGAAATTGGTAAGTCAAGTGGCGAAGAGATTATGATAGGTACTTGATTACAAAACTTTGGTTATTAACATGACTGGTTTATTTTTGTAATCTAAATACGTGTTGAAAACTGGAACACAATTGTTATATCACTCAAACACAGTACCAAAATAACTTCATTGCATTCAACTAAAAAGAACGCAGATGTATAGATTTATAATTCTTGTTTGGCAGATATTGCTCCCGTTAGTTGGTTAATTACAGCAGATTTGTTTGAATAGCACGAGACTTTTGAAGAACACGCAATCCGTTGTCTAAATTATGATGTAAAGCCATCGAATCTAGTTTTGTACGAACCAAAAACTGTTAAGAGCATACCAACAAAATATTTGCTTATTTTCGATTTTTATAATTTTTAGCGGAGATTGTTCCTAAAGTGCAGACTAAAATTGTGATAGCTGACTTTACAAAGGGCTCGCAAGTGTATGAGCATATTGAAAAGGAAACTGCCACTATTCCCATTTCCATTCTTGGTAAGTAAATATTTACTAAGTTATGATATAGTAAATAATAATTGCAATTATTATGCTCCGTAGTAAACAACGTTGGCATTGGCACACCAGCGCCTATTCTTAAATGGACCCAAGAAGCCACAAAAAACATAATTGATACCAATGTGGTGGCCGTTTCCCAGCTTTCTCGGATCTTCTTCCAGCGAATGAAGGAGTCGAAGATCAAGGGAGCCATCGTGAATGTAAGTTCCGGCACGGAACTGCAGCCCTTGCCCTATGGAGCCTACTATGCCGCCTCGAAGGCGTACAACCGTAGTTTCACTTTGGCTTTGTATCACGAAGCGAAGCCATATGGAATCCATGTGCAGCTGCTGTCCCCGAATTTCGTGGTGACCAAGATCAATTCGTACTCCAGGAAGATCATGAAAGGCGGTCTGTTCATCCCATCAGCCTCTGCTTACGGCCAGAGTGCCGTGGATCAGCTGAGGGACGGAGTGGAGGAGACTCCGGGTTACCTGTGGCACCATGTTCAGAATGCTGTGGCAACCGCGTTTACATGGCGGGTTCGTACCTATGCCGCTATGAGAATTTTTAACAAGGCGAAGGACAAGAAAAGGCAAAGCTAATGTCTTCAATTTCGAAAACAAATAAATAAAAAAACAAACCACAAAGCCATTCTGTTAACATTTACACATATTATGTTAAATACCAAATTTAGTTTTTACATAAAGCATAATCCCTCAGCCTCTCCAAAACATTAAAAAAACAGAAAAAACTTCAATAAGCTTTTAGTTTGAATAGTACCTTACGATAACAATATAATTTGCGGGCCATTTATTATGGGCCATTTAAATTCAGCTCTCTGTCCGGCAAAAAAAAAAACAAGACCTCAGTCCGTTTGAGGGAGTCGACCGAATCGCCCACGATTTGTCTGCATTCTGCGTATTATAACACAGAATTAACGAACAATCATGTTCTGTGCCTTATCAATGTTCCTGGTTTCTATTGGACTCTATGCCCTGGCTTCTTATCTCTACGAGCAGCTAAGAACGCCGTACAAATTGCTGAAACTTCGATACTTTAGCGATAAAAGACCCACTCTCAAGGAGCGTTATGGAGATTGGGCGGCTGTCACGGGAGCCAGCGATGGAATTGGCAAGGAGTACGCCAAGGCTTTGGCCCGCCAAAATGTCAATGTTGTGCTGATCGCCAGAAACGAGGAGAAACTTCAGGCGGTGGCAAAGGAAATTGGTGAGTCAAGAGGCAAAGAGATTAAGACACTTGCTTAGATTACGAAAAACAAAATTTCAGTTACTTAATAAAACCATTTATTATTGTTATTGTTAGCGGAGATCGTTCCTAAAGTGCAGACTAAAATTGTGGTAGCTGATTTTACAAAGGGCTCGCTGGTCTACGAGCACATAGAAAAGGAAACTGCCAGTATACCCATTTCCATTCTTGGTAAGTAAATGTTAAATAAACCCTAAACTTTTAGCTTCTTAATGGAATTTTTAATTGCTTTTACCCATAGTAAACAACGTTGGCATTGGCACCCCGTCACCTGTACTTACATTTACCCAAGAAACCATTCAGAACATAATTGATACCAATGTGGTGGCGGTTTCTCAGCTTTCGCGGATTTTCTTCCAGCGAATGAAGGAGTCGAAGATCAAGGGAGCTATAGTGAATGTTAGTTCCGGATCGGACCTCCAGCCTATGCCATATGATGCCTACTATGCCGCCTCGAAAGCGTACAACCGTAGTTTCACATTGGCATTATATCACGAAGCGAAGCCATATGGAATCCATGTGCAGCTGCTGTCCCCGAATTTCGTGGTGACCAAGATCAACTCTTACTCGGAGCAGATAATGAAAGGCGGTCTGCTCATCCCATCAGCCTCTGCTTACGCCCAGAGTGCCGTGGATCAGCTGAGGGACGGAGTGGAGGAGACTCCGGGTTACCTGTGGCACCATGTCCAAAATGCTGTGGCAACCGCATTTACATGGCGTGTGCGTACCTATGCCGCTATGAAAATATTTAATTAGGCAAAGGGCAAGAAAAGGCAAAACTAATGCTTTAAAAAATAAAAGATATTGGAAGAGCAAACCAAAAAGCCATTCTGTTAACACTTAAACAAAATACTGCTAATATCCAATAATGTTAATTGTACAAAAAGCTTAGCATACTTTCAAGGGGGTTCGTTACTCGGTTGGGTTTGTGACACTGCTAAGTAAAAGTAAACAATTGATAACTTGAAAGGGTATTGGCATTTTATTTGTTTTCACTACAAAACCGACAAACTGACAACACTATTTAATTTTAGAACGTTTTGGAAAAGCTCTCTGACTTCCTCGTTGAAGAAATTCCCGCCATGTTCCTCAGTCTGGAATCGATATTCAGTTGGAAAGACGGCGGCCGGCAGCTCCTGCATAAAAAGTATTGATTTTATTTATAGCGCTTGGAGACTTAACTAATTTGGTTTATTGTCAGCATGTGAGTTTACTATTTGGAAGTTTTTTGAATAAAAGGCTTTGTGGAACGTTGCTTTTTATCAGTGGAACTGTCTACCTATAAGCCTCGAAAAAGACTTTCGGAATTAATTAAACAAACTAGTGAGCAACAAGTACAATTGAATGTTTTATATGCAATGACCTGTTTACCCTTTTCATTTGCTCAACTAAAACAGAAGTCTACTTTATCAAGTCATAAATAAAATTAAGCCTAGAGAACTTATCTTCACATATCACCATTCATATTAATTGTGGGAGATATTCACACCTCAGTAGTTCGTCGTACATTTCCGATTGCCATTAGTCTCTATGACGCTTTTTGTTCGCTAAAATTCACTTAATGGCAAAATTCATTAAATAATTTTTTCAAATCACCGATGAAAGCAATTACCCTAATATTTCTGTACAAATTTTTTTTTTAATTTTTAAAAACTAATTGTAAGTGTTGTTGTAAAGCCAAAGGTCACTGATAGGTTTGTTTTGCTTGTTTGCTCGGAAATGCATTTATGCCCTTTCCCGCAGTTGATAAGGAATGCTTATGGTATTGAAATACTAGAAGATAATGTCATAAAAACCATATTAAATATTTAAAATAAGATTTAAATAAAATTTAAACATTGAAAAATTTTAAAAAAGAAAGAGACAGAAATAAGAAAAAATATTAAGATGCATAGAATAAAAAAATACGACAGGTTATGGGAAACATTTCAAAAACGCGATAAATGCCAGTAAGTTGACATTCAGTTTATGTAGTACTAATTTGCTAAAAACTATTTCAATCTTGGAGCATTTATCGACATGCAAAACAAGAAGTAAGGCAAAATGAGATCTGTAAAAAAAACTGTCTCAGACGACAGTGACATTGCATGATAACAACCAATTTGACGCATATTTCGCTTAATTGTTTGCAATTAGTTTAACACCGCCAATAATCTGATTATGCACTTAGCAAATAAGCCAGCATTACGACAGTTAAACGCGGGTGAAAATTCCGAGAGTACGAAAGGGTCATATATTTTGCGGCAATTAAATGTCAAATAATTCACCCGGCTCCGACACGTAGTTTTTCAACATCTTCAGTCCGCCGCAAAAGGCAACAAATTAAAAAAACAAACTTTTATGAAATAATAAGCCGACAAGAAGTGAGTAAAACCGCGGAAAAGAGCCCCAACTGCAGTGGCCTTTCCGCTGTAAGTCGGTGTTTTTGTTTTTTTTTACAACTGTTGCTTGTTGAAGACCAGATCCGAAACAGAAAACCCGAGACCGAAAGTCCGAAAAAAACGAAGCCGCAGCTCCAAGTGTTTAGTGCGTGATCGGCGCTCAGACCTGCAACTTGTGCCTCCGGAAAAAAAGAGGCAACCAGACAGACATCGCGATAGTGCGGAATTCGAACTGCTTTAAATAGCTATAGACTATAGTAGTAATAACTGAACGAAACAATAAATTATTAGCACGAGTGCCCAGTGATAAGCAAACAGTTCCACAAGCTCTTAAAAAAAGCTCTTATCACCAACTGAAAGTTGGCCTACTTTGCCTATATAAAGAAAACTCTCTTAACCATGCAGCCAGTTTTGGAAGTGAGCATTTACACTCTGCTAAGGATGGCGTTCCTTTGGCAGCTGATCTCCGCCGCAATCTACATAGTGGGCTCCCTCACTATCGTGGCCTACCTGTACGACAACCTTAAGTCCTTGGTCAGTATTATCAAGGCTGTCCTGGAACCCTACTTCCAGCCACAATTGCCAAAGACTCTGGTGGAAAAGTTCGGCCAATGGGCAGGTGAGTGTTGCGATCGGTAGGCCTATCATACCCCTGACTTTCGCCCTTTTTGCTATATGTTGCCAATGTTATTCAATCACAAAATTTGCATACTCGAACCCCGCGGTTTGTCAATATTTGGTGCTTGCGTTTTTGGTTGCTTTACTGTGACAAATGCAAATTGTTTACCTTATTTTTTTGAAGGAGTGTTTTGCTAAATGGGGAAATACTTAGCACTGCACAGAACGTGCAATCGTTAGCTAATTTTTATCCCTATTATAACAAATTATTATATACAAATTGCCTAATAATAATGAAAAGGTCTGTTACAGCACAATAATTTTATTCACAATTTTTATAACAGTATCGTGTATTTTTTTCCATCATTAACCTAATCGATTTAAGTGGTGCAGTATATTACAAAATTTTAGTTTTTTGTTTCTGATAAATTAATCTAAAGATTTATTTAGTATTACTGCTTTAACTTGATTACAGGGTTTATAGGTAAATAAATCTTTGACCAATATGGAACGATTTTCAAAAACACTCGTTGCTGCGTCTGGTTACAAAATCCAATAAAGATTAGATAAAGACACAATAATCATTATGATTTTCCAAAATAATTTATATTGTCTGCACGAGTGACCTACAACTGCTTATCAGTATGTTGATTATATCACAGTAAGGTTAAAGTTTTCTTGGTTATATTAGAACTGAAAAGTACTATAAATAATTATTCAGAGAAGAAACACATTTACTTTTCTTACTAATTTGAACATACATATTTACTTGATTTGGCAAATCAATTACCAAATTTTGTAAAAAATTAGCTTTGTTTATATTTCGGTATATGGACTACACAAAGTCATTCAACTCGTAAACCGGCTTTCGATTTTTTGTTTATTTCTGTTTTTCTTTCGGTATATTTTTTTTGCTTTATTATAATTAGTTGTATCGCTTTCATTGGCTCATAAAGTCTCGTGCTGCTCTTCGCGGTCTATGATTGTGAATTTTACTGTCTCATCTCACTTTAATTGCTTTATAAATGGGTGACCTTCAATGGCAACTAGTGATCGACTTCTGCATAGTTTTCCTAATTGAATTATGGACTCTTTCAAACCAATTTTGATTATTGACCAATCGAACTGCAAAATCTTTGCAAAATTTATGGCATTCATAATTATCGGACAACACGCAAGCGCAACAATCATTTGGTGTTGCCGTTGTACTCCTAAATGTTGATATTGTTGCCGTGTTTTTTCACGTTTCCGTTGCACAAACATTTGGCAACCAATAACCAGCTGCCAGTGGCAACATTGCTGCAATTGCCACGCTAGCCGGTTTGCTTCTGAGTGCTTCTTTGCGGCCAAATCCATTCATGATATTTGCTGAGGTTTAGCCAACCAGCAACTAGCGATGTGATTAAAAGAGACTCAGTCGAATGCAGTGGGTTAATTAGCAGGCAAATGCTAGATTCGAAAAGGTCTTTTAAGAAGGTCTTGGCTCTGTTTAGTTGCTAAAAATATAAACAAACGGAGAAATGTGACGAAATTTGTGAAGAAAAATATATATTGAAAATTTAAATGACTTAAAGATGAAATAATATCAGTTAAATAATTATTTTTGATAACTTTGTCTGTACAAATATTAGAATAGCTTAAACTTAACATTGATTTTTTGTGCTTTAGTTTTTTCTGTAAAATTCTATTAATATGGTTCCCACTCCTTTTGCCAACCTTCACCTGTACTCATCAGTTTTTATTCAATTCCTTTCACTTTAGTGGTGACGGGTGCCACCGATGGCATTGGAAAGGAATATGCCAGGGAGCTGGCTCGACAGGGTCTCAACCTGGTGCTCATCTCGAGGACGAAGGAGAAGCTGATTGCCGTCACCAACGAGATTGGTAAGCATTCACTAGCCAACTTGTAAACAGTTTTTATTTAACTTCGCTATGCAATTACAGAGAGCCAGTACAAAGTGAAGACCAAGTGGATTGCTGTGGATTTTGCCAAGGGACGCGAGGTTTACGATCAGATCGAAAAGGAACTGGCAGGAATTGATGTTGGCATTTTGGGTAAGTAATTGTTTAAAAGGAATTTAGAGCGAAAATTGGTGGAAGGAAGTTATCTCTTTGAAATGTGAAATAAAACTAAGCTAACTAACTAATATACACTTCAGTTACTACTCAAACATATATATATTTAATATAAAGCAAATTACTCAATTATATGATAAAAACAGTCATTACTCTAATTTTTTTTTGTTTAAATTTTTGTTGTAGTTTTTATTAAAAGATATTTACTGTACAAATTCATACATTCATCATTGTCAACAGCAAACGGCAATCAACAGTAGCAGCTTTAGGTTTACGTTTTGTTTTTTTGTGACTGCTTCTTGTGCGGCTGCCAATGTCAAACAATAATAATTGCGTGCAATTATAATGACTCTGGTTTTTGGTCTATTGGCGAGGCGAAGAGTGGTTTTTGAGCTTAGGCGATGTTCAAGTACAGAGGCGATACGCTGTTGTTGGGGTTTTATTCGCCCGACCAGACTCGTAAACTCTTTGGACTCTTACGCGCTTCAGCAATTTACATTTCGACAACCTTGCGAACGCCTCAAGGTGTTTTTAATAAAGTTTTCGGCTGATAAGAGCTGACATTGATCTTGGCCGGCGGCATTTAATTGGCACTGTAATATTATTGTGAGTTGTTATACATAGTTTTGGTTTTTGATGAGGCTCGAAAAACTATTTCTGTTTAAAGCATGTTGACGTTTTAAAAATGAATTAATTTTTTTACCATTAATAGCTAAAATCTCTAATTTTTAACGAAATCTTTAAATTTTACAGTCAACAATGTGGGCATGATGTACGAGCATCCGGAGACCCTCGATCTGGTGTCGGAGGATCTTCTGTGGAACCTCCTAACCGTCAACATGGGATCGGTTACCATGCTCACCCGCAAGATCCTGCCGCAGATGATTGGCCGCCGGAAGGGCGCCATTGTGAACTTGGGATCCTCGTCGGAACTCCAACCCCTGCCCAATATGACCGTCTACGCGGCCAGCAAGAAATTCATCACCTACTTCTCTAAGGCATTGGAATTGGAGCTGGCGGAGCACAATATCCACGTGCAGTTGGTAATGCCCAACTTTGTGGTAACCAAAATGAACGCCTACTCCGATCGGGTGATGCAGGGTGGTCTGTTCTTCCCCAACGCCTACACATTTTCCCGCTTCGCAGTATTTACACTGGGAAAAACGAGCGAGACGAATGGTTTCTGGACTCATGGCATACAGGTTAGTTAAATTATATTTTTAAGAAATCTACAAAATTAAAAATTGAAGCTGAAACAAATGAAAGAAAGGTAAACAATATATGCAGAAACAAATTCTTGTTCTGCCATAAATCAATATTGCTCATACGTAGTGTTGTCCCAAGGAATATTGTAACCAACACAATTTTAGTTAATTCAATTATACCTATATTTATGATCACATTTTTTCTTCTCTGTTTACAGTATGCCCTCATGAAGTTGGCTCCCCTACCGATTCGCACATATCTGGGCCACCGGCTCTTCAAGAGGCTGCGAATCGAAGCCCTTGAGCAAAAACAACAGAAACTGAAGCTTTTGTAATTCGTTAGGCTAGGTTAGGAGTCATGTAAATATTTGGTTCTTAGTCGTAAGGCTTAAGCTATTCACTAGAAAAACAATTTTGTGCAAAGCCATAAAGAAATAAAAACGTAAAACAAAAGATAAACCCACGAGCGAAAACCGGCTGGCAAAATCAATTGGCAAAATGCACCAAACTCTGCCGGATTGCATAACCGCTGCAATTTGGCCGAAGTTGTAAGTGGGAAAGGGGCTTTGGACGGTTTTAGCCATGAAACCGGTTGGCCAGCGCGCGAAACTGCTGACCGACAAAATGGCTAAGTGGCCAACTGCAGTCGGAAGAAGTCAGTAGACCAACGATCACGATGACGATGTCTCCGCTTCATTGCCTGCACTTTTCGCATATTTTTAGCATTGTATTTTTATACGATTTTCGTTTGGCTGTTTTATTATGCCTTTGGCTAGTAGGTAAAACTCTTTTGCATGCAGTTAAAGTTCGAATACTTCAATCAGGTCTTGAAGAACTGCCCACAATTACACAGAATTGCATTATAAACGAATCAGCAACTATGATTGTGACTTGCACCTTTCTGGAGGAGGAATTGTGCCCACTAAAAAGAATTTGAATTTATTTGTTATCCGTTAATTGAACCCGCAATAAAAGTTGCATATATACACACATAATAACTTAAACAACGTAAGTATCAACGTAAAAATAAATAAAATAAAGTCCCAAGAACTAAAGGGAACTTAAGTAGCAAAGTATTTGAATAATTAAAGTTCACTATAATTTGGCAACCTGTAATAATCAATTTTAACCGATTCAAAATCTGTTAAAGCCTAAAAGTATGTGATAAAGATATACTAGCGATACGTTCAATCTTAGGTACAGAATATGTCTATGATCAATAGAACAAACATAATGTACTTGTATATCATTACTATTGATCCTTGAGCAATAATATTCAAATCAAAATCGATAGGGCCATGATCCAAAGTCCCAACACCAAATATTAAAAATAAATTAAAAGATATTTTTAGTTTTGTTTTGTTTTTATTCCTGCAGTTTGATGTTGCTTGTTTTTTGCGGTTGTTATTCACAAATAATTTAAGAAAAGTCGATTAAAATGCAGTTATACATTATGTATGTCTTAATAAATACGAATGCGAAATATCTGTGTTGTTTCAACAATAAAATAACCAATTCTCATTGATTGCTGATGTTGTTCTCAATTTGCTTATACTGTACATCATGGTCTATGAATTGCAAACTAAGTAGATTCCATTGCCAAACAAAAATGAAATAGATCACAAAATAAAATTTATGATTAGGGCAGATGACGCCAATGCCGGTGGCAGAGTTTTCCGAATGGATCGATCTTGCAGCGCCTCGAAGATGGAATAAATGTGGCGAAGCACTGCGAAAAAACACACGTTGAAATTATGAGGGAAATATTTAATTGAAGCGTATCCCAGGGGATCGTAATTTATGGCACTTACCACTCAGCAGGGGTTTGGCCATCGGTCAGCAAAACGCTCATCAGAATTGCCGAGCCTCCATTTTTCGGCAGCTAGTGGCTTTGACGTCATCTGCAAATGTGCATTATCCAAGAATTTATTTGAAAAAATCCACTTTTAAAAGCGATTTATTGATTATAAAAGAAATTATTTTTCCTCTGACGTGAAGTCTCTGCAATTGATAAATTCGTGTATATATTCTATTGCTATTTTGTTTGTTCAAGTGGCCGCATTGGCATAAACAATAGTCCACAACTTGTTGTTTGTTTCAAAGACCATAATCTTCTTTGAAATTTATTTTTGGTAAGACGAAATAACTCACCGAGGGATTTTGAAAGCAAAGATTGGACTTTCTCAAAAATAGCTATCTATACTCGAATACTTTTTCAAGTTTATCCATCAAGCTGCTTGAAATATTCGAATACATTTGATACAAATTAATTATAATTTCCACCTTGGCAAATCATAAATTCTGGCCATAAAAAAGTGTGTCTTTGAACATTTTTATGCTTGTGCACTATGGCGGATATTTTCGGTTGAAAATGTTGAATCACAAAGTTGCGACATTCGGAAAATGTTCTGCGAAAACGATTTTTAATGTTCCCAAATGAAGGGGGCTACGACGACAGGAAGGTGTTTAGTGGGCCATGTCGAAATTTTGTCGTTAAAAAATAGAAGCGGAAAATCTATTTATTATCGAGCTGCCAAATGGCTGCCAAAAATTTAGTCAAGGTTTTTTTTTTTTTTTGTTTAAGGCGAAGTGGGAATATTTCGATAGTTTATTTGATGTGTGATGATAATTGAATTAATTGGTTTAATGCTTACCTGACTTAGGTTACTAGTAGAAATCCATTAAATGCTAAACATCTTAAACGCGTAGGGTCCTAGAAGCTCCACCGGACCACAAGATGATGGCATGGCCGGCGGCTTGGAATTGAAATTCAACATGTAAGCTATCCTTGATGGGTGATGGGTGGGCTGGTGGGTGGTGGGGATGGGCCTAGAAGGCGGCTTCGTAGAAGGCATAGAGCAGGAACAGCAGGAAGGCCAGGATGAGGAAGGTGGTGAACAAACTCTTGGCCTCATTCATTTTGACTGCGGTGTTCTGGCTTCTGGCTGCTATATTAATTACAAGGGATAATACGGAATCGGATTAGCGATTGATCGATCGATTGACGGTCACGAATAGTCACACACTTGGGGATGAGTTGTTAGTTTTTTTTTTGTTTGGAGAGATTTCCAACCGTTCGTAGCTAAAGGCGCGCAATAACTGAATTTTCCGATCTGAATTCCACTTCTCCACAAAAAGTTGGACAGCGTTTGGAATTATGGCTATTTCCCAGGCGCACGCACGCACCCACAAAGATCCATTTATATAGGCGATATATAAAAAATTCATTTATATGTATGTATATCGCCGGGTAGTCGCTTGTATGGGTATCCAGTTGTTGCTCATATTTTTTGACGCGGCACAAATATTTTCTAGGCTTTTACTTATACATATATAGTTTGGTCTGTATATTTTGCGATACACATACTTATATATTCGAATTCCATGCGATTCTAGCCAACTTTTCTCTGATCTCTGAACATTATTTATTTGCTGGACTGCACCCTAGACAAATTGATTTTTTCCGACTTCACCTTGTCATTTGAAAATGGTTTATTTATTTATTTCTTGGTTTTTGGTTTGAAAGATGTTTTTCTCCAGCTGTCTGTTTGATTAACATATTTATTTACTTTTACCGAAAACAAGCTACATTTGCGTTTTTTTTTTTGGCTTTAATGTTTTAAAATATTGAAAGAATCTTGAAAAATTGGGTACATCACGTAGCCCCCATCGAGTTTACTGCACATTTTGAACTTAATGAGCATTTCAAGGTTTGTGATTGATGTGGATTTATCTCGATTAAATTCAATGAGAAATTGGGTAATTGGGGTAATTGGAATTTTATTCATGGTCTAAGTACAATCGTGTAATAAATATGTGGTTGCTTTAAATATTTAAAGTATTGAAACATTGTTAAAAAACTTAAGTTGAATTAAGATCATTATAAAGCACTCATTAAAGTCACAAATTTATGTTCCTGACAATTTTTTGAGTTTTTCTGGCAAACTTTTTAGAAAAAAATCGTGGATCAAGTTTTGTTTCAAATACCAACTTTTGATGATGATTTTTCTCGTTTTCTCGGCCAAAAAACGTTGTACAATGAAGAGACTACAATTTTTGGATGACTTTGAAAAAACATTCAATTTTTGACCAACAAAATAGATTTTTTCACATTTTTAATAAATTCGTTAAATTTTGATAAAATTGGTCAAAAATAAAAATTTACAAATTTTAATATCTATCGCTTCAAAGTGTGATTACGAGCTCAACGATGTATGACATTTACATTTCCTAACATTTTTTGCATTTGCACTCCTTTTTTGCTACGACGTTTAGATTTCCCAGTCCAATCTTTAATTTAATTACATTTGCTTACCTTGAATCCTGCTCTAAGGACCTTCTTCTTGGCTCCAACATTTTACAAGACGGCATAGATAAGGTAAAGGAAGAAAAGAAGGATGGCCAGAATGCCGAAGGTGGTGAACAGGTTACGGGCTTCGCTCATATTGATTGGATATTCTGCAAAAAAAAAAAAAAAAATATAAGTATAAATTTGGATAAGTGCCAAACATAGGTTAAAATTATTTTTAAATATTTTCTTAATATGTATACAAAAATATTTTTTTATTAGACGCGTGGGGAGTTTAATTTGGTAGAAACATAAAAAAGGCGGCAATAAATTCTCTCACGGAACACATATGATTTTGTTTTAAAATAATCAAATAAAATACCAACGTATAGGTATATATATTTATTTATATAAAGTCGACAGATATTAAAGCCATATGGAAAATATTAAATTGTTTTTTGGATTTGTCTACGTCTGGTTATATCTACTTGATGGTTTTGTGATCTCTGTATTGCTGATAGAGCAATCAAAGAACCATATGTCTATATAGATTAAGTAATTCCAGTTTTATAGATTGGAACGGATCCAAGAAAAAATATTTAAATGAACACGAGTGAGGAAATATTTACGAACACGGCACTCTTGAAATCGATTTTTTATTTCCCGAATTTTATCATTTGGCTAAAGTCCTCAGGTCACTTCACTTGTCTCCTGGTTTACCTTTGGTTTTTTGTCCGCTGGGGGAAGACACAATTTTGTGCTACTAACTGGTGAAAGCCTTTGGCTCAACTAAAACCGTTGGCCCGTCCACGTATTGGGATATAGATGAAATACTTAGCGGTCTGCAAGCATCCATACACACGCAGTTGGAGCAGATCTGACAAGTGGATATAGATTCGTGTGCGTGTGTACGTATTTTGGATATATAGCAATATATTTTGTCCCATTGGCCAAAATGAGACGCCACGACCAGGGCAGAAAGTGCAGACTTTATGGAAAGTCGCGTAGAAATAACATCGAAAATAAATAAAATAAATTTGCCGCGCACATCTTGACAGTTTTCGAGCAGCCGCTGGCCAGATCTGAAGCCAAACCACCAACAATAACAATACGCCCATTAAAAATAATTCAGGCATCTAGTATATTGTTTGTTCCATTTCTCGAAACATTCGCCTTGAAACTATTGACAGCGTTTTGGAATTTCCGAAAGTGCAAAGGAACTAGAAACATGAGTTTCATATTTGGCGTGTGATCTAACAGGGTTTCCAGCTAAATGAAAAAAACCAAGGGATGTTGGATTTTAATATTTTTTCCAGTTTATTAAATAGGAAAGTCTGAATCGTCATACCCCAAACAAACCAACCCCCTTTTCTTCTTTTGACAAATTAATACCACCCAAAATTTTCATAAACAACTGTCACACGTTTCGGGTCCTTGCCTTTTCTAAAAAAAAACATACACTTTCACTAAGCTGACACTTGTCATTAAGTCAATTTGGAAATGCAATGCGCAAATGGCCCAAAAAAATAAACAAGTAGACATTAAAATATACATAAATAATGACCAAAATAATTAGGAGAAGTTCATGAAATTTCTATTAGGTAAAACAAAGCATTGATTAACTTAAAAGTAAATCTAAGATACTTATAAAAAATGGTAAACAAATTGAGCTGCGTCAAAAAAATACTTGTGCCTCAAATAAAACATTCTTGGAAAATGTGTGCTTTTGGTTAACCAAATGGAACAACATTTGGTTTTTCAAGCAAAAGTTGTTTGAAGATTGAGCTAATGCAGCTGTGGCCACATTGCGTATGCTTAATTTTTTTGACTTAGCATGCATGTACATATTTATGACGATTGAGGGCGATTTTAATTGTTGTATTTTTAAAATTTAACCTGGAATCCTTTTGAACAGTACACAATTTTTTCCAAAACCATATTTATAATCAAAAACATGCCTGAAACCATAAACAAATATCTCTCTAGGTTCATTGCGCCAATAGGCAATGTAAAACAAAACGGAATGGCAAAGATCTTTAAGGTCAAGGCGAGCTCTATGAGGAGAGCAATGAGAACTGGGAGAACTTTGATAGAATCGAGAATACATAGCTCAATCCGCAGCTTCGTGGCTTATCAACTCATTAGAGAGTAAGTCCGAGTAAGACGAAATTTTTGCGCAGTTTTCGCGAAACAAAACAAACGAGCGGACCCACAATAAATTGTAATAAAAATGCGCTTGACGCTTCAGTTAACTTTGCTCGCTTTTGTGATCCACATTGTTAGATCTCAAAATGATCAAGAATCGATTGCGGAAGTGGAAACCGATTCGGACTCGGATTCTGAGGTGGAATCGGGCCAGTTTTTCAGCCATTTGTACAAGAAAAATTTGCAACAGATGGTGAAAATAAAGAATGATTCATTGGATCCGTGTGATGATTTCTATGCTCACGCATGCGGAAATTTCGACAAAGCACTACAGGAAGATCCAGATGATTCCTTGCCCCCTTATCTGTATAACAAACAGGACCGGATGAATTTCTTCACGGCTCAGGTTGGCAACTTTGAAACGCTACCAGGAAGACTAATTTCACAGCTGTATGCGGAGTGTCGGGAGAGGGGAGATAGTAATGTTCTCGGTGGAAAGCCTTCACTATCGCAATGGGAGCGCCTTTTAAAGGAGATTCCCTTTCTGGCTAGACATGAAGATGTGCTCTCCTCTTGGCCATTTCTTAAACATCAGTGGGAGCGAAGGCATCTAAACGGACAACTCAATTGGATAGTTCTGTCGGCTCAACTGGCAGCCCATGGATTACCCACTCTGCTCAACATATACTTCGCTATGGACACGATTTATGTGAGTCCCATTGAGGATTTGCCCTGTCCAAATATGGAGGACTTCCAGTCCAGTCTCTCGGATGTTTTAGAGGGTCGTCACCATCAAGTTTCCCACATAATAGCTCATGAGATGAGGGTTCTTTGCCGCGGAATGAGAGGAGAACTCCCATTGGTTATGAGTTTGACCAGAAATGGCAGAACTACCACACCAAAACCTAATGAAGAACAGCTTCTTCTAGATGAAAACACTATGGACTACTTTCAACACTTTTTTGCGGCACTTAACTTCACCACGGAACAGTTGGAAGTAGCGAGAAAATTTCCCTTGAATGTGGAGAAGATCACCCAAGCTTGGAAGGTTTTGAGGCTAACCGAACCACGAATAGTTTACAACTATGTGATGTGGCAGGCCAAGGAGCAGCTCAGATATCCGGATTGTTATAAAGTATCTGAGGAATTCGAGCGGCTTTTGCATTCGGAATACTGGCAGTGGCATGTCTTAAATTCCTATCTAAGTAGGGAGGTCGCTTTAGCTTCCTATCAACTGCATACAACTCGATTTCAGAAGCTTAGAAGATCAAAGTTGTCCACTAGAGATTGGTATGGTCATCTTTGGCCCGCTTCTGTGGAAAAAAAGGAACTTCAGGTGGCAAGAATTCTTCATGCTCATGCCCAAAGCTATTTAAATATAACTGAACTCAACGAGAACTACAATGGTTTGGGTTTCGTTAATAGCTCCTTCCACGGAAATCTTCTGCTCCTTAGAAAAGCTAAACTCCGTCATGGTTTCATGTCTCCATATATTGACGAGGAGGATGTGAATCAACCTGCATACTTTCTAAGGCACTTTCTCCATTTTGTGCTGCTTTCGTTGCACCGGCCAACTTATCATTATTATGCCACCCAGGGCTTGGAACTTTGGCGGCAATCCAGATTGCTTTTGGATACCGATGGTCACTATACAGCAATGGATTGCCTTGAACGACAATCACTTCAACACTTCGATGCAGAAACGGCACCCATTTATAGACCGTTAAGTTTTTATGAGATCGGGGAGATCTTTCACTTTTATCGCTCATTCCAGGCTTCACTCAGAGATTATCACTTCTGGCTCCAAGGTGAAAGATTCTCCTTTGCCGAGACCTTCGTGTTGCAGTTCTTCGGATTGGATACACAGAGGGTGCTCTTCTATGCAGGTGCTCAGCAGTTATGCAATCGCCAGGATGACATATTTGCCGTCCAGTTAAACAGAGGATACATGAATTTGCCTGAGTTTCAGGAGGCTTTCAAGTGTGGAGCAAATAAGCTAATGAATCCCTCGTCCAGATGCATGATTAATATGTGTGAATAACTGATTCGATCATTGAAAGTTACAAAGCATTCAAAACTTGTGATTGTAATTATAATAAATATATTTCCTATAAATAAATTTTTAAAATACGCTTTCATTCGTTAACAGGATTACCAATTTGTGGGGGTGTGTTCATCTATGTTTTACCAATTTGTAAATATACTTTCGAACTGTTAATAAACATGTCAGACTCTCTGAATCCCCCCGAAGATTTTATAGTTTTACATATGAAGATTTGCTATTAATAATTTAATGGATGTGACAATATTGCCAATCTAAAGCACACATGTCGCTCATTTGGAGACCCCGGCGAATAAAGTCTGCCCATCTGCACATTTATTCGCGTTTTGTTTGACATTCCATAGAGCAGTTTATTGGCATAGAATACATAGAATATTTTATATATGTATATATGTTTTAAGTGCCAGTGGATTTCGGGCGGAATATCGTAGGCGTTTTAGACACACGTACCGGCAATAAATTGAAAAATCATCAGAACCAATTCCAGAGAACTATTTTAGCAAAAACACACATGTTTGGTTAAGAAAATTATTGCAAGTGCTTAAGTGTTTTGCATTCGCAAATTTAACCACATTATGGCCGAAAAGCATTCACTAAACACGAAGTATGTATATATTTTTATTTTCCCAGTTTGTTTTCATTGACCCTGGTCGGGAAGTATCCCAAGTTATCTATGTGGGTCTCCGAATCCAGACTAAGTCAATAAAGGCACAAGATTCAACGTAAGACCCGATTCCTATAAATTCAAAATACATGCGACCATTCGCCTTTGTACGTGCGCCAAGATCGCTTGCGAAGACAACAAAAAGTTTTCATTCAGTAAACGTTGATAATTGAAACCGCAATCACGTAGATAAGTGTATATATGAGTGCATATTGTTGAGTGAGTGAGTGCTTTGTGAATGCATTTTTTCGTCCAAAAATTATAAACAAATAATAAACATTTCGTAATTTTGAAAATGTTCTTCTGATCTGATCATGCATTTAATTTAACCCCACGAGTTTCACAGCGTAAAGAAAAGAATCGTTTCAATTATTACACGCATTTCATAGACTCTTCCTGAAATAATTTACCTCTGACAAGTTTTTGAAGCTTCATTTCTCATTTCGGTTTCACTTTTCCACCCGCAACTCTCACTTTATAACCGCACTCAAACACACACGATCAAAAGTACTCAGTCATTTGCATATCTCATTACAAATTGGCCAAAATCGTCTTGAGTCGGACTGCCGGTCTTTAGTTTCTCCACCATTTTCAAGCCGAACACTTCATGCAACTGGCCAAGAAACTGATTTTCAATTATTATTTTAAGTCAATAGGAACTGCAGGTGGTTTTTCACAAAGAATCAAATTACCGAAAAGCTGAAAAGATGCATTTGCGATGTGTCATTGGATGGCTTATTATAGGTATGAAAACTAAATCAATTTAAAGATTATACACTTATTTTTCTATTATTTACAGCAAGTTTTAGCCACGAAGCTTTTTGTAGAGGATTCCTGAACCTTAAACCGGTTCCAATTCACGAGGATGAGGGCAGTACCGAGGCTTATACTTCTCCATCTCCCCCTGCTGCACCAACCCCTTCGAATAGGGATATAACCATCGGCCCATGCAAATGGGCCATTGGTCGTAGTTGTCCCGATCCGGATGTCAAGTATTACATCTACACACGCCACAATCCCATGGATAGACAATGCCTGCATATAGATGAATCCCAGGAGAAGTCCAATCTGACTGACTCCTACTTTAATCCCAGATATCCCACGAAGATAATTATCCATGGCTATAACTCGGATATGTTTCTGCATCCGTTGCAGCAAATGAGAGATGGTGATTATAAATCCTATACTAAAAACATATATTAAAGCTATACCTTGCATTTTAGAATACCTGGCCAAGGCGGACTATAATATCATCTATGTTGACTGGAGTATCCTGTCGCCAGGACCCTGCTATATAAGTGCTGTTCATAATACCAAACATGCTGGCACCTGCACCGCTCAATTAGTGGAGCGTTTGGTGGAGACAGGAAACACGGATATCCATGTTATAGGATTTTCCCTAGGAGCTCAAGTGCCCAACTATATAGCCCGAAATCTAACGTCCTTCATGCTCCCAAGGATTACTGGTTTGGATCCAGCAATGCCTCTGTTTATAACCTCTGGAAACGCGGATAAACTGGATCCCAGTGATGCCAGTTTTGTGGATGTGATACACACAAATGCTTTGGTCCAAGGAAAAATGGAGAGATGTGGTCATGCGGACTTTTACATGAACGGAGGAATCATGCAACCTGGTTGTAATGGACAGAAAATTAGTAAGTCCTTGGCTGCCATATAATAAACAGAGGTCTTAATTTATGCTTTTGATTTTCAGATTCCTTTGCCTGCAGTCATCAAAGAGCTCCTGCATACTTCCTGGAGTCCATCCGCTCACCCAAGGGATTTTGGGGATGGGCATGCAGTGGTTATATATCCTACCTCCTGGGAATGTGTCCTCCCACAAACTTTCTGCTCGAAGCTGGGGATAATATACGTCACACTACTAGAGGAATGTTTATGATCGACACCAATGATAGCTCGCCATTTGCTCTGGGCAAGTGGACCGACTTACCCACTTTGGGAGCGAAGCAACCACATTGGCGAGCTCCCCCGCAGAAACTGAAGGCTCCTCCAAATCAGGGTGTAGATCCACTACTGCATCACATAGATCAGTTTGGCAAGCTGGCAGCCAATTTTAACAACCTGCAGATGTCTCCCGGTGGACAGGATCCTTATGAGCACTGGACCAGCTACAGTCCAGAGCAGAAGGAAACCGATGATGACGACAAGTCTGTCGAGGAGCAGGACACGGTTGAATTTGCCGATCCAGATGATCGGACGTTGAGTACGCAGGCTCCGACTCCTCAAGTCAGTTGGTGGGATTACAGAAGGAATCTCACATACGGATTCACGGAGAATGACATATTTTCTGTGCCGACAGTGGAATAGCCCCAATCGATGCTTCAAGCTATTTATACCCCTTCCTTGCCCCCATTCCTTACTAATATTTAAGCGTCACTTAAGCCGATGTTCATATTGGCAAAAACAATGCACACAGAAACAGAAAATTTAATACAAATTTGTTTAACTCATCTAATATTATAGGACCTATAATAAATAGTGAATTCCTATTGTGCAATTTATAAAATTTTACGCGAGAGCGAAAAAATAAACAAAACACAAGCCAGGACCATACAAGATTTAATTCAGATGTGCTTTAACCATATGGTTTATGATTTAATAATCGGACAATTGATACATTTGTGTGTGTATGCTTGTAATTTGACATTCGGACAATTTCCAATTGCTAGGTATTTCAATAAGTTCAATTAGTTTAATACATTTTCATTTCGATCTGTTCGGTTACATAAATAAATATTCGTTGAGTATGAACACCGATCCTTTGCAACCGGTGCCTGAAAATCAAATTTACATTTACAGTCCGAACTGTAATTCAAGCATCGTATAATTAAACAATTCCAAATACAATAGCTTTTTGTATATATTGTAAATTGTAATAAATTGGTTGCCATAATAATTAGAAATGGACTTGTAGAATGTGGACAGCCGGGTCGGGATGCGGGTGTGTAATTTGTTAGTCATACATGCTAAGTTCTAGTGTTGAAATCCGTCGAGAAGATCCAGGGTGGGTACGTATAGTGACCTTTTGGTTATACATCTGTGTGTATAAGGGCTTTGGCCATTCAATTGAACCGATCCGACGCGACCCGACCGCTGTTTTTGCTGTGTGACCGACTAATTCGTCCGCCTACTGCCATTCGTTCTCTGTCCTGACTACTGAGCTTACACGTAAAATGCTAATGCTTTATCCGTAATGTTAATTAAGACCACGCTCTAGACCTTCTTTTTGACCACCCGCTTGGCTCTTGTCGGCGTGGCAGCCACCGGGGATACGGGTTCCGCTGGCGGGGGTGCTTCGGCGGCGGGAGCGGCTTTGACTGCCGCTTTTGTTGGCGGTTTGACTGGCTCTTTCACTGGTTTAGGTTCGGAAACGGGAACGGGTTCGGATTCGGTTTCAACTTCCTCCTTGACTGACACCTCCTCCGGCTCTGGCTTTATGTCAACATCCATTTCTGGCCGCTCAGAGTCGCTGGTGGCCGACATCGGAGATGGTGGTGCACGCTCCTGGTCGGGATCGTCGTCCTCCTGTTCGTGTGTTGTGTTATTTGTGCTGGTTTCTTCCTCCTCCACCACTGACAGGTGGTACAGCTTCATTTCCTCGTCGGAAATGGGAACTGGAGCGTTCGAGAGCGGATCGCGGCCATTTAGTGACTTGGGGAATGCAATCACATCGCGGATGGACCGTGCACGACACAAGATGGCAATCAGGCGATCCAAGCCCAATGCAATGCCGCCATGAGGCGGACATCCAGACTCCAGTGCGCTAAGTAAATGTGACAGATGATCATGCGGAATCTTCAGAATCTGTTCTAGTATAAAGTGCTGCATATCTCGATCGTGGATGCGAATGGAACCGCCTCCGACTTCCTGGCCGTTCAGCACTAGATCGTAGGCCTGGGAGCGTATGTTCTCCAGGTTTTCGCAGCTGGTGGCAAAGTTATCCAGATCATCACTGTGCGGCAGGGTAAACGGATGGTGAACACTTTCCAACTGGTTGGTCTCGCGATTACGCTCGAACAGCGGGAAGTCTATCACCCACAGGAATCGGAAGTCATTCGGCTTTTTTACCTTGGCGTTCTCCACGAGAAAATCGTGATAATCCAGACGAATGCGACCCAACATAGCGCGCTGAAGGAGTATAATTAATATATTAAATAAGTATATCAAATTATTTTTATGGACTACATACAGTTTCCACTTTCGGTCCGATTCCTAGGAAAAGCAGATCGTTCTCCTCCAAATCGAACTTCTCAGCGATCTCGTTAGCCACTTCCTCGCCCAGCAGCTTGCCCAGCTTATCCTGGACATCCTTCGTCGGGCCGAACTTGCGAACGAACAGCGTGCCCTTGAAGTCCTTGCCGAGACCTTCGTAATGCTTACGGGCAGCTCCATTCCAAAACGCTTCACTGGCCCTCACTACTATGGCATAGGCGCCGAGATCCTCGTATTTTTCCTTAAAATCTCCGCTCTTTTCAATGATTTCCGAGACATTGTTGAGCAGGAACCCAAAGCGAGTGTCGGGCTTGTCATTTCCGTACTTTTCCAGGGCCTCTTCATAAGTTATGCGGCGGAAAGGCGTTTGCAAGCGGGGGAAATCTTTAGGCCATGAATACCGGAGAGTCTCCTCAATCAATTGCATGATGTCATCCCGGCTGGTGAAGGACAGCTCCACATCCAATTGGGTAAACTCCGGCTGCCGATCTGGACGCGTTGCTTCATCTCTGTAACAACGAGCAACCTGGAAGTATCTGTCTATTCCTCCAGACATCAACATCTGCTTGAACTGCTGCGGACTCTGCACGAGCGAATAAAAGTGACCTGCCTTACGTGTGGGTACCACAAATTCTTGGGCGCCACCTGGAGTCCTTCTGAAGAGAGTCGGCGTCTCCACCTCGACGAAACCCAAATAGTTGATCAAATACTCTCGCATTTTCATAATAACAGCAGATCGAAGGCGAAGATTATGTTGCATATCGTTGAAACGCAGATCCAGATAACGATGAGTGAGCCTCAGGCGCTCGCCAGCCCTGTTAAACTTCCTAATTTCAAATGGAAGATTTTTCTTTGCGGGATTAAGAACAACGACCTTATCCGCCTCCACCTCAACATGTCCCGTTTGCATTTTGGGGTTTATGGTGGCCGCTGGGCGAGGTATCACTGTTCCCTCCACTCGCACAATCGACTCAATGGGCACTCCAGTTTCTGCATACTCCTCTAGTCCTTGCGTTTTAGGTAACAACAGTACCTGAGTCTGTCCATATGCATCCCGAAGTATAAAGAATTTGTTCATCCTCTGGAACTCCAGCCAGCCACAGATAACAACTTTTTCGTTTATATCATTGGAGCTCAGTTCACCGCAGTTATGTGTGCGATCAGCGAACTTGTTGGTATCTGCCACCTTTAATCGTTGTTCTGCGTTTGCGGAGCTATTAGCAGGGGGAGCTGCATCCGCACCATCATCCTTGGATTCTCCATTGTTGCTGCTGAGATTGGCCGAGGCCTCGGCGGCAGCCTCTTCTGCCTCCAGATCATCGATGGAAAGCTTTTGCTGCTTCTCTTTGGCTTTAATGGGACCCTCGTAGGGATCGTCTGGGTTCAGGATCTTTACGCTTTGCACACTGACCTCCACTTCACCAGTGTCGTATTTCTGAACAAGATTTGATGACTTACAATGCAGTATACAAAATAGCATTATGAAAACTCACCAAATTAATATTGGCTTTGGGTCTGCTTAGTACCTTACCCACAATCTGAAGAACTGTTTGCTCTGGTGTAGATAGGAAAGTGTCGCTCAGCTGAATACAAAAGTTAAAGTTAATACAATTCGAATAATAAAGGCTTGAAAATAACTACCGACTGATCCTCGATCATAAGTTGGGTTTGGCCATAGCCGTCCTTGAGCTGCAGAAATTTGTTGTTCTTGGTAGAGGGAATCCATCCGACCAAAGTCACCGTTTTGCCCACATCATCGCGGCGCAAGTCATTGCAGGTGAGATCACGGTTTTCGAAGTACTTCAAGATATTTTCATTCTCTGTAAAAGAAATTACATTTAAGCTTGCAATAAAAATATCTGAGAGACTTAAACTTACTGGCTATTTTGTATTCGGTGCTGGTGATACCAAGGTTACTCTGCTGCTGCACCATGGTACTATATGTGCGCTTGTCCCCAGCTCGCTTTGTCCCACTGGCCGGGAAGTGTATATTTAGAATGTCCTGCACTTCAACTTCGATTTCGCCTGTGGGCATCGTCTGATTGCACGAATTGTGCGGTCGGCGCATCACCAATCCAACAATAGTCAGGGTAGTGTTCTCTGGCATGTTGTTCATGCGCCGAGCCACCCGCGGATGCTTGTCCTCCAGAACCACCAGCTGGCAGGCTCCACCGTTGCGATCGCGCAGCTCGGCAAAGCGATTCACCCGCTTCTTGATCAGCCTGCCGGACAGCTCGACGAACAAACCGCAGTGATGATTACGCAACTCTCCGCAACTCTGGCGAATTGGCTGAGGGGGCTGCGAGTTCATATTGAAGTTGCTGGCCATGGCACTCATTAGTTGCATCAAATCATTGCCGGATATGTTGGGACCGCCCACTAGAAAAAAGAAATTGACAAATTTTAACAAATTGTATTCAGAAAAATTACGTTGAACAACTTACAATCCAATAATAAATGATTTTTTAATTGCTTAATCATTAAAAGTGTGAATAATCATTGAATCCCGGGTTTTTTGGATGACTACTTACTGTTGAAGGGGTTCGGTCCAGGACCTGGTCCAAAGTTGTCATTGAAGCCAGGTCCTCCTCCACCGCCGCGGTAGTTGTCGAAGTCGTTGTAGCCACCTCCATCTCCATAGCCACCGCCACCTCCACCGCCGCCTCGTCCTCCAAATCTTCCGCCGCCCCCGCGATATCTGCCACTCATGACCTGCTACCGAAAGGGGTTACTGGTCATGATAGATTCTCATGGCTAAGGGATTTGAATCACGACCACTTACGTGACTACAATCAGCCGGCTCTTGTGCAGAAACCAAAGAGTCCGGGGTGCTCCGATGTCTAATGTGCTTTTCCGCCAATAAACCGCCACTAGACGAACTTTTCACGATTTGTTGTTGCAGTTGCAGGCGCTGATGGCTTCGCCAAAGGGTCCTGGAAATTAGTAACATTGTTTTTTGTAGCAATTATTCCCCCTCACATTTAAGTATTGCCTCATCCAGCGAGCGAAAAAATTTTTAGACCCCAGCACGAGCTACACACACACTCAGGGGAAACTAATCAGACACCGCTACACATATACACACTGTCCAAGAAGCGAATTTGTATGCGTGTATGTGCCGGGCGTCGCGAAAATGCCGACGAAAAAGTGTCCGAATTATAAGCAGCCCTACCGTATTAAGTTTTTCGAGTGCGGGGCCACAATTACGCTGGAGTTCGACAGTCAAGTGTCACCAAAAAATTGCTAGTATTTGTCCTGCAATCGGACGATTTATTCTTGAATTCTACGAATAAAAATGTCACTGTTTTGGCTTGGCTGCAAACTAGTGTGACCGTAGCAGCTGTAAGACATCGATATTATTAGTGAAGCTATCGTATTCATAAAGCCGTTGTGTTTACATATCGATGTATTGATAATTTATTATTTGTTTAATTAAAAAACTTACAGGCGTGTTTAAAAAATTGTTTTATTTACATGACACTTAAATTCATTAACAAATGCATTCAATAACAATCTATTTTTGTTCATCAGTTCTACATGCATGTGCAAAAGTCATACAAAATAAGCTTTGTATTGTGGCAATCACAAGTTTCCTTCCCAACTTGCATTCTGGCTTTTAAATTACAAAAAGTACACGGACCCGACCAGTGCAGATATTTCAGTGATTAATAAAGTCTAACTGTTGTAGTCGGTTCCATTAAGTGAGCTCCTAAAATGCTGCACCACATAGTCGTGATAGTAGGCCATAATACATAGAGGTTGTCCAAGAATAATGGAAGCCCACACGATTATGTTGCCCATTCGGGGGCCCAAACGTTTCTCAATATTCTTTGATATGGCCGAGAGGGGAATCTGACCCATCATGCCCATAAAGGCCCAGATTTTGTAGGTTTGCAGGGGAACAGAGACCTGACAAAGAATTAAAATAATATTTTATGTTGAAACTTAGTGAAATTTATATTTACCAAATATTCATGGAAGAAGGCACTAAAGAGGAACACAATGGTAGACGCCTGTCGTGAGGAGTAGCCCATTTGGACAACTGGGATATAAAGATGACGGACACACCACCTGTGAACTGGCATGTTCCAGGTCCTCCAAAACGTGTCAATATTATTGGCGTTCCACCAATCACAGTAAAAGTTGCGATCTGCAAAGTTCAGGAGTTCACCCACCGCGTTCAGAAAAGAGTGGAACATGAGGTAGAAGAAGCACAGCCAGCACAGGTGATTGGGTAACTAAAAAAAATATATTATTTTCAAACTGAAATTTTTAAAATAGTTATCTACTAACCGCCAATTTTAAAAGTCGCTCTGTGGCCAAGGCCACATCCATGTTGGAAAACGGAATAAGAGAGTTGCGCACCGAGGGAATTATCCACTGCTGGAACAAAGCCATCACCACATTTACGCCAATCACAACCTCCAACAAACGCTTGAGCAAAAAGCGTTTGCGCACGCGCGAAGTTCGTGGGAAATTCAATTCATAGCAGAGTGTTGGAGCACACAGGAAGTAAAGGAGATCCCTGTAGGTAAGATTATCCGGATACTGCACCAACTTTGCAACGTCCTCGTCCTCTTCACCGTCATTTAGAACCCCATTTTCTAAGCCACAGTTAGTTAGAATTTTCTATAACAGATAGGATCACTTCTTTACTTACTCAGTTCAGCCAATGTTATGCTGGGTCGACGCTCTCGGGTATTCTTTTGGTAGTATGTTTGGCGGCACCACATGTTGGTCTGCACATAGGACCAGAGTTTCAGGAACAATACAGAGTAGAAGAAGCAAACAGTTGAAGCGCCCACTAAAGAATTAAGAAGGTTTGTACCAATCTTTTCATATTTTTAAAATTTCCTTACTTAAACTGAAGGCATGTCCCTTGAGGTGAATGGTGACTACCGGCAGGCAAACAAGAACCACAATGTTTACTATTTGGATGAAGATTCCTAAGCCCTCGGCAATGATTTCCTATAAAGATAGTTAAAACAAAATTATATTCAAATATAGGCTGTTTAACAAAATCAAATTTAAATTCGTAAACTATCGATAGCTAGAAACGGCAAGAGCTCCCGTCGCTAAGCCATCACTAAGTAATCGATACCGAAATCCACGCTAAGTTCCATCCGCAGATCCGCAACCATTGTGCGAAAAGTGTTTTGTGATTTCATTTGATGTTGAAAAGTTGAGAGGAAACAGCCGCAAGTGATATTATTTAAAGCGATTAAGACCCCGAATTAAAGCATACTCGAAATGGAAGTCACCGAGGCGAATTTACAGCTTCTGGCCGGTTATTTGCAGCAGACGCTGAGCGCCGATCCAAATGTCCGCCGACCGGGTGAGTGTGTCTGTGGGAATGCGTGTGCTCACGGCACTCACACAGCTGCACATGCGTGCAGGCATGCTATTGTGTGCGTGCGCGGGAAATGATTTTTGGCGACGCTTAAAAGAAATACGGTTTTCTTTAAAACCTTTTGAGGATATTTTTTCGAATTGCAGTCTTACGCAAGATTGTAAAACTCATTAAATACACCGGACTTTTCTTATCTTGAAATGACAATACCCAAGCTTAATATGTGCAAATATATGTGGTTTAAATTAAAAGTTCTTATCTCCAAAGCCACTTATGTAAAGTTTAATCTTAAAATTTTTGAATCCTTCAATTGTAAAGGAACCCTTAAACTTCTTATAAACCCTTACTTTCTCTACCCCATCAACAGCCGAAAAACTTTTGGAGTCCACGGAACTACAGCAGAATTACCCAATATTACTCCTAAACCTCATAGACAAAGCGCAAATGGACATGACAACGAGGGTGGCAGGCGCCATCGCCTTTAAGAACTATGTGAAAAGGAACTGGGCCGCTCACCTGGACAGCGATGGACCGGATCGCATCCACGAAAGTGATAGGAACACAATCAAGACCCTAATCGTAACGCTAATGCTCCACTCCCCGGTGGCATTGCAAAAACAATTGAGCGACGCTGTCAGTATCATTGGCAAGCATGATTTCCCGAAAAAATGGCCGCAGCTCATAGACGAGATGGTGGAGAGGTTTGCTTCCGGCGATTTCAATGTGATCAATGGCGTTTTGCAAACCGCACATTCGCTGTTCAAGCGCTATCGCTATGAGTTCAAGTCACAGGATCTTTGGGAAGAGATCAAATTCGTGCTGGATCGCATGGCTAAGCCCCTTACAGACCTGCTTCAGGCCACTATGCAACTGACCAAGGTGCACGAGAATAATGCCGAAGCTCTGAAGGTCATCTACGGGTCCCTGGTGCTGGTGAACAAGGTGTTCTTTTCGCTGAACTCCCAGGATTTGCCCGAGTTCTTCGAGGACAACATGAACACCTGGATGGGAGCGTTTATTCAGCAGCTTGCCGCTGATGTGCCATCGCTTCGCACTGGCGACGATGAGGATGCGGGTGTGCTGGAGCATCTGCGTGCGCAGGTCTGCGAGAATATTTGCCTATACGCCAAAAAGTATGACGAGGAATTCAAGCCCTTCATGGAGCAATTTGTGACCGCAGTCTGGGAGTTGCTGGTCAAAACCAGTCTGCAAACTAAATACGATGCGGTAAGTTGACCAAAATATTCTACGATTCACTTAATTAATCATTTTCATTTTTATTATTCCACAGTTGGTTTCCCATGCGCTACAATTTTTGTCCGTGGTGGCTGAGCGTAAGCACTATCATAGCATTTTCGAAAACCCAGAGATTTTGGCCCAGATCTGCGATAAAGTTGTCATTCCCAATCTGGACATTCGGCCATCAGATGAAGAAATCTTCGAGGACAGTCCCGAAGAGTATATTCGCAGGGACATTGAAGGCTCTGACATTGATACCCGGCGAAGAGCGGCCTGTGATCTGGTGAAAACTCTATCCATCAACTTTGAGCAAAAGATCTTCGGCATCTTTGGTCAATATCTGGAGATATTGTTGACCAAGTACAAGGAGAATCCAGTCGCCAATTGGCGTTCCAAGGACACGGCTATTTATCTAGTTACATCGTGGGCATCTCGAGGTGGAACTCAGAAGCATGGCATCACACAGACTTCTGAGTTGGTCCCACTGCCAGAATTTTGTGCCCAGCAGATTATACCCGAACTGGAGAGACCCAATAGTGAGTTGAAACGTAAGAAAAACTCATTGAAATTCTAATTTCTGTTTTGCTTTGCAGTCAACGAAATACCCGTACTCAAGGCAGCTGCCATTAAGTACGTAATGGTGTTCCGCAGCATTTTGGGTCCGCAGGTCTTGGCCAATTGTCTTCCGCAGCTCATTAGACATCTTACCGCCGAAAGTCAAGTGGTTCATAGCTATGCTGCTTGTTCCGTGGAGAAGATCCTAACCATGCGCGATGCCAGCAATGCGATTGTGTTTGGTCCTCAAGTGCTGGCACCCCACGCCACACAACTCATCAGCGGATTGTTTGGCACTCTCTCGCTGCAAGGATCCGGGGAGAATGAGTACGTTATGAAAGGTAGGTTTGTGAAACAACTTATATATTTTTGTTGAGTAAAAAAACCACTTTCTTTTAGCCATCATGCGCAGTTTCTCGGTTTTGCAAGCGGCTTCTATGCCATTTATGGGAGTTGCTCTTCCCCGTCTCACCGAAATTCTTACCCAGGTGGCCAAGAATCCTTCACGCCCACACTTTAACCACTATTTGTTTGAGACGCTGGCTCTCTCTATAAAGTAAGGATGTCAGCTGGGTCTTCAAGAATCTGTTGCTAACTCAACTCCATTTGCAGAATTGTTTGCCAGGCTGATGCGTCTGCCGTGAGCTCTTTTGAGGAAGCGCTGTTCCCCGTTTTCCAAGGCATCTTACAGCAGGATATTGTCGAATTTATGCCATACGTTTTTCAGATGCTTTCTGTGCTTCTGGAAGTGCGCGAGGCCTCTGGTTCCATACCGGAACCTTATTGGGCCTTGTTCCCATGTTTGTTGTCTCCAGCTCTTTGGGACCGAACGGGCAACGTAACACCCTTGATTCGGCTTATTTCAGCTTTCATTAAGCAAGGCTCACCACAGATTCAAGCCTTGGGCAAATTGGTAAGTAGTATAATAGTACGAAATCACAGGTTTAATATAACTTAAATTATATTTTGTTGCAGAGTGGAATTCTCGGAATCTTCCAGAAAATGATTGCCTCCAAAGCTAACGACCACGAAGGCTTTTATTTGCTCCAGAATCTCCTTTCCTACTATCCAGCCGCAGAAATACAACCCACTCTTCGCCAGATCTTTGGACTGCTCTTCCAGCGACTGTCCCTCTCCAAGACGGCCAAGTATATCAACGGCATTATCGTCTTCTTCAGCTTCTATGTGATCAAGTACAGTGGCAGCGAGCTAGTTCAGTTGATAGATGAAATTCAGCCGGGTATGTTTGGTATGTTGCTCGATCGCGTCTTTATCCCCGATATGGGAAAAGTTATCAAGGAGCAGGAACGCAAAATGGTAGCTGTGGGTGTCACGAAGCTCCTCACTGAGACGCCAGAAGTGCTGCAGCAACAGTACGGAGCTTTCTGGCCACGCTTGCTTCATTCTCTTATCGATCTTTTTGAGCGACCACCTGAGAAACTCGAATTAGGAGGAGAGTCTTTAGGAGTTGCCGAGGATCCCGATGCGGGCTATCAAGTGGCCTTTGCCCAACTAACCCATGCCCAGCCTACCCAGCATGATCACTTGGCCGAAATCGTTGATGCACGCCAATTCCTGGCCAACTCGCTTTCTAAGTTTGCGCAATCGAAGGCAGGAGAGTTCTCAACTTTGCTGTCGCCCCTGGAGCCGGAATACAAACAAGTGCTGCAAAAATATAGTGATCAGCATGCCGTACGCATTGCCTAAAGAAATAGAATCACTCGGACATTATTTATCGCAATCAAACCTCGCCATACATTCGCAACACCTATCTATATACACACACTTGATCACTCATTGCCCGGTTTATTGTCATTGATTTTTTGTATCTTATGTACCATATGTAAGTCTTGTAAACAATAAAAAGTTATGTTTTTAAAATACGACTTGTTTTTGCATTGCGGCTAAATGAAAAAGAATTTAATTTCAACTTATTTCACAACGTTTTAAATGAGTGAAACACATATAACACTTTTCTCCCAAAGTAACAACTCCTTCGTTGTTAGAAACTTCAACAAATTTACTTAAATATTCCTAAATTGTGTGGCAACTTGAGATTTACAAATTTAGAATATTAGTTTAGTTGAAAACAGATAAACCATGTTGAGGCTAATGTCGTTATTCAAGACGCGATCGAAAAAATTTGGCGTTAGATGCTATCAAAGTAAGTACTCACCATGGCAAGGCCTTTTTCCACAGCCAAACAGAGGGAAATGTGAACCAAGGAATCTGAAGAAGATTTTGATTTAATGGTCAAGAAAGTATGTTGGTAATTCTTTTGAATTCGGATACTTACAAATGCTGAGGATTAGGGCATTGTGGCCCTCGCCTTCATTGTGACCGCTAATGAAAAGAACCAATCCAGGGGATTAATGCGTATTCCATACCTAAGAAATAGGATATATTTTGTTTAAATTTTGTTTGAAGCCTAGATTTTCTAGGTATTTACTTGAGCAGATTCTCCAGACCCAAGCGCAAACCTCCAATGCAAAGCAGTAGAAAACCCCAGTTTACCAGACCTGTAAAATTGGTAAATCCGGAGCTCCAAGAGAACAGAGAGTCTCTTGGTCGATGGATTCTACAAAGGAAGAAGTTCTTTATTCACTTTTCAATAGGTTATTTTTGGTTACTGACGGTCTGCCGGGTTGAGCCCTCCTCTGTTTTTCCTCTTTATTGGAAATTTCCTCGGCGCGTGTCACACTTTGGGTCCTCCTATATCTTAGCTTCTTTTCAGACCCATTGGTTCCATTTCCATTTTCATCTTTATCTAACACCTTTCGGTACTGCCGCAGATCGATGGGATTGCCGTGTTGATCGAAGAGGTTTTGGGTTGACTTGCGGTTCCTCAGACTGCTAAGATTGTGTTCTGTAGCAGAAGCTGATCTTCTCAAGCGCTTCATGATTCCCACACCTCCGGATCCGCCATTCTTGGTCGGTTCTTGTTTTCCGGCTCCCTTATCTTGGGGATCTTTGTTGGTGGTCATGTCGTTCTAACAGTCCCTCTCTATAAAGAAATTTCAATTTATGGTGATTAGTTTTTGCTTATCGCACATTCTTTTGCAATTAAAATTGGTATACGAAGATAAGATTTGTTTTGTTATCCGTTATAAAAGTTGAAGTACTTTTAATTTGACACAAAAATAACTCAGATTGGAATTAAAGAGGCTTTAATCAGTAATGGGTTAACGAATCTTGTAATCCATTCAAGTACTTGCTGTAATTAAATAATACTCAAAACTTTGTATATAAAAACTTGTCATTGTTAACGAATAAAAAGCTCTTAAACAAGTCATAACAAATTTAAATATGAGTACTAAGATTTCTACGCGAGACGCACCCGAAGCAATTTCCGCAGTTATTGCGGTCAAAGTTCGCCTGACTTTGTGATTACTGATTAGGTAATCAGATACCGATTTGCATAGACATTGAACCCAGCAAATGATAATGTGGTTAGGTTGTCTGAATTATAACCCAACAGCATCTCACTTGAGTCGTGTAAAACCAGTTGCAAAGTTGCTATGATCGTACTTGACACTAACTTAAGATCGCATGTCAACTGGATGATACCAAATAGCAGGGTGTTATAAGCATTAAGCTGATAAGCATCGTTATTATTTTAATTTCACTCGCTGCCCTTGGGAAACCCTTGTTCAATTTCTTTTTTATTACCCCTGCAAATCCCTATTTTTTAATATTTAAGATTCTAGTTTGAGATTCGCAAACACGTAACTTGTTTATGTCATAAAACGAGTGGCAAGGTACGATTGGGAAATTGTTAGTTCAGCAGTTCTTAAAATGTATTATTTAGTATAATATATAAAAACAATACTATGACGAAATTTGAGGTTATCTGTAGAAATTATTTCTTGAGTAACAACAACTACGTCACTTTATGGCGGCAACAATTTTACCTAATAGTTTTATTTGAGTATTTTCGTGATACCTTGTTTATTTCACATCAAAGTTCGATTACTATCGCTTCGTATCGCCTAAGTACATAAAAAGCAATTTAAAGTCATTCTACAATACGTTTTAAAACTATTAATTTTATTAACTTTGTTTTTAATATGTGTTAAATTTTTTTTTTTTTTTTTTTTTTTTTTTGAGGAATTTAATTTAAGGACATTGTTTCTTTCGTGAGTGCAGTCTATAGTTAGTATTTCATTGGCAACAATCACAACATTTTACAAAATTATTCAGAGCGTTGAACTGATTGATCTTACTGCAACTGTTAATTTACTTCGAGTGCAGAACGATTTAAGTCGAGTCACCGTGACGCAACGTCATTCAGAACTCGAAGTCGAATCCCGTCATGGCTCATCAACCAAATGATGAGTAATTACCAGGCTTTGGAGAATGGAGCAGTACGAGATGATATGCAGAGCTCCAAGAGATTCAGCAAAACATGTATATTAAAATATGTACAGTGGATCTTGCCACAGAAATAAATTCGAGTTAAGGGATCATAAAAAAAAAACAAAAAACAAATCGAATTAAAAGGGTTTAGAATGTCGAGTTCACAAAAAGTGTCGCACTATTATCTTGACCGCTGCTGTTTGAATAAATATGTGCACACATATATAACCCGCATGTGGCAAGGAGAACCGAACCTGAGTTGAATTGCCGCTGCGGTTTGACGATTAGTTTGTTGAACTTTCGGTTTATATTTAAACCGTTTAAGGTGGGGGTGATCAGATGCACAGATATAATTGGTATGTTCATTCACCCAGTGCTCACTGTCGACTTATAAAATGCACTCCTCAATTAATGTACATAGCCTAGAGCGACCTTAACATTTTCAAAATACATATTCCAGACACTTGTACTCTACTTGCTCGAATAATTAGCTCCGAAACCGGTTGTCGCTTTATAAGGAAAGAACTTCCCGTAGCAGCGCTAAAAGTAGGTCAGTAACTCAAACGAATTCATCAATCCGAGTGTAGAGCGTCTCCCAATCGACCGACTATTGATAAAGGTTATCAATGCTGCGGTTCATAAGCTCGGGAGTTGCATAAGCCCCTCGTTATCATGTTGCCAGGGTAGACATGTCTGGCTGGGCCATTGGCAATCAAAATTTCCTTGCCCCTTACAATGTAAAGCGGATGCAAACAAACTACATTCGATAAGTTTATAAGTAAATATAGTTTTTTTTTAAAACATTTCTATTTGTGGTTTTGGTGAATTGTTAGTATTTTATGGAAGCTTTTCGTTTGTATTTGGAATCCTAGCTAATGCTTCACCATAGATTTTTATGGGTTTTTCTATATCTTTTATTTAATTGGTATGCCTAGCCAAAAAACATGTTTGTAATACAAACACACTTATATATGTACATATGTACATATGTACTCTTTATAGATATGAGTATTTCAGTTTTATAAATTCTAATAAAAGCGTAGAAAAGTTTGATTATAGTCCAAAACAAAGAGGGAAAAGACACGAAAATTCGCCGGCTGCTTTCTGACAATTAGGAAACAACAATACTGTTATCAGCGGAGTCTGACTTTTGACGTGCCAGTGATAATTTCTAAATGGAATTGAATGGAATGTATTCTTCCAGCACAGAAACACTTTCTTTCTCTCTTATTCTTCAGTTGGCACATTTTATCTCTGATCAGAAATACTCTCTGTTTGGGTTTAGCTGAAACCGGTTTTTTGGCATAGAAGTTTGTTTGGTTTTTGTTTAGTTTTTACTGTTTGGCTTTTTCTGATTAGTGGGTACGACGCCACATTTCGGAAATGTTTTTTTTTTCTGTTTCAGGCCGTCGCATTGCCCGGATCAAGGTTATATAGACATCGAGCAAATATATGCACAGACATTCACACATTTAGCTATATAGGCATTATCACCGGTCATTAAAATCAAGGGGAAGCGGAGATAGTTTCACTAAATTATGATTGCCGTACTAAACCTAAATTACTTAGGTACTGTATTGGAATAAATACGATTTATTGGTTTTTTTTTTTTATCAGCTGGCTGCCGTTATCATTAAGTTAAGTTAAGGCGCCTTAATGGGCTTTGAGTCACTAAATCACTCTGCACGTGTTTATCACTTGTTGCTTTTGCCTTCTTTCGGTGGCAAAAACAAAAACACATTTCAACTGATTTCGCAAATCTTCTTTAACTTTGTTTAAGTTCATTACTCCGCTGTCATTAACTCCAAACAAAAACGAAAGTAGGAAAGAGAACGAAGATCGCTTAGGAAGCGTAAACAAAACACACAAAAACCGTCACTTTATCTTGATTAAGTTTCTAGCACTTCTGCCGCTGTGAACTTTTACCGTCTTTTGATGTTTGTTGTTGGTAAATAATTTATTTATTACTGAGCTTCACACCTTGCGCACAATTTAATCCAATTGCCGAATTGTTGTTTCTTCCAACAAGAACAGATATGTTGTCACGTACTGGAAGCGATATCTTTTACCGTAACCGAACGATTCGACGACAAGTTCTCAACTGGCGCCTGGAAAAGCCAATGGAAGTAAACAACGCTAAGCGATAGGTAGGGCATCAGTGGTGACAGAATTCCAGCGGGAAATAAACATTAAACTATAAAAGTTGGCCTTCTCTGTATTTTTAAGTAAGATAACTACTTCTTGATTTGTTGCTTGTTTTATGTAAAATAATTTTCAATTGGTTTTTGCCAGCACTGTTTTTGTCATCGCTATCGATTTGAGAGCGATCGATATTCACTGAAAGATCTTTTGGCGGATGTTTGAACTTTTAAAACTCAAATACTTATGTGTTACTGGTTAAGAAATCTTTCTAAGTATTGTGATTACTAGATTATAAAAATATTATAAATCATAATGGTATCGGTTTTATCCACAATGGACCCAACTTAGTTAAGTGAGATTAGTTACTTTAACATATTTTAAAAATGTACTTACTTTTCCAGTGAACGTACAAATAAGTTTAGAAATGTAAAATACACGAGCAACAGGTGGCGCTTTCAGCTGATCTCCAACTTAGATGGCGCCACAGATTTTCTTTAGACTTTTGCATTTATTTATCAATTATTGCACACTTAACAACTAAAAAACGTAAGAAAATTTCAATAATTTAATGCTTAATTACACAACGAAAACTCTTTGCTCGAATTATATTGGGTATAGAACGCAGTCACATTGTGACGCCAGCAGGGCCTACCAACTAACAACAAATAAATACAGATTCAATTAAAGCTGACTTATGTACAAGAACGTATTAGGCGTGAGAAAAAGTTTCTGATAGATTTGGTATAGAGCGCAGTTTAAGAAAAATGCTTATCTTGGGCTAATGCTGCTGCTGCCGCCTTTCCTCGATCTCACCGTCGTCTTCGTCCAGACCCTCGATTAGATCCTCCAGGTCGTCATCTCCATCGTCCACATCATCCACGAATTGATCGATTCGCTTGAGCAAATTGTGTGACTGATCAGCCTCCTCATCCTCCTCGTCCTCCAGTTCACCATCAGCGGTGGTTTCGTCACCTTCCTCCAGCGCCTCCTCTTCATCATCAGCGTATTCTATAATATCGCTGGTGGTGACCCCGTCTTTAATCCGTGACTCTGGCAATTGATCATAGTCAAAGACTTGACGCGTTGCCCGTGGCGGTGTCTCAGTGGAAATCGGTGACCCTGCATCCTCGTCAGCTTCATCATCTTTATGGGTGTCATCTGCGAGGAGGCTCTCTATGCTCCCCGCCTTACTGGAAATCCTCGGTTCCGGTTGTTGGGGCAGCAACTTGGTACTAACTGGCTTCAGCACGGTGCTCGCGGTGGAAGTGACCAGTGGAGGTGACCCAGTGGATGAGGCTATTTCATGAGCATCGGCAAACATGTTGTCCAATAAGCTCAGCAGATCGTTAACCCCACTTGAAGGTTCTGGCTTCAATTCTACTGGGATCAAGGGAGTAGCACTGCTAATGGATGTCTTCGTTGTGGTTGCCTTTGTGGTTTTCACCGTGGTGGTTGCTGTAGGCTTGGTGGTACTGCTAACTGGAGCTTTAGTAGTGCTATAAACCGGAGATTTATTCGGAACCTTTGTGGTTGAAGGTTTCATGGTCGTTGTGGTTGTCGTAGTTGTCGTTGTCATCGGAGTGGTTTTCGTGTGCAAATGTTTCACCTGATAGGACTCGACGGTTCCTCTCTTCTCGTTGGGATCTGCTATCCTGACAACCGGTTCCCTCTTCGAGATAACCGGCACTATTTTCGGACTGTGCGGATCCAATTCGTTCTGGCCATAGGTCTTGACCTTGGAGTGACCCTCGATGATGAGGTACATGGGTCCCAGGAGCGGTTTCGGTGGCTGCTTGTAGTGGGAGAAAAGCGAGTCGGTGGTGGGTTCACTCCGGGCAGGAGCCACTGTGGGTCGCTGGGCCAGATTGCTCGTCTGGGGGATCAGCAATCGATTACTGGTCGTCGTTGTGGTTCGTTGATAAATGGGCAAAGTGGTCGATGTCGAGGTCGAAGGAGTGGTTCCCAAAGTGGTTGTGCCTGTGACCAACATGGGCTTGAATCCGGAGTTACTTGTTTGCGGAGTGGGTGTGATGAAGATCTCCGGCTGGGGCTCCTGTCTGGTGGCCACAGTGGGCACTGCTATGGTGGGTGGTCCGGGTACAAAGGTCACTGGAGCATAAGTAAATGGTGGTCGGGTGGTGCTTATGCCAAAACCAACTGGTGGCAGTGGATGATGTGGCTTACTCGTTCCCATCAGATACTTGGTTGCTGGCATTGTGGGCTTAACCTTCGGCTTGGAGGTAACCACAACCTCTTTTTGGAGCAGTTCATGCAACCAGGGTTTCCTCAGTCCTGCCTTCGAGCCACTTTGGTGTCCTGGCAGCGAATTGGGCGAGTAACTCACTGATTGCTGGTGTAGGGGCCTCGAGTAGCTAAAGGTGTGCATTGACTCCTGCAGATGTGGATCCGAGTAACTCAATCGATGTGGTGGCATACTGGTTATCCAGGGAGTGGAAGAGGACATAGAGGTGTGATGACCCATCGAGGGTTGGTGGTAGATCACCGAGGAAGTCATCGAATGTTTGGGCGTCGGGGAACTCATGTGGTTGAGACTCATGTAAGAGGTGGGTGCTCCCGTGGCCATCATACTGTGCCTGTATTCCAAATGAGGAACGGAGGATCCGCTTGATTTCATCATCATCATGGGTGGTGGCATCAAGTGGGTGTGCGGCATGTGCTGCATTGGAATGTGTTGGCTTTGTTGTGGCATTTGTGGGCTATGTTGCTGTTGGGTGGGAGCATAGTAGCTCCTCCGAATGGCTGCATATTTAGCCTGCTGTTGCTGTTGCTGCTGTTGCTGATGTTGATGGTGGTGTTGGTTCAATCCCACTGGTGGATAGGAATGGGAGTGAGGCACCCTCACCCGTTCACTTGATACACCCAGTAGCAACACCTCACTCTTCGTTTTGTTGCGAAGAACCTCCGGAGGTAGCTCCTTTTTCCTGGCCTCCGAATTACTCTGACCCGTGCTGTTGTTCTCCGCCCAGTAGCGAACTCTTTCCAAGGCCGGCGGACTGTAGTCGTAGGTGGGATCCTTTTGCAGGGGATCGCCGTGTCCAAGTGGTCGCCACTCGTTGTTGTTGTTCGGATCCAGTCGTGGGACTATGGAAAAGAAAAGATGCCGGGTTAGGTGATTGAGTGCCGTATCAATTTACTTTTACATGTGCAGCTTTAATTGCCCCCCAAATTGCCGGCAGGCATCTAAGTTGCAGATCCAGCTTGGAGGTAGCCATGGCCACAGCCGAATCATAACTCGTTAAAGTGTTAACAAATGTTTTTGTCCCGTCACTTGGCCAAGTCGGCATCCTGGTTGGTTAAGGCGAGGGAAGATTGGGATTTAAATATGAACTACCGATAAAAGATTTGAGTCTCCAGCTTGTAAAGATTGCCATCTCATAACTATTAATACAGTAAGAGTCTCAAAATGAGGACAAAATTTCCCATTACTCCTTGAACAACCCTCGTGTCTATCTAACTTCAATCGCTTTGAACAGTTTTTGCATAAATTGATTTTAATGCCTGCGGACAGTGTGCAAGATTGCAGCTCCACTCGATTGAACCCGACGAAGCTTCAGTCTCGACTTCAGGCCTGGATGAGCCGTTTAGCCCCCCGCCATGTGGCTCCTAATTAAGCCAAAGTCAGAGGCCAAGCCGCCAAAAAAAAAGAAGTCGGTGATCCCCAACGCCCACCTGGCAGCCAACACTTCAGGGCTCAACCGTCTCCGTCGGCAGGCGTTGATCAGTGGGGGCCACGACCATGGCAATCAACACTGCAAACAGACAGACAGTCAGCCAGACACAAAGTCGCATTACATCCACTCGGGTCGACTTCGACTTCGGTTTGGGTTTGGGTTGGCTTGGCTTTGCTTGATTGACTGATCAACGGACTGAGGAAAAATAAATGGCAGAGGCGGCGAAGGCGACGACTGCGAATGCGGAGGCCTGATAAATTATTAGCTAAAACCAGACAAATCGCTTTCCATTTGAGCGGTGGCAAAGGCATGCGGAGCTATAAGCTCCCAGCTCCCAGCTCCCAGCGATTCAACGTGAGGACATGCACTTGGCACAAGCGGAAATGGCCACTCATGCATCTTGATCTTCTAGCAATTGGCTTTTAATACGCTTACCAAAAAGGCTACACATTTTTCAAACTCAGCTTTATTATAGCGTTAATAGGTATCTTACTTAAATCGAAAATTGCTTGAGAAATGGGTGGAGTCCAGGTTTGGATTACTTTCTGCTAGCCGCCGCAAAAAATTAAAAAATTATCACATAAACAACAGAGATCAATTAACTATCAGTAACTGAAAAATGTTAAGAGGTACCACTTTAAATTCTGATGAAAATTTTAGAAATTAGGTGTTCTGATAGTACTGCTTTGGGTCACCTTTTTGATATTTTCAGTGCAGTTCGTTTCAGACCCCAATTACAAATGTTATGAGGTATTGGATGAAAATTGTCAAAATTATGGGCTGTGGACCTTCAGTTTTGGGGGTACATTCTGCAAATCACTGAAAAACTTTGAAAATTCTGACATGAACAGGGGTCAAAAAATTGACCTCCGATAAACGGGAAATTTGGAATGCAGTTTTTTTCAGTATCCATTTACAAACGTTTGGAGTTATGCCACTTTAAAATCGGATCACCATTTTAGAAGTTAAGGGTTCTAATGTTTCCGCTTTGGGTTACCTTATTGTCGAAAATCAGAAATTTAAATTCAGATATATATTAATAATCGAAAATGTGTACTGGTATGCCTATTTGAAATTGGATTAATATCTAGATAGTGTATTTAGAGCATCGACTAGACCAGCCCTTCCTTAGTCATAATGGGTGGGCGCTCTGCTCAGAGTGAGCTACCCACTGTAGCTGACTTTTCCCGGAGCCACGCCAATCCCACCCAATCGGGCACATGCATCTGAATCCCATTTATCCTTGCATAATTGCCTGTGACCACGAAACAATGTTGCCAGACGATTTTCACTTTCATTCGCATTAAAATGCCTCGCATGATTGCGTTCAAAATTGTTTGATCTCCTAATGCTGGCCATTAAAATAGTGCCCACTCTCCGCACCCGAGCACCCAATTATGTTGGCGAAACAAAATCAAAGTGCAAATCTTTCATATTTTTCATTTCGCTGCGGTTGTTGTTCGCTCACCTGTTGTCGCGCCAAGCGTCAGAGTCGCCTCATCCTGACTGCCGTTCGTCTTCGTCTCCAAAGTCTGCGACTGCGTCTGCGATGTGGATGCGGTTGTGGATGTGGCTGTTGCTGTGGCTGCTGCTGTGGATGTGGATGATTGAGCCAAAACCTCGACCACTTGCCCGGAGGTGAATCCGAGGAGCAGGAGGTGGAGCAGACCAAGTATCGTAACCAAATCGCGGCTCTTGTGGCGTTCACTAATCATCGTGTTGCTCGGTTCGTTGATCGGTCTCTCGGGTTGTCTAGTTTATTTTTTTTTTTCTTTCTCGTCTTATCTGGAATTTGTTTAAATTGTTCAGTTTCGGTTATGACTGCGCTGATGATTTAATAGCTAACATCGATTGTGTCCGACGAACTCGATCTGTGCAATTTGCAGCCACCGCAATTGATTCTTAGATATTGGATAACGGACGTGAATGAGGAAGTTTGGCGGCTGTTGCATTCGACTCACTTAACAGGTTGTTATCCAGATTGCTAGCCAGTTAATTAAGAGTGGCCGTAAAATTCAGGTAGCCTTTTAGTTGTGATCATAAAATAAAATGCAAGTTTAATATTAACGGAAGAGTTGGGAAAATTACCCTTTCACTTAGCTTGCTTTATTAATGAAAAGGTAGTAAATTATATGTTGATTTTACAAATCAGATTTTGACGAGGGTTGTTTTGGTTATTGCGTAAGGAAGCAAGGCAGGAAACTAAGGACTTAGGACATGAACTGAGAAATTAGTGGCTATAATAGATTTTAAAATCAATAAATAAATATATAGATATCTAACCCCTGATTGCAATTTGATAATCCTTCACTTAGATTAAACTCCCATTATTTATGCACCAAACAAAGTTTCGGGTTGTTGTAAAAGGCTCTTCCTGCCCACAAAAAACTTCCCGAATCGAAAAGATTGATACGATTAATTCATAATTTATGGCATTATGCGGCAGAGGGCAAACTGACAACGTGACTGACCAGAAGACTCCCCGAAGACCGAAGACCGAAGACCGGAGACCGAAGATCGGCGATCAGAAGACGCAGACGACCTGGGTGGGCGGCGGCTCTTCTCCTTTCGGCTTTCTTTCTTCTGCACTTCCTCTCGAAGAAATATCCTAAGGGCTTCTTATCATCATCTCCCTCCCCAGTTGCATGTCATCTTTGTCTCTGTTTTTTTTTTTTGTTTTTTTGCGAATATTTCTTTTTGACTTGCGCTTGCCGGCGAATTCGTTCCCATCGAAAGTGAAACCTGTGCTTTTTGATCATAAAAGAAAATTTGCATTTATTTTGCAGCAGCCTTACGGGTTTCTTGTTGTTGCCGGCTTGCTGTTACGCTTGTTGCTGTTGCTGTTGTTGTTGTTGTTGTTGCAACTCGCTCGGCGGCAATCGTAAAAATTAACTTGATTACTACACGCATAAATAAAGCCATTAAATGGCAAACATCTTGCTATGGCGGCAATTAAAATCAAATAAAATTCGCCGACGGTCAAGAAAAGTGGGAGGGGTGATGATGGCCTTGCAATTGAATATAATTTGATTCGGTCAACTTTTTGAGCACAAATTTTCCAAGTATTGCCACTAATGATGGACACAATTTCCCCCAATTTTCCACAGTTTCCTCCATCGAATTGGTTTGCTTTTTTTATGGCATTTTAGTCTAACTTGTTTCGACGCTCTCGTTTCGTGTGAGTTATTTAATTGTCTTTATTGTCTTACATTGCATTTGCATAATCTGTTTAATTAGGCATAATTTCTGTGTGGTTTCATTTTATTGGCTTTACATGACAAGTGAAATGTGTTGGTTGCTAAGTGAGTGTTGGAGTTAAGTATAATGATATTATCGGATATGTAAATTATGAGCTTTTATACAATCATTGCTATTTAATTTTTTTAAATTGTCAAGCTAATAATGTGAAAAAAACATAATTTTTACTGCCTGGTATTAAATAATATTTTGGTTTATATAAATACAAAAGTTTTATATGAAGAAATACAATACTACCAATACTAATTTCAGGATATTTCAATAAATTGTTGTGTCGAATTAAAATTTAGTTCCGGGCTCTGCTTTTTATGACAGCTTCAATAAAGCTGGAGTTGTATCATAAAATGCTTGTCACTTTATATTTTTCCTTTCAACAAGTTTAAGGATTTTTGTATGAAATCGCTTAGGCGCTAAGCCATAACACTTGCTGCGATAAAACTAGCCCGATTTATTCCGCAACTTTCGAGTAATTCACGGGCCTTCGACCCCTTCGACTGCAATGGATCGAGCAACCCACGCGGTGTCAAAATTATATGAACGCATCAACTGGATGGCCCCCTATCATAAATGCATTCCAAGCACTTTCGATCGGTGTGTCTTAAGAGCCGGCACTCAGTCACTCAAACGCTGCCCACAACATCAAAACCCAAAAGGCTCCACCGAGATCGAAAGACACCAGAGACATGGAGACATGGAGATGGAGTGAGAGATGCACTCGAAGCGACAGCTGTTAAGTGGACGACTAAGCCAATGTGCGTTAAGAAAAAAAAAAGGCTACAAAAAGCCGATGAGCAAGCAAACAGACCAATAAATAGACAAACAACCGAAGCACAGACCAAATATCTATTCAAGTGCGCGACACTTTTTATGCCAGCCGCAGTAAACAGTAAACCAGAGACAAGAGACCAGCAACTATCAACTAGCAACCTGCAACCTGCAGCAGCAGCAACAGCAACACGAGCAACAAGAAACTGGCGCACAGAGATGCATACCAACATGGCAGCGTATTAGCCAAAGACAAATACTAATTGCAGCCAAAGCAGCTGCCAACAGAAGCAACTGCAACTGCCGCGGCGGCAACATTAGCAGCAAACCTCGGCAACATCGGCTGCTACATCAGCAACATCAACAACAGATGCATCAGCATCAACAGTTGCAGTTGCACTTGCAGCTTCAGCTTTTTGTTGCCGGCAGTTAATTTCATTTAAAGAATGTCATCTTCACTTTAAGTGAAAGATAAATGCGCCGAGTGGCCCGGGAGTGCCTGGAAAATCAAGTGGCTGCCCTTTCTCTCCTTGCATTGATTCGGCTCTTTCATTCTGTACACACGGCGTATGAGTGATGTCCGTTGGTTTGTTTGCTTGTCCATCTGCTGTTGGCATATGCGCACCGGCTTAAACGCCATCGAGAGTGTCTTAATTCTTTGCGCAAAGCTGCAAGATCGTAAAACATTCGATTTCGCTGGCGAAGAAAGGTGGAATTTATGTGCCGCATCCGCAGCCATGGATTATACCATTGAAAACCGAGAGTTGATTGATGGAAAATGCGTGAAAAATATCATATAACACAAATCGTGAGCAAGTCTTGCAGGCGAAATGTTTTTAATGGTGTTCTTGAAGATCGATATGATATCTTATGTATCTTTTAGCCCATACGAAAACCATAACAATTTTAAATACAAGTAAAACTTTATTTACTGATCCAGCAATCTGTTTAACGATCGAATGCATCCTTTAGTGAACACTTAATTTTCACAAATTAACGTAGCTCTTAAAAGGATGTTAAACTATTTAAACCCATTAAAATGGTAATAGGTTATAAGTTTTAAGGATACTTGCACACAATGAACTAATAATTAAAGGTTATTATTATTCAAAACGAAGTAACCTTTTGTAATTTATTTACTTTTAGAATTTGTGTTCTTTTACTTATTCAATTCAACTTCTTCATTCTTTCACTTTCACAAGCTTACACAATCTAAACAGGATCTTACATCACCTTATTTTTCCGGCCAATTGGCTTACCATTCAATGCTACTGCAACCAAAACAAATATTTTCACAATTTTGCTGGTAAAGCGTTTTTATAATCTCTATGATTTTTTCCAATCCTTTTCAGTAGGCGAATGTTGGCCAACTAATTTGCAGTCATTTCCTTGCCGACAATTGTCACAAATCAATAATCAAACACAAAGCCAGTCGGCCAGACAGCGAGGCTGGCCAGAAGACATTTCATTTGGTTTCATTCAGTAAATTTCACTTTTAAACGACCAGCGCGACCGACCGATGAAGATAGCAGCTCTTCGAATCGAGCTTCTGCCGCCGAAACCGACAGACACATTCGCACGGCCTCGGGTTTTGGGACAAAACCTGCGATCTTTATGGAGGAGCCAAGAGTTTCAAGGGGCTTCAGGTTTTTTTTTTTGTTAGTAGCTTTGCTGTGCTCCGCCACTGCTAGCCAGTGCATCCGTTTCAAAACGCGTCCGTTTGTTAACTGATTTCGCGCGGTCTTGGCCAAAACTCAAATTCGAAACTGTTAAAAGCGGCAGAGTCGTCGACGCAGACGGCGGCGGCAAAACTGAGATTGCAGGTACAACGAACCAGCTGAAAAGCAATGCCTGCACTTGTCTTCGCGTTGTTGCTGCCGTCGCAACGCTTTTGACCAACGCTTTTGGCCAAATCGAATCCATAAACACACGCGTCGCAGTCGCAGTCGCAGTCGCAGTTTACTGCGCAGCCGGCTTCTTCTCCAAAGTTGTCGTCTTTTCGCTTTTGTTGCCGCCTGTTTGACGATGGTTGTTGTCGTTGTTTAGAGGCAGACTCACTTTTCACTACCTGCAACATGTTGCCGGTAGAATTTTGAAAAAAGATGATCTGTTTTCCTGCTGAAGGTTGAGGGAATGTTTATCTAAGTTCCCAAAACCGATTAAAGACTTAAAATCTTTTTTAAAATCATAAATTTTTAACAATATTATATGTGGCCACATCAATAAGTTTTTTTTTGGTAGTGTTCCAAATCTTATATAGTTGGTATAAAATGGAAAGTCTTTACTAATTAGCAATTGACAATGATCTTTACTTGGCTGAAAACAAAGAATTTTTGTATTCAGCTTTCTTGTGCTTTCGCTTTTTGCCACCACCTGTTGCATAAAAACCGAAAATCTTTTGGCAAAATAAATTTCTACCGGCGACCAAGAAATCGTAAAATATGTTAAGAGCTTTGGGCAGCAAAAACAATTGGCAATCGTCATGACATGACTGGCTGTCAATTGGCGTTGCTGTTGCTGCTGGGCGTGTGCGTAGTTGAGGGGCAGATGAGAGTTAGCCGACGGACATGCATACGAAACTCGTCAGTCCAACAAACCAAAAAAAATCAAAGAAAATAACAACGGCAGCGGAAAGATTATGCTGTCGTTTTGGCCACAAAGCCCCCTTTGTCCCCTTTTCTTTCGACCACCAGTAGGTAGGTGTCAATTAAGGCGCAATGTTGCAAAAGCCTCGAACAAAAAACGTTAGGCAAATCAAAAGACTCTGGCAACGAACTTGACACATGACTTTCACAACCTAGAATGGCGAAACATGTAAATATCCATACGCACACCTAAATATCTATGGTTACAGAATATCAAATGTTTCACAATTATTCCACTTTCTTTTTAAGTTTTTTGGAAGACGATAGCCACAAGTAAATACAAATTGAATGAATCGCACATGCAGAAAACAACTGCGTTAAATAAAAACAGAAACAGATTATTACCAATAATTTTAAGATAAATCAATGTTTTACTTATTTCAACAATTTGTAGTCAATAAAACTAAATTAATCTCCCAAGTTAGTTAATCTCCCCACGGTAATTTGCTTCCCTCCTTTCCCTCCATTAAATCTAAATCACCAATTGAATTTCCTCAGTCAGTTGGTCATTTGGCCAGGCTCGTTAACTTGTTTCTGTAGCTCCGACTGGCAAGGCCATCTCGCCATCTCCGAGAGCCACATGGAGGAGAGCCCAACTCCCCCGCCAGCGAGCTGGAGCCCCCTTAATTAGCGCAAGTGTTGCATGCAACCAGGTTGCATGTGGCCAGAGCCAGAGCCAAACCCAAAGCTATCTGGCAGCCCACTCAGCCGTGTAAATTGTATCAATAAATTTATTGATTTCAACTGTTGCCGCTGACTTGTTTAATATTTTGCGACGATTTATGTTGCAGGCATGCAAATTTTAGTATTTATTTGCTTTGTCGGTGCACCAGAGGAACCGGCATGGGCAAATGGGGTATGGGGATGGCGACCAAGATGACGCGGCTCTGGCTTTAATGAACATGTCGTCTCCGCCGTGTCGTCGCACTCGGGAAAGAGTCATCAAAAGACACACGCATGGCAAATTTGTGTGCTCCGGCTGTCAGCTCTTGTCGCTCGGACTCCTCTTGCCCCAAATCTCCTTGTGGTATCACACTATAAATAATAGTCAAGTCCTTATTTAAATCATTTAAAAAATTATTTTATATTATGAAGTTTTAGGAAGCTTCCAAGTTTTTAAAAAAGTTAATGGAATTGCAACGAGTCGGGCTTAAGAAATTATTCAATTAATCAAGATCTCAAAACTCGGCTTTTTTATTTTAAAAATTCTTTGACATTTTAATAGGTGTACTTCTTCACATTATAAGGATTTGCATATATATTTTGTCAAGTGAATTTAATTTTTCTTGTATCCAAAAAATTGTATTAAATTAGTCTGTTCAGGTTTAATTGTAACTAATTTGTACAAGTGCACCTCTGATCCTGCTCGTGTTCGTGTAGTTTAATGACAGAAATTAGGCAACCTTTCACTGGCACATAATTTCACCCACATACACGCACACCCGCACACTCGCACACACTTGACTTATACAGAGACACTTCCGGCACTCGGCGAGAGTTGGTTTGTTTTCTCATTTTCGGCTTTTATGTTTCGGTTTCTGGGGTTTTTGGTGTGTCTGCACACCCATAGAACACTTTCGTTCATTGGCCAACCCAAAAGCGCGCCTCGCACATATTTTTATCGCTTTGCATTTGGGGTTAGGGCAATTTCTACGGCCATCGACTTGCCACCAGCCACTTGCACCGCCTGCCATGCATGCTAAATCAGGTGAAAAGCGCCGCTGAACGCGAAGACGTCGCCCGGTGCATTGCTAATTAGATAAACAAATTTTTGTTTTTCGCTTCGTTGGGTCGCACCGTCAAGAGTCGCCAACAGAAGCGGACGTTCGCCGCTGGACATTGTTGCACGCACTCGAGTTATTGAAAAGTGAAATAAGCCGACGAAGATGGCAGCTTTGGGTGCCAAAAAAAAAAAAAAAAAAAATCGAATTCCCAATGCTCTTTTACCAGAAAAGATACAAAAAAGAAAATCATACAAAAAAGGATTAAGTCTGATATGTTTAAATATTAAATGGTATGTTGTTAAGAGATTATAAAATAGGTGAAATAATCTTAACCAAATTATTATGCAAACGTTTAAATACATTCTGAAAAGGGTACTTTATATACTTACTTTATTATAAAGGTGACTTTATTTTGAATGACAATTCTCTTAGAATCGTTAAAAGGTCTTCGATTTCACTCTGCTGATTAAGTAGCAGCAATCGTCAAAGTGAGGCTACCCATTGAGCAGCAGGTACTTCGGTGATAAATACACAAACAGTCCGGTGCTTAGTTTCTAAAAAGAAAGTGAAATTCGAATGCGGACAGAACGAAGCGCAAAGAGCGCGGCCCAGCCAGCTCCCAACTTGGTCAAAACTTGGCCAGGACCAGGCCAATAAGACGGCAACAGCATTAGTTGCAACAAAAAAAAAAAAAAAAAAACAAATAAATAAAATAAAAATCAAATACAAAACACAACAAATACAAGGCGAATAAAACCTGACTGAGCTGCAACAAACGGCAGCGAGTCATTCACAAGTTGTGATGCTAAGCAAATATGACTAATTATGGAGGAACTGACGCACTAAACAGCGCCACATAATGCGCCCGTCGTCTCGGTTTCGACGTAGATGGTCCACGGAGATGGCCCGGACCACGGACCGGTTAATGGCGGCCAAAACCAAAACCAAAGCCAAAGCCAAAACCAAAACCAACACCCGCAATTTCGCCAGTTCGTGGAAAAGCGATCGATTGTATGAATGAAATGCGTTTTACGCGACAAACTAGACACCGATCGCCACTGCTCGTTGTGCACTGCAAAAATTAAATGCTTGTTGGTAAAAAATATATTTCAAATCACAATTATTAAATAATAGTTTTAAGAAATTTGGGAGAAAATTAAAAATAATTCCTTATGATCGAATTGAGTTCAAACTTAATTGAAAATTAATTTCTTATAATCGAATTGAGTTCAAACTTAATTGAAAATTGATTTCTTATAATCGAATTGAGTTCAAACTCATTTTATCTTTGTGGTATTTCTTCTATGGTTTATAAAAATAAGTACAACATCTATATAATACTTAGTATATAAGAACATTTTTATAATTAAAATTTTTTTTCGAATTTAAGCACTTCATTCTTCCCAGTGCAGTTTTCTCTATACGAGATGAGTAATACAGCACTCTTCACTCCCCAGATCGCCTGCCCACTGGTCGTGCCTCACGCTGCAAGTTGGACGACAGCCAAAGCCGATTCGGATTCGTTGGCGGCGATCTTGGAGACTCCAGCATGTGGCGACCCCGCCCCCGCCAGCTGCACATCAATAGGTTTCCCTCCGGCGATGTCGATTCAAGGTCAATACAGAAGGGCGAGGGAGAGTGGGTGGCGGATGAGGGGGCAACACTGCGCTGGGGCATCGCTCCCGTCAGTCTGATGGCGGATGACTTTGCTGCCGCTTTGAGTGTCCTGCCGGAGAACCACCACCGCATCGTGTCCTGCGTGGCTGCCTACCAGTCACATGCCCTCGCCTTCGCGGATCGCCATCAGGTGGAGAACGTGTACACCAGCTTCGAGGATTTGGCGAGGTGTCCGAATGTCGGTGAGTTTTGATTAGTATTAATGGCCTCTTTTTTGGAACACAAACATTGGCTTACATGGCGTATGAGTAATTAAATTATAGTTCAGTTTTTCGAACTCATTTGTTTAATTGTGGCAGCACTTTAATTCTCTTAAGGAGGAATTAAGTTATTAGGTTAAGTAAATATTAAGTATTACTAATTAATGTTTAATAGAGATTCTCATAAACCAACTTAGAGATTCCAATAAATCTAACAATTAAATTACTATAAAATTATTAATTTTGGAACACAATCTTTAAACCTCCTACTTACTAATCGTTTTGTTGAAGCTCAGACGTTGTGTACATCTCTCCGCTGAATCCGCAACACTCGGAGCTCTGCCACTTGATGCTGAATCACGACAAGCACGTCCTGTGCGAAAAACCGCTCTGCATGACGGAGGAGCAGGTGACCAAGCTGCTGGAAAAGGCGCGGGCACGGGGCCTCTTCCTCATGGAGGGAATGTGGCCAAGGTGTGTGCCCGCCTACCATTACCTGCGCCACCAGATCCTGCGGAATCGCCTCGGGGAACTGCAGCAAGTGCACTGCACTCTGGGATTGCCCGTCTCGCAAGGGTAAGATCTCTTCATATGGTTTAGACCTACTCATAATCTCGTAAATCCTCAGGAGACTTGGACTTTATGGTGGTGTGACCAATGACTTCGGTGTCTATGGAATGCAACTGGCGTTGTGGGTGTTTCGGGAGGTGCCACGTTGCCTCAAGGTCAGCGGAAGGGTCAACTCACATAACGTGGATGTGACCGCTGAGATCGAACTTTGCTTCACTCGTGGAAAAAGGGCCTTTATCCAGGTCAGCGCGGAAAAGAAGCTCAGCAACCAGGCTGTAATTCAGGGAAAAACTGGATCCATTAAGGTAAGTTATTCCAAATATAATCTTTGATTTAATATAAATTATTTTCATAGATGAACAACTACTGGTGTCCCACACGTTTGATAACCGAGGAGGTGGACTATGAGTTTCCGCTTCCTGGTGGCGACCAGATGCCACCCACCCACTACCACAATCGATTGGGAATGTGCTACGAGGCCGAGGAGGTGAGGAACTGCATCCTGAAGGGCAGCCACGAAAGTGACGACTTCAGTCACAATGAGAGTCTGCTCCTGGCGAACCTAATGGACACCATTCACGCGGAACTGGGAGTTGGAGAGTTTGCTCATCGCGAGAAGGTTCCGGATTTGCAGAAAGAGATCGAAAGTGTTCAGGATGAAGTTGAGGATCCCGAGGAGCTGGCCAGTGAAACGTGTCGTGTGGTGCAGGATGTAATTACCAGTGAAGTCATCGAATCCAAGGAGCAGGAGGAAACTGTTCCAGCCAGATCGAAGGTCGTTGATGCCCCTTAAAAAGGGGGCGTGGCAAAATGGTGTCTGTGTAGTCTTTGTCAGAATGCAAATCAGATGGTATGACTATCTATATTAAATAAAATTAAAATGTATTGACTAAGGAAAAATTAAATAAAGAAACTTTTATGTGTTGCTGAAGTAGTTTTCCAGAAGAACTTCCTCTTTACATGGTTGCAGTCCATGCTAAGTAAAGTAGTTGATGTCACAACCGAATAAAAAGTTGAACAAAAAAAGGTGAATACTGAAGAAGCAGTACAAACTGAGGGGAAACTTTCGTTTTTAAATTGAACATTAAAGGATCTTCATATCGACAAAGATAGATTCAGATTCTTTATACCACTACTTGAGATTACGAAATAAAACACAAACCATTAATACAAATGTTGTTCTACAACATGTTACTTGTTGTCACTGTAGTAAACATCGAAAGTGATATAATGCAGGCCAAAGGTTCTATACACTGGCGTCACCGGCATGTAATTGTTTTAATCGCTGATAACGATTGTTGTGAGATAAGATATTCGGCAGCCTATAATAGATATTGGTAAACAAATTTGGTAGAGGACTAAAATTTACCCTTGCGTTAAATTTCCAAGTCAAAATGTAATACATAATGATATAATAAAAAAACATTTTTTTTATCTTATAAATTTATTTTGTTATATCTCGTCTTTTGAATATTTGTAAGTCGTTACTGAGTATTAATATCTACTGCTTCTTCACCTTCTTCTTTTGAGCAGGTGTGTTCGATTTGGAAAACAGTTTCCGCCACACAAACTTCCACACAATCTTGTTAATGATGAAAATAATGTAGAGCACCAAAGCACCAATAACATAGACATCCAGATTATTGCTGGCGATGAAGTTCATGTGGACCAAAGGACTCTGCATGTGGGCAGCACCATGATGACGGATCACGTACTCCGTCCAGTAAACAACCGATTCCTGGGCAGTCATAGGACGATCGCGATAGAGTTTCGAGAATGCTTTAAGCTTCTGGGCAAACTTGGGGTTCTCGATGATCTCCTTGATGGCCGCCTTGAACTCATCCACTTCGAGGGAGGTTAAAGCCAATTGCAGGCCATATCCACTTTCCACCAATTTGTCGGCATTTCCGGGTTGATCGGCAAAAACTGGCAGAGCCAACATTGGAACTCCATGATATTGGGCCTCAGCCACTCCACCTTTTCCTGCATGAGTGATGAAAAGCTTGATCTTCGGATGGGCCAGGATATCGTCCTGTGGCAGCCACTTTTTGTAGAGAATATTCTCCGATTTGCCGGGTATATTCTTGAGATCGTCCCACTTCCAAATCACTTGCTGTTTAACGCTGCTCAAGCCCTTGAAAATAGTTTCCACTACTTCGGGCTGGATGTGTTCGCCTTTCAAGTTGGAACCCAAACTGAAGAGAATGGCACCATGCTTGCCCTTGTCCAGGAACTCCTTGATGTCCTCGGGCAGAGGATCTGCCTTGCCCTTGACCTGAATGCCTCCGATTTCGATGATGCCAGGCACATTCGGACGAATGGGACCTTCGCTGATGCCGTGACCATTGCAAAAAGCCAGCGAAACATTCCTCTGTGCCTCCTCAAAACTGGGCATAGACTTATCTTTGCCCCAGAGCCGACTAGAATAATAAATATAATGATTAGTTTGTTTTAATCTTTAAAATACTTTACTGATAAGTACTCACTCATAAAACCTATTGTATTTGTGATGAAGGAAAAGTCCAAGTGCATTAAAGCCAAGAGTTCCAACGAAGTTCTGAACTCGCTGCTTGAAATCCATCGCTTTTCCAGGGGCCACGGAAATATGACTTTGGGGAACGCTTAGAAGCTCCGGATTGCCCAGAACCTCGTTGACCATGATCATGGGTGGACCTGGCCAGGAAGCAATCACGGGGCAATTAAACCGGGCACCCAGAGCCACCTGATAGGTGTTGAAGAAGAATCCCACGAAGACCACGTCGAATTTGTTGCCCTTGTTGAGGTAGAGCTCCTGGAAACGCTTATCCTCCAGCACATCGACCTGTTTGTCGATGAGCAGGGACAGCGAACTGAAGATCGACTTCATGGTGGTCCAAATGGATGGCTTCTCCTTGACCATTCCGGTCATGCCTTCGTTGAGGATCTTCTCATCCTCGGCACTCATGGGAATGACAATGTGCTTGATGCTCTTGTGGGTCACTTTGGGCGACATGGAGGAGACAACCGTGATGTTGTGACCCTTCTCGGCCAGCGCCTTCATGATGGACATGTGCACGATGAAGTGCGACGGACTGTGGCTGGTGAAGACGCCCAGGATGTTGGATCCTTCGGTGCCCTGCGGCATCGACTGAAGGGCCAAGAGAGCGACCAGAAGGCCGCCCAAGCTGCAACCGATCAACCGGCTTTGTGTCATGACTAGCTCCGTTGAAGTCCAAGTACAAATGGTAACTGAATGGGTTGCAGGCAGCCGGTAGCTATCTTATAGTCAGTCCGGTTCGTTGATAAGGCACTGATAAGATTCCTTTGCCGCTTAATCTGCAAATACATTTGTTGCTTTTTCGGAATCATGATTTTCACAAAACATTTGTTAAGGAAGTTATTACGTGTACCCCAAACAAAGTACACGTTGTCTTTTATGCAGGTATTTATGCAACATTTTCTCTAGGACTTAAAAACATTTTTAGTTCAGTCTTTAAATTCAAAGTGAATGAAGTCATTTAACATCAACTGACCGCCGACAGCTATTTTCGTGTCATTAAAAATTGTTATTAGTTAATGTTTTTAATGATGCCTATTAAATATATGTACATGTCATGAACCGTAACGTATATGTTTTTATTTTCATTTATTATGTTAAGTTCTGTTGTCATGAACACACATAAAAACACATCAATTATTATTTCCCTATAGGTTGTCAGTTAGAACTGCATTCAAATGCATACACAAGATCTGCTCGAAGCAAATGTTTATTTTGTAATCAATATTTATTCACTGCACATACAATTTTCTTTAAATAGCTAAGAATAACAATGATTCTGGGCTCACATTTGATATTCACTTATTTATTGTTAATGTATTTATTGTTCACTAATAACCAGAAATATCCACCTTCCTTTTAAAATAGAACAGAGTAAATATTTATAATTTATTCCAAGTACAAGTACAAAGTTTAAAGTGCAACCTTGTCGCATTGTCAATGTCAACTTGTAGGTTAACTATTATTTCATTAAATTGGCACTTTCCCCCGATGACTCCAACAAAACAATTATAGATATTCTAAATACCTAGTCTATAAAGAGACACCCAAGTAACAAAGAATTTGGAAAACAATACGCGTTCGGCACGCGTCGCCTCGCTGCCACTCGAATCACTGAGAATTGAATCCAAACCGAATCCGAATGCGAATCGGAATCGGAATCACCCGAAGCTATAGTTTCCCGAGTAGAGAGCAAAACCAGAGAATCACTGAGTGGGGGGCTTCTATAAATAATCGCTGTGGGAGAATGTGGGAGCAACCTGTTAAGTGAGTGTTGCTCTAGGTCTGGGGATCATTGGATCATTGTTGCTGTTTTTAATTGCCGGGTTGGGTAAGGTGCATCTCATTAACGCAGTTCACTGCTAGCACTTAAGTTCGCAGATCGTAAGTGTTTTAAAATTGTTTTTTATTACGTTTTAGCTCCGCAAAGAAACAAAAGTTTTTTTCCATATGGGTTTGTATTGTTATTATTTCAGTTTCACACTCTTCTAAAATTTTATTTTTTAAAAAGTCGAATCCGAGTTGAATGCGATTAATTTCATGGTCCCTATGTTTCTCCGTCATTCTCTGTTTATACAAACATTTGTATATATAATG